TAAATTCTCGTCGTTTTCTTTTTTTCGTAGCAAATTCTCGTTACGGGATTTGTATTTGTATTTTTTTTTATACTCAATTAATTCCGACTTAAAACTACTTATTAAATTGTTACTTATAATCTCTGTACTTAAAAACCGTAATTATGATACTTACAAATACCACCGTACTTATTTTTTTTCCTAGGTGAAGCTACAACATTATTTACCTAGTACACATTAGTTGTCTTTTTTTTCCTAGGTTGAACGACGACACTTGTGATAAAGTGTTTGTTTATTGCATGAAAACAAGTTGATGTTTTGTGTAGTGTTTTTGTATAGATATATATTTTTTTTACGAAATAACTTATAAAGGATGTTTGTAGATTTTTCCCTTGAGTACGATGACCTAACCCCCTGAGTACGATGACTTAACCCTTTGAGTACAATCACTTAACCCCTTGAATGCGATCTCTTAATCCCTTGAATATGATGACAACCTTGAATATGATGACTTAACCCCTTGAATACAATCACTTAACATCTTGAGTACAATGACTTAACCCTTGAATACAATCACTTAACCCTTTGAGTACAATCACTTAACCCTTTGAGTACAATCACTTAACATCTTGAGTACAATGACTTAACCCCTTGAATACAATCACTTAACCCTTTGAGTACAATCACTTAACCCTTTGAGTACAATCACTTAACACCTTGAGTACAATGACTTAACCCCTTGAATACAATGACAACCCTTTGAGTACAATACTTAACCCTTTGAGTACAATCACTTAACCCTTTGAGTACAATCACTTAACCCTTGAGTACAATCACTTAACCCTTTGAGTACAATCACTTAACCCCTTGAGTACGATGAGGTGTTCTATTTATTTGTTGAACAGTAAGAAAAAACCAAGGTGTGTGTGTGTGTGTGTGTGTGTGTGTGTGTGTGTGTGTGTGTGTGTGTGTGTGTGTGTTATAGTACATTATTTAGTACCATCTGGATTACTATACAACTGTTCACTCCCTCACGTGACCACTACCGCCTGTTGGCTCTGTTTCTACCTGGGTTTATGACGTAACTTATGACGACAGGAAAGACACCGTGCGGCTTCGATTTCAACAGAAGCATTCATAAGTTAGGTTGATGCTGACGGGAACACACACACACACACACACACACACCACACACACACACACACACACGCTGTCTTTGTGTACACTCCCCATAACTCAGTCTACAACACGATGATGAAAGAGAGCAGAGCGTTACGTGGACTCCAGGCTTCTCGCTTCCTTTAAAGCTAATTCACAGTTCATTCTTGTTGTCAGTGTCGTGTAGGGTGATTATAGGTCAGTTGGGGTCTATATTACTAATTGTTTCCTGACCTAACCTAACCTGACCTTGCCTAACCTAACCTGACCTTGCCTAGCCTAACCTGACCTGACCTAGCCTAACCTGACCTGACCTGGCTTCTTCCTAACCTAACCTGACCTGGCTAACTGACCTGAGCTAATCTGACCTGACCTGACCTAGCCTAACCTGACCTGGCCTAACCTAACCTAACCTACACCGAGACACTGACTACTGTGTACATTCTGACTGCCTTGTTGACCACCAGCCCTCACCCCTGACCTTCAACTACTGTCCTGACCTCCAGCCACCGTCCCTGACCTCCACCCTGACCTCTAGTCACCAGCCCTGACCACCAGCCTCACCCTGACCACCAGCCCTCACCCCTGACCACCAGCCCTCACCCCTGACCTCCAGCCACCGTCCCTGACCACCAGCCCTCACAGAGAGCGGCAGACGATGAAGCTCGCTCAATTACTGGCCCACCGCTCCCTCGGGTGTGCAAATTCAATTGATGATGCGGGGTTCTTGCAGCTGAAGCGTGAAATTAACAAATGTTGCAGCCACTGCCTGTCTTCACCTTGTTTTGAGCGAGGTGACGTACTCTCTCACAAGTGACACTCCCACACTATATTTGACACACCCACACTCTCTCTGACACACCCACACCTCTCTGACACACCCCACCTTTGACACACCCACACTCCCTGACACACCCACGCCTGACACACCCACACTCCTGACACACCCACACCCCTGACACACCCACACTCCCTGACACACCCACACTCTCTGACACACCCCACACCTCTGACACACCCACGCTCTTTGACACACCCACACTCCCTGACACACCCACACTCTTGACACACCCATGGTCTCTGACACACCCACACTCCCTGACACCCATACTCCCTGACACACCCATACTCCCTGACACACCCACACTCCCTGACACACCCTCCACTCCCTGACACACCCACACTCCCTGACACACCCACACTCCCTGACACACCCACACTCCCCTGACACACCCACACTCTGACACACCCACACACACCCACACACACTGTCACCCCACCCCCACACACCCACATCCCTGACACACCCACACACACCTGGCACACCCACACTCCCTGACACACCCACACCCCTGACACACCCACACATCACCTGACACACCCACACCCCTGACACACCCACACCCCTGACACACCCACACACACTGACACACCCACACCCTGACACACCACACCCCTGACACACCCACACCCCTGACACACCCACACACACTGACACACCCACACTCCCTGACACACCCACCCACACACCCACACCCCACACCTCACCCTGACACACCCACACCCCTGACACACCCACACACTGACACACCCACACTCCCTGACACACCCACACTCCCTGACACACCCACACTCCTGCAGACACACCCCCCTGACACACCCACACTCCCTGACACACCCACACACCCCTGACACACCCACACTCCCTGACACACCCACACCCCTGACACACCCACGCTCCCTGACACACCCACACCCTCTGACACACCCACACCCTGACACACCCACACACACTGACACACCCACACCCTGACACACCCACACCCCTGACACACCCACACCCTGACACACCCACACCCCTGACACACCCACACTCCCCTGACACACCCACACTCCCTGACACACCCACGCTCCCTGACACACCCACACCCCCTGACACACCCACACCCCTGACACACCCACGCCTCTGACACACCCACACCCCTGACACACCCACACCCCTGACACACCCACACCCCTGACACACCCACACTCTCTGACACACCCACACTCCCTGACACCCACACTCCCTGACACACCCACGCTCTCTGACACACCCACACACACACACACACACACACACACACACACACACACACACCCACACCCTGACACACCCACACCCTGACACACCACGCCTCTGACACACCCACACCCCTGACACACCCACACCTCTGACACACCCACACCCCTGACACACCCACACCCTGACACACCCACGCTCCCCTGACACACCCCACACACTGACACACCCCACTCCCTGGACACACCCACACCTCTGACACACCCACACCCTCTGACACACCCACACCCTGACACACCCACACTCCCTGACACACCCACACTCCCTGACACACCCACACTCCCTGACACACCCACACTCCCTGACACACCCACGCTCTTGAATGTCTCAATTTCAGTCTTATAATCTCTTCCAAACGCTGACCAATACAACTATAATTGAATTACAAAGTTGCATTCCTCAGTTACTTATACACAAGACCGCTTCCTTCCTTCACTATCCATCATTCCTCATCAACTCCATTCATTCCTTCCTTCACTATCCATCATTCCTCGTCAATTTCATTCATTCCTTCCTTCACTATCCATCATTCCTCATCAACTCCATTCATTCCTTCCTTCACTATCCATCATTCCTCATCAACTCCATTCATTCCTTCCTTCACTATCCATCATTCCTCATCAACTCCATTCATTCCTTCCTTCACTATCCATCATTCCTCGTCAACTCCATTCATTCCTTCCTTCACTATCCATCATTCCTCGTCAACTCCATTCATTCCTTCCTTCACTAGCCATCATTCCTCGTCAACTCCATTCATTCCTTCCTTCACTATCCATCATTCCTCGTCAACTCCATTCATTCCTTCCTTCACTATCCATCATTCCTCATCAACTCCACTCATTCCTTCCTTCACTATCCATCATTCCTCATCAACTCCATTCATTCCTTCCTTCACTATCCATCATTCCTCATCAACTCCACTCATTCCTTCCTTCACTATCCATCATTCCTCATCAACTCCATTCATTCCTTCCTTCACTATCCATCATTCCTCATCAACTCCACTCATTCCTTCCTTCACTATCCATCATTCCTCATCAACTCCATTCATTCCTTCCTTCACTATCCATCATTCCTCATCAACTCCATTCATTCCTTCCTTCACTATCCATCATTCCTCATCAACTCCACTCATTCCTTCCTTCACTATCCATCATTCCTCATCAACTTCCTTTGTTTTGGTCTGGTTTGTCGGCCATCTTGCCCAGACACCTGCGAATGTCACTCATAGACAAATAGTACAGATACTGACAGATAGGTAGATATTAGCCAGACAGACAGACAGACACAGGGATATTAGATTGAAAAATATTACAGACAGATAGACATATACAAACAGATTAATAGATAAGTATTCAATATAATCATCATACTGTAGTTCACATTGATTGAACATAGTGAGTGTAAAGTAGCTGTAACACCTCAGTCTTCATCTCTGTGCTGTATTAAATCAAGTTTATGAAAGGTTACAGTGTTCGGAATACAGATCATGTACTGTGTTTGTTGATTTGTCTTTTATTAATGTTACAGTTACCATTTGTAGCTTTTTGAATTATTATTATTTTGTTGGGTTTTGGGTGATGGCTGTACTGTACTCTTTATTTATTTAGAGTCAAATTTCTACTGGGAGTAATGTGTAGAATATCTTTATATAGTACAATATTTTGGTCAGAAAAGTGTATATCAAGTAAATCAGTTTGACAACGAGAAACTAAATTTTTTTATTTTTTATTTCCAGGTTTGACCAAGAACTTCATAGTGTCCTCTTCCAACGTAACAGTGGTGGTGGGCCAGGCGCTGCGACTCTCCTGCCAAATTGACTCACAGCCCCCAGCCTCACTTACCTGGGCCCACGACCAACAACCTCTACCTCAAGATGACAGGTACGTGTATAAATCCTTTTGTCTACGTAGGTGTAAATGTTGAGGGTCTCTCTCTCTCTCTCTCTCTCTCTCTCTCTCTCTCTCTCTCTCTCTCTCTCTCTCTCTCTCTCTCTCTCTCTCTCTCTCTCTCTCTCTCTCTCTCTCTCTCTCTCTCTCTCTCTCTCTCTCTCTCTACACACTATAGCCTTTCACCTAATTTGTCTTATATACTGTACATTACTGTGTGTTTTTCCTCTCTTCTCATAATACAAGTAAGAAATAATGGGATATTTACTTAGCGAGTGTTTAACGTGTCATTGTGTGTGTTGCCAGGTACACAACCCCCTTCTCAGGAGTACTTCATATTACTAGAGTGGAGAAGACTGACAGTGGCATTTACAGGTGAGAATTAGTGATTGGTTGCATCGTAATTATTTAGTTTATAGAGAAGTTAATGAGAGGAAATATGTACTGTACTGTTTATATTGGTTACTGTGACGTGCCTTTTGGGTTTATAGTAATGCAGTACTTGTTTAATATTACATTACCTCACCTTACCTTACCTTACCTTACCTTGTGGGTATAATGTTTTAGTGGTACCATACTGTTGCTTACTTACCTTCACACTAGTTCATTCTCGCCTTATTTTGCATACTGTACTGGTAGCATATTGTTTATATTGAATTTTATCTCTAACTTTGGTTTAACAACAATACAATAATCTATAGTCAATAAATTTTTGTGTGAATAACGATGGGATGAGACTTGCCTGTTAGACACATCAATGAAGGGAAACACCAATGGCAATACAGTACTTTACTAAAATGCCCCCAAAGGTTAAGTTTCTTTTTCTTAAACTCTCTCATTGAGTTTGTTCTTGTCATTATAAGAATTTATACATGACTCTTTGTGTTTCACGTATCCCCTATTTTTTTTATGGTACTCGTGAAACTAGGTAAGAGGGCGCGCGCGCGCGCGCGCGCACACACACACACACACACACACACACACACACACACACACACACACACACACACACACACACACACACACACACACACTAAAGTATCTTTATATTGGGATCCGATGAATTTCAAAATGAACACTGCGAGTTCTGTTGTCTTGGTATTGTTGTCAAAATCATTTGCCCATTGTCATATTGTCTTGCAAAGATACTTTTTGGGTCAAGTATACATCTGTATGATTAATGCAGGTCTTTAAAAGCATACTACGGTAACTTTTATTGTGTATGTTTGAGACCATCAGGGAAGTTTAATTTGGAGATAGAGATTTGTGTGTAACTTATGACAAGGCACTCAGTGAGATCCATAGGCTTTAATATACTATACTGTACTGTGTTCTTTTATCCTTGTGGATGAAAAAAAAAACACCAAAATCAAACTTGAAATATTTTCTAGGCAAATAATTTTCTTTTGCTGTAAAGGATCACAAAGAGTGGTTTCAGTAAATACATGTACTGTGCTGTACAGTACAGTACAGTACAGTACAGTACAGTACAGTACAGTACAGTACAGTACAGTACAGTACAGTACAGTACAGTACAGTCTTTTGTCACTGGAACAGCCAAGTGCATATGTTTACTACAGTATAAGAGAAGATGATAAAACAGAAACCTTTGGGAAAGATTCAAAAGAAAATAAATAGTATGATGCATGAAAGGAAATGTTTAAAAAAACAGGAGTTGAAACAAGTTATTACACAGTACAGTACTGTCATTGGTTTGTACAGGTATTTCAAAAATTCATTACAAATTCTGTTGTTGTATATAAATGTAACAATAGCTTTGCAGGTAATTTGATCATCCAAATTGTTTCTGTGATCTAAAGGTAAGTTTTGTTATGGCATCACTATACTAAAAGTGATCTGCCATTAATGCTGGGTATCTTCCCCAGGTGCCTGGCGACAAACTCTGTTGCGGGAAAGGAACGTCGCAGCAGTGCCATTACTGTAACAGTTCTTGATAGGGGAGAGGAAGACAGCTACAAACCCCCCACCTTCCTCTCCCCACTCTTCCTCTCCCCCAAAGAACCTCTCAGAGTTATACAGGGAGAAAATGCAATCATTGAGTGTCTTGCAACAAGTGTGCCACTCCCCACAATCTCTTGGCAACGAAAATGTAAGTTAAAGATCTATATTGTGTTGTACTGTATACTAGAAATGGTTTGAAGTAGAGCGTTGTGCCTTTTAGCTCTAATTGCTTGAACTTTTGTATTTCATGCAAGATTTTACAGTAATAATACAGAGAGTTTTAAAAGGCTTAAGGGAAGAAGTGCCCTGGAAAGTGTAATAATAGATAAGAAGGTCAATTTAGGAGAGTGATAGAGCGTGTCAGAAAATGCAGTTTACCCTACAAGCACATTTGGGATATGAAACCTGGATGTATAAAACTGTGTGGACAGTTTGATTGAGTAAGTGCAGATTGTTAAATGGAAGGAGTGAGAAATACGAATAGGAAAGGAATGAATGCAATAGATATTGGGGAGGTGAGACTAAAGCACAGATAGGATGGATGCAGTTTGTGTTTTTGTTACGTGGAGGTGAGGCATCACAGGGAATACGAGCTGTACAGTATTATGAAATTTTTTACACAGCCATAATTTGAAGACCATAATACATTACAACCTCTCCTCACTTGTTTAACTCTGCCTTGACTGTTCTTTCAATATCCTGAAACTGTATAGCTTTCTCCTTCAGTAAGGTCCAATTATTTTTATGTTTTTGGTCTTTTGCAGTGAATGTAAGTCAAATTGAGGGCTGGGAGGACATAAAAAATGGAACAAAGGGTATTACAGTGATAGGCCAGGGAACCCTAGTGCTGTCAAATGTCCAGAACACCAGTGCTGGCCGCTACACCTGCACCGCTAAGACTGTGAACCCTGCCACTGAGAGTGAAACCATCATTTCTCAGGTAGGATTGCACCTTTTTTATGATATCACTTTGAATGTTCATCCTATAAAAGGTTTTGTGTGAATGAAATTTATCTTTGTAAATTGTTTTCTTGATTTTATTTTACTCTGAATTTTTTTTAACTATAATTTTACTACCAACACAATATACAGGATCAATTTTGTTTCTGAGAACCCTAAATGCTTAATATATTTTAGGACAGGCAATAAACAGGAACCTAAAAATCACTAAGGAATTTAGTCTGACCATTATGAAGAACATTTATGATGTGGTCAGACTTTATTCCTGCTGATACTTGGGTTCTGGTTTAGTTTATTGTTTGTCCAGAAACACCAAAGCAATCATTTAGGGCTCTTGAATAAAACAACATCCCATATAAGTACTGTATATAATGCATACTGATGTCTGTTTGTAGCCTTATGATCTCATCCTTAAATACTCATGTGTATTTTGAAAGAATCCAGAATATTGTTGGATTATGCTAATTGAATGAAAACTTAAGGTTATACTTTATAGAAAACTTATTTGATCAGAGTAGCCAATAAACTAAATTGAAATTAAAATGCCCTGCAGTACAGTACAATAATGAATTTAGGTTTCATCTCTGTAAAATTTTTCTCTTTCTAATTTGAACATTGTGCATGTTATTATTGACTGATACTTTCTACTCTCTGGCCTGAATATAATGATGATACAGCATTGTGTGCAGGGGAACTGTAAAGCATTATTGGACAATGTTGCATTTGTATTTGCTAATTTTTATACTGTACAGGTATTGGTATCTAGATCTTCTTTACTAAGTACCGTACGTATAGCATACTATATTGTTTTGCACAAAATACACAAGTAGGAATTAAATCCTTACAATGTTACGCCTCTACAATATATCAATTATTTTTTTATCGTTCTGTCAGCTTGATTACAATAATGAATTTGAATATAGTGTAGTGTACCATGTTTGGGTCCTGGGCTCTTACATACAAGTTTATCGGCTTACTTTAATCTCATTCTGATTGATCGGGACCATTTTATTTGTTATTTGTATGTACAGTATTAATTTTTAGGTGTACTGTACTCTACGAACACTTTTGACAATTTGTTAGAAGAGCAGAAACAGCGGGTACAGTACTGTAATATATGAATACGACCGAGTTTCTCATGATATGCTGAAATTTGTGTTATGATCAGTTTTAATTGGTCAACATTTTTTGGTAACCTAGGTTGCAGCTCAGTTTAGTAGGGGAGAACTAATGACTTTCACATAATTGTCATTAAGAGTGTGCTAAGTTTTTACAACATTGATTACCATTTGCTTTACCTGCTTTTCTTTATATTACAGGAAATAGAACTAGATGTTTTGGTCCCACCTGAAATCATTGATCCTCCAAAGCCCTTAGCTACGTTACTAGCAAAGACTACCCGCCTCAACTGCTCAGCAACGGGTCATCCCACTCCCCGTGTCAAATGGTACAAAAACGGGCATCTCGTCAACATTCAGGGACGCACCATTCAGGCAACCTCAAACCAGCTTGTATTCTTCAACTCGATCTCATCTGACACAGGAATGTACCAGTGCCTCGCTATCAACGATGCGGGATATGCGTAAGTGTTTATTGCCACATACTGTATTGTACAAAATCGTGAGTTATTTTTTCAGGCTGTTTAATGATTAAAGGGAAAATGATATTGGTTGCATAAAAAAAGTGTATGTGTATACATTAGACCCTTGCCATTCACGAGGGATAGGTTCCAAGTAATGGAGCGAATTGGCAAAATCGCGAATAGCCACTAATATAATACCTCAGTGCACTAATATACAGGTATACCTATACTGTGTATGAGAAACTTAAGTCACAATACTGTACTTACATTCATATGTGGAAGTCTGGAGCCTTCTCAGTGTTCACTATGTTCTTCTCGAACAACCTGCGCCACTTAAGCACTTGCAGGAGCTCTTGCTTGAACAGAATCATGAATTGCTTGTTCATTATTTCTTATGTACTGTACTGCACTATGGATTCATTCACACCAAATAACTGACCAACCGCGGTAGCACTCCTCCCCTCCTTTAAATTGTCTAATATATAATTCAACTTTCATTGCCAGAGTCATCACTGACTTTTGCCTTTTATATTTCACTCTACTAACATCTCTGACACTAGGCAGTCTTTTCGGGGCCATTTTCACAAAGAAACGCAAAAGTTTTGAGAGTATGATACTAGGTGTTTGGTCATGGGTACTGGGTGAGGGCAAACAGAGCTAGATGAGACGCCGCGGGTGCGTGAGGTGACTCATTGCGCTGAGGGAGAAGGCTCTCATGCTAGCCACCCGAGCCACCAGCTGCTTACCGAGAATTGTAAACCCGCGAATGGGAAGGGTTTACTGTATATGTAAGTCTGCATTCGATGTTTGTAACACTTGTGAGATCATTTTCATGAAAATTTGTACAGGCTGGCATAGTCTATTACTCAACATTATTATATTTGATGTGGATCTTGGAAAGTTACATCATTTGTCTTTCTGTGTTTTTTTGAATAATTCACCTTTCTCCCGATTCTCATTATTTGACTTTTATTTTTCTGTTTCATTGGGTAGAAGTGCTGTACTGTTTATGTACATCTGATACAGTGGGATGTGGTGCAAAGGTTCTGATTTCCCATTGGTTAAAATTACTCACTGGAGAAATTTCTTACTGCATCGGTACATATAGTTGAGGATATGAACAAGTTCAGTCGCCTGCACTTATACCTGGTACAGTACAGTGGCTGGCATGTTTAGTGAGATGCTGCAACTATGGAATGCTTATCTAGCATCCTTAGTCTGGCTACCGGGGTTGCCAGAGGTGCGACAAACTTCACGTCCAACACTAGCGCCATCTCACAGCCAAATCTGCCAAACCGTTTTTCATTTTTGGCCAAAATTCGGCCAAATCTTTTTTGATGGGAAGCAAAAAATATAGCTATTTTTGCAATCCACACAAAATAAAACGGTCTCCTCTACAATATCCACTTAAAATGTCATAATAAAACAAATTTTCACTTTAAATTGAGCCCAATAATTACATAAACATAAGGTCTATAATCTACAATGAAGATTTACCTTAATCTAAAATGGTGGTGGAGCGTGATAATGGTGGAGGAACTTGACAAGATTAGTTGACGTAAGCAAAAACATCTAGTCCGTCATCGTCCCCTGGTTCTTCTTTCTCATAGTCGTTTTTAGAGTTGAATAGCTGCATCATGTGTGGTGTTACGTTGAAATCTCTGCAACATTTTCCTTGGAACTGGAGGTGTGAGCGAACTCTAATAATTGCGTCCAACATTTCAGAACTGAGCCGATTTCGTGATTTGGTTTTGACGTTGGTTACCATGGAAAATATTCTTTCAACAACAGTATTGGGTTGGTGTTGTGAGGCAAGTCATAACATAGGTCCTTAATTCTTCAAAGGGCTGTTTGCCTGTTGAATTCTTGTACTGTATTGCAACACCCCAGACCAGAAAGAGAGAGAATCTGTGGGAATTTTGCCATCAAAAACCGACTCTTCCGCCCAAGACAAATGCAGTATTTTTCTGTACTGCTGCTCAATGGTATCTAATTTTTCACTTCGAAGGTTAGGCAGTGGAAGGTCTTTGAATGGCACTCGTCCAGTCTGGCTCAATACCTTGCGTGGAGCAAACGCACTCAAGCCTTTGAAGGTCCCTGTTGATGCTGGAAGTCTGCTTTCCACTTGTTTTAAGGCCTTGATTGAAAGACCAGCACATCGCATTTTTACTTCGTCTACCTTGCCTACTGGTTCAGTAGAGTGATTCTGTTGGTTTATGAAGGTGTACAACTCGTGCATGAATTTGTCACCATGTTTAGTAGTAGTGGTTTTCCATTCCTGTCAAGGATTCTTTCCTGCAAACTCTTGTGGTGCAGGAACAACTCACTTACAAGTTCTTCAGAATCAGCAACTGTTGTTTGAAAAAGAGAATTAACTCTTTCGAATTCTGTAACGATTGGTGACGCAAAGTGAAAGTACAACAAATTGACTGGATCCTCCAGCATTCCCAGAATTTCTCTTGCGTTGTAGCGACAGGAAGCATCTGCCCTTGGAACTGCAACAGCAAACTAGGCTTTCAGTTCCTCTCAGCATAAGAGGATATTGTAGATGACTTTTCCTCGAACTAGCCATTGTGTACACTTTCTGAAAGGAAAGAGGAGTTCCCTTTCATTCTTCCTTAACATCCTTTACCCTAAATAGTTTCTTAAATGCATCTCTATGGATGACGCTCTTAATGAACCACTTACGAACTTTATGCAAAAGGTATCCAAGATTAGATGGCAGCTTGTCAAAAGCTTTTTCAATGCCGAGTGTAAGTGAGTGACAGACACATTTGTTGAGCTGGCAGTTTGGTGACTGCTCTCTCACTCGACCACACTGAGTTATGTTCACCAATCATTGAAGATACATCATTACTGCCAAAACTGACACAGTCACACCACTTTAATCCCATCTTCCCCAGGGTGTTGCTCAGTGTCAAGAACATTTCATGACCTGTAGCCCCAACAATGGGCACAAGGCCACCAAATTTTGTGATAATTCTCAATCTTGAATCACTATAATACCTCACAATAACACAAATATGCTTGTCTTTGGCCACATCGGTTGCTTCGTCAACAAGCACGGAATACTTCTTGCCCTTTGCATCCTCTTGTAATTTGTCAAACAATGCTGGAGCGATTACTTTGGAGAGCAACTTACTGCACTTTGTACGCTGGAGCTACGGATTCTCGAGTTCACTTCCTTTACCGTTCTTTTTCATCATTTCTCCAAGATGGTCTACACTTGGTGTTGAACAGTGACAAGATATAGCCACCGCGAACTCTAACTCGACACGTTTTTTTTTTCACTGTCCCGTTTCCCTGGAGCGATCATCACAGGCAGGGCCCAACACATGGATAATGCAGCAACTATGCTTGAGTGCCCTTTCGATTTTTTGTGATCTGCCAAACGAGATGTTTTGGGAGCTATCTGTGTTCTACAAACTTTGCAATAAGCATTTTCACTTCCATCACTGGCTCTACTAACCCAGACATATTTTTCTTCCCATGATTTGTTATATTTTCTACCACTGTCGTAGGACCCTTTCCATTTACTTGTGGACATTTTGAAAACTAGCACTCAGAATTACAGAAAGTAACTTGGATGGCTTTATAAGCTCTGAAGCTTAACCCGTATAACTGGACACGTTCAGCCTAAACAACTCAAATATGAGAACTAACAACTGAGGTCAGTCAGCTCAGTAGGTCACACAATCACGTGATGAGGTGAGGTCACTGATTAGCTGAGGTCATGACAAGGTGAAGTCACTGAGCCAGTGTTGTTATTGTGAAATTTGAAAACCTGCTAGACTTGTCTTCAAAATCCACGAGATGAGGAATTAATACGTGTTTTACAAAATTCGGCCAAATAGTTTGGCCATGACCATCCATTTTTCCACGGCCAGGTGAAGTTTTTTACAGCCAAAGTAGAGAAATTTGGCCATGAAAACGGCCATCTGGCAACCCTGCTGGCTACTATTGTGAGGTTCCATGGATCCATTCTGGGAGTTTTAATATTATGTAAACAAACACAGAGTTGCCACATCTCATAAAATGCACCAGCCATTGTACTGGGTACAAGTGCAGGCAACTGACTGTATGTGTGGGTATATCTTGTTTTTTTTTAGCCTTGTCCTGTTGCTTTCTACACTTGTCTTGTCCCATACTTCCTCCAGTTCCTCCTTTTCCTTAAATTATATTTCTACTTCTTGTAATTCATGAACCATCCCATACAAATCTGAAAGAGGTCGTCATATAATATGAGATTGATAAATACTGTATTATGAAACATGTGAATAGTCAGGTGATTATGTAAGTATTATTTTGATAGAAGGGGTCAACACGTGACACTAATCTGACTGTAGTGAGTGATTGAAGGTATACAGTACTGTGTTAGTATCTGTATGGGAGTATTGTGTTATCAAGATGTGTATGAGTATATTAAGTACTGTATTATTATAGTGTTATGTGAGTGGATGTATGGTGTGAGTTTACAGTTGTTGATCTGTCCTGCTTGTTTCATATTTCTTTACATGCATCAACATAATCATCACTCAGTTACATGTATCAACATAATCATCACTCACAGTTACATGCCTCAACATAGTCACTCACACTATCATTCACGGCTATACAGAGACTTGACCACTACAATATGCTTCACAGCTTTCAGGTAACAATTTTGTTCACAATTTTTATACTGTATCCATCCACATCTTTTTGTTATTCCCATTATAACGTTTATAGCCACACTTGCTTAGTTTCTCCATAGTATCTTGTAGTCATTGTCTGTCTGTGCTGCAACATATATCTTTTGCTCTCTTTGATTCTGTGCATTTTCTTAGTTTTACTTAGTTATGTACCTGGTTACGTCTTATAGTGGTCTTACGGGGTTATCCATGTCCAGTCAGCAATAGCAGTTCGTTATTTTTCCACCTGCCTATCAATCTATTCTTCATTTTATCCATCATTAATTTCTTTATTCATCTGTCCACTCATTTTCCTTCCTATCCAGTGATATTTTGTCTTACCATTGAACTATCTGTTTGTTTGTCCATCTTTCCATAGTAATCCATCTCTGCCTTTATTCATCTGGCAGTCTCCCATGCGTTGTTGTTTACAAAATTTTGGTTTTTATGAAGTGTTCGCTGTATCCTGAAAGGATCTTTTAATTTTTAGCTCACCTGGCAGAAGTCAAGGCGAGCTTATGCAGTGGTCCTGCAACCACCCTGTGTCATCCACCTTGCCTCATGTGTCGGCTATTGTACGTCCGTCAACATTCGACTTCATCTGAACCATTGGTTCATTTTTATAAAAGTTTGGTATGGATGTTCCTTATGACACTGTTGTGAAAAAATGTACTTTGGGCGGCGTTCGTAGCAGCTGCCTTAATCCTGCCTACCTGATACACAACCTACTGGAAGTTTCTCCAGACCAATTAAACTGATCAGGTCGAAAATGAACTTACAATCTTGTTGGGGTGAAGCATTTAAAGTGATTCAAGGGATGTTTTATAAGAAATACATGGCAGCCATTTACCAGTCATAATACAGCTTTTTTTTTACTTCTTTTAACTCTGGGACTTTAACTGTGGAAGTGGGTCAATGTAGTTTTCCTGAGATGATGTTTTCAAGTACAGTATTGTGTTTATGAATGTATCCCAGGAGTATCCAGGTCTCTAGTGGTTGTTTCTGTTCATCTCCCCTTCAGCTGTTTCTTATTATGCTTGAAAACTATCTCTTGATGTGGATATTTCTTGTGACAGGTTTTTGCATTTGTTCTCTGGTTGATCTTTCTCTCCACCATTTGATCTTTATACCAAGTAGGTGTAAAAGCCTATTTCTGTTTTTCTTTCAATAACAACCATTTAATATGGCATTTAACATATACTATCATTGGGCTCAGACTATTCTAGGAGTGTCTCCAGAAATAGTAATTACAGCTGAAAGATGATAAAAATTTGACCTTAATCAACAACTCTTCGTTGGTGGACTTTATCCGAGAGACCAGGTCATGCAAGTCCTCATGGCTGGTAGCGAGAACTGTTGTATTTAGGAGTGTGTTCCTTGATTCCTGTCCCCCAGATGGTAGTGTTAAGTGTAGCTCCCACAGTGAACCACATTGCCCAAAAAATAACTCGTTAGATAAGGATGATGAGAATAATTATCTTTAGCTATCCCAGGTGTCTTGACGGTGGGAAACCCTAGACCAATTTGGTTCTCATGTTTGCTTTCCTATTAACCCTTTCTCAGCTCCGGTCACTTCAGGGTTGTGTAGTTGGTGATGAATGTTTCTTTGGCAGCTGAATTTTTTTTCTTCTTTTTCAGCAATTGGTTCAGGATGACTTAAGGCTTTATTGTTAGTTATTTTCTTGTCTTGTTCTCCTTATTTACAGCTGGGCAATGTTGCCTCATCTACACATAGGTGTGTGTGTGTGTGCGTGTGCATGTGTGTGCGTGCGTGCGTGCATGCTCTCTACATGAACAAATTCTGATCTCCTCTTGGCTAACACTCCTTAGACTCCCACATCTCTCTATATTGGTACTGTATGTCTTACTTGCAACATCCTATTCACATTCCACTTATTTCCTTCAACTGTGTCATATCTGTCACTGTGATGAATTATTTTAGTAATGCAATTATTTCTTCACACAGCTCAAGTTGGGCCCCCATGGTTATCAACTCATCCGAGGACCAACCAGACCCACCCCGGAATCTCCATTATGCGGATCTCACCAAAACCTCGGTCATCCTTACTTGGGATCCGGTTCACCGCACCAGTGACAAAATCAAAGCTTACTCAATCCACTATTTTGAATCAGGTGAGAAGCATAGGGGAACTATGTCATTGGTTAATGCTTACTCATGTACAGCAAGTGTGAGTAGAGTGGGTGCATCTTGTATCCTTCTTTAACTACCAGATAGTACAGTAATTCCTCAATAACTCGGCATGGATATGGTCTCGGAATGTATTACTGTATAGTATAACTCGGGAAATGCCAAGATATATAAAATTATCTGGGAAAATCTCTGCATATCTGGCCACCTGCATCACCTACCATGCCTCTGTGTCACCTACCATGCCCCTGTGTCACCTACCATGCCTCTATGTCACCTACCATGCCTCTGTGTCACCTACCATACATCTGTGTCACCTACTATGATGCTTCAATCTTTGCCTGCAGTGCTGGTAAGTGTTGCTTTTTTACATTTAGTAATTACATATACACATATATGGGTCAATAATTTTTTATTGTTGTATTTTTGTAGGAGGGGGGGTGCCTCAATAAGTCGGAATTTGAGATAACTCGGCAAGGCCAGAGCCCCATATGTGCCAAGTTATCGAGGGTTTACTGGAGTCATAGAAAAAAGTACTGTCAGTCCTCTATCCCATCCATTAACCCTGAGACTCGAGTACCTTTGAATCCGAGACTTCATACTGTGCACCATCTATGGGCCCAAAAATGTGTTATGTCTTGGATTCACAGGTTCATGAGATGGAGGACTGACAGGATTTTTCTGTGACTATACCTATATATGCTTAATGGACAATATAGGGCACAACAAAAGATGTGCTTACTGTATACCTAAATAGCAGATGAGTATGAAGCATCTCAGGTATTTGGTGGCAGACTATATGGTACTTTACAGGGATTTAGTCTCTTCTTTTGTTTATGATATTTTCCCCAAGAAAAATACTTTAAGTTTAGAGGAAATTGGGAAGAAATTATGGCATTGAAAATTTGTACAGTAGTGAAAACCAGAGGTAAAAGAGGAGTGTGGATCACTCTGTTACTGTTGATTTCTAAGGAAAGGATTGTACTGTACTGTATTGTGTTGTTGCACATCAGCACAAGACCCATCTGACTTGATTGTGTCATCAACTTGCATTATTTATAAAGAACACTGTTTAGTTAGAGAAAATCTTGGGACCTTGTTGGTGAGCTAATACCTTAAGTATACAATCTTAGTTCTGTTGGTCTATTTCCTTCATACTTCTTGGGGATGGGGCTTACCTGTGTTGGCTGTGAGACATGTTACTCTTATGTAGTGTACTGTACACCCACTCAAAAAAGGAGCTTTACGATTTTGTGTTAGACAACATGACACAACAGACAAAGGATTTTGACAACCCTACCAAGACAACGGGAGTCACAGTGTTCATTTTGAAATTCATCAGACCCCTCCATGAAGATACTTTTTGGAGCGAGTGTACATTTTAGATGCCCTGTATTGTAGTGCTATAATAGAAGAAAATCTAGAGGTTTGTCTCTGATGCCATCAAAATTATTGGTCTGATCTTCGTGGTAGATACAAGTAAATATATTTTTTTATGTTAACCACTTGTGTAATGTTTCCTTCTCTGCTGTATAACATAATCTAGTGTCCCTGTAGTGAAGTGGTTAACCTGGGAAAGTTGCTCGTAATTATTTTCTCTCGCCCTTGTTTAGTTCCACAACCTGCACACACAGCATACAAAGTAAGTCTTTTATACTCTTGGAAAGGCTAATGGAAATTTTCCTTTTTTTTTCTTTTTTTCAGAGGGCAATGGAATAGAGCGACAAGCAGTTTCTCAGGATGCTTCTCATTTGCTGGAAAATTTGAAGCCCAACACCAAGTACACAGCCTTTGTGAGAGCCTACAACAACTTTCCCTCAGATCAGTCAGAGAGTCTTGTGTTCAAGACTGACGAAGACGGTGAGTTGGTGGAGTTCAGAGTGTGAAGACTCTTTTTAATTGTCTTTAATATTACAAGAAAGAGTACTTGTGAATAATGTATGTTCATCAGTTAGAAAAACCCCACAATGACAAACAAAATGTTGATCAGTGTTTTAAGTTTTAACATAGAGTAAAAAATGTAAATAAAAGGTACAAAAAACCATTTGTTTAGAATGGATAGAAAAGTTACTGAGGAAGTATTGATAATCTAAAGGGTAAATGGAAAAATTATAACCAGACTTTTACAGGTGGAATGAAGCCGATGTTCTTGAGTTTTATTGGAGTTAGGGAAAACTGATTGAAATAGACAAAAGGACAGTGAGAAATATCAGGTGACTGTGAAAGAAGGAAAAAATATATGTGCGTGCGTTTGTTTGTTTTAAGTTATTGCCCATCTTGTTTTATTCAGGAACAGACTGTACAATGTTAAAATAATATAAATATATATATATCTTGAATGTACAGGACCATATTTTTTCCTTTGCAGTTCCTATGAGGGCCCCAAGTGTGCGGCTGACTCCTATATCACCAACAGTAGTTCGAATCACTTGGAGCAAACTGCCTCCAGAACAAGCCCGAGGAACGATCATTGGTTACAAGATCTATTGGAGAAAACTGGAGCATCACTACTACAATGTTAATGAGGTATACACCATGTCTCCCTTCCCCAGACACAGAAAGCTTGGGAAGAAGTCACATTGTGTGTGTAGAAATAATTTGCTTGTATCCGTCTCCTTTGTTACGTTGGAGTTATGATTCTTGAAGTTTGAAGAGAAGGCTGTTCAGCTTTATGATGAGAGGAATTTACTGTTATTCTAGCTGCTTGTTACAAGTATATCAGTTCATTGACACAAGAAAATAATAATAGTACAAGTATTGATATTTTGAACAAAATCGGTGAGATCAAGATTGTGGCCGAAATGATAAGTCTTGCCCCTTATATGATTTTCGGCCAAAAATACCTTTTCTCACAGAATTTAAATTTAATTTGTCTGACTATTAAAGGACATCCATAACAACACATAAACATCAAAAAGTGACCTTGAAAACCATAGACAGTGAGTAATTTGAAAAGTATTGTACAGTGTGTTTTTTTATAAGTCCTTTCAACTCGTTATTCCATTCAGGTATCTCCCGATGTACACGAACATGAGATCACTGAACTCCTTCCGAGTACGAGATATGAAGTACAAGTTTTGGCGGGAACAAAAAAGGGATACCCCACCAGAAATGACCTGCCTTGGATACCCCTCAAGACGGGTAACCGTAACCAGAAGAACATCCCCCTATCACCTGTTGTGACTCTGAAGGTGATAAATAACACTTCCAAAGATGACTCAAAGAAGCTAGCAATAAAGGTAAATTATGCAGACTGGCAAATTGATTTTGTTTGTTTGTTAATCTCTCTCTCTCTCTCTCTTTTGTACTATAAAGACTGGGTTTTCTGTGGCAGACTTATCTAATGGATCATGCATGTTGCTGAAGGTCATTGGATTTGCCATTTTCAGGTTGCCTGGAAACTTCCGCCTGAGAACACTGCAGAGGTGGAAGGGTTTACACTCAAGTACAAGCGTCAGGACAAACAATGGCAGAGTTCAATTACTTTACTTCCTACTCAGACCTCCCATACCTTTAGTGGTTTAGGTAAATATTATGACATTTTCAATATTCTTATTTTATGTATGATTAACAGATTTAAGTTTATACAGGTTATATTTAATTCAATTTTCTACCAGTAAATTACCTTATAAACAGCCATAATTAAATTTATTTTGTAAGATAACAGATTTTGAAATCCACAAAGAGGCTTGCGTGTGGTGTTTGTGTTGCTCTATCATCTGTATTATTTGTGTCTGTCTGTATGTGTGTGTGTGTGTGTGTGTGTGTGTGTGTGTGTGTGTGTGTGTGTCTGTCTGTCTGTCTGTCTGTCTGTCTGTCTGTCTGTCTTGTTCTGTGAATTACAAACATAAAATAATGGTAATGTTTCTTAACAGATGCTGACATGTATACAGTGCAAGTCAAAGCATACAGTGCAGATGGTGATGGTGGACCGACAGAGGTGGTGGTGAACACAGCCCCTCCCAGCCCCAACACTACACTCCCCCTCAACACCACTTGGAATATTTACCTGGTACAGTAATAGTGAACTTGGGTTGTACAGTTTCAGGATATTGAGAACATATTTAGTTTTGTTTCATCATAAGCATTTCTGAATACAAATGGATGTTCTTGTATAAGTTACTTATTATTTATGTTTATTTATTTATATTTAGAACTAAGTTAAGTTATAAGCTCTTTTTGTTTTCATTTTTAGTTCCATTAACAGTCCTCTACCTTCTCCATTGTCCCACCTTCTGTGCTTGTTAGTTTATTTCATCATGTACTGTATTCCCAAAAGCTGCTCGCTCTCCCCACACAAAGTTCTCTCAGTCTCTCCATATCTGTTCATACTTCTCTCCCAGTTCTCTCCACTTCCTTAGCATCAATTCCTACATTTAACTCTGACCAATTCTACTTCCCCACATTTGAGTTTTGTTACAGTAATTCAAATCTTCCCACAACCTCTCCTTGCTCTTCTCATTCTCTGGTGGATATGTACTATAATGTACTGTACTGTATTTACTATAATCAATTAGTGCAATGTACCCCCAGACCAAGAGTGGGGATGCTTTCATGCCAACAGTATTATGTGTGCAGTCGCTCTATAAACCATCTTTAATTTGGGGGGAGGGGGGGGGCATGAATTTCAGAATGCTCACTGCAACTCCTGTTGTCTCGGTAGGGTTGTCAAAATCCTTCATCCGTTGTGTCGTATTCTCTATCAATTTTTGTAAAGATAGTTTTATGAGCAACTGTACATATTCCTTTTAAATAGTTGATGTGAAAAAAAAATTAAATTAATAGGAAATTGAATGTTAGGTAAAAATAGCAGAATATATAAGGTGCTTCAGGTGGGAAGTAGACAGTTTTAAATTAAATATAATGATTTAATAAACATGTCTCAAGGAGCTTGCATGTGCTGAAAGGAGTAATGAAAATAAAGCAAGGGAAATGTTTTGAGAATTATATTTGACACTTCGCCTTTGAAATTTTTCCTCTGATTATAATTAAACCTGTTCATTACAGTTGGAAGCTGACCCTCGATCACAGACCAGCATCCACTTATCATGGAGGCTGATGGAGGGACAGGAAGGGGCAGCGTACTACACTCTCAAGTACCGAGAAATTACTCATTCACCAAATTCAGCCGAGGCAAAATTTGTGTGCAGGTAGGTAACTGATGCAGTGGATTAACATTAATTGCAAAACTAATCTCAGTGATAAATTTTTTTATTATCTTTTACTGTACTATTTGATGATGGTCAGAACTATGCACTACCTGTACATTATCCCCCTATTCTTCCCCTCTCCAGTATTTTATCTAGTCTATCTGTTTGTAGTTAAAAGTTTATATAACAATATCCTTCAAAGGTTCTCAGCAAAATGTGTAGATTAACACAGTACAGTACAGGTTGTACCTCTCTAGTCCGGCATTCTGTGGTCCGGAAACTCCCATGGTCCGGAACGATTTTAGTTTGTCCAATAGGTAGATTTTTGCCCCTCAGGCCCCAATGTGGGTCAGTGACCTATGCCCGGGTGGGCTAATCCCCTTAAAAAAAAAAAAAAGCCGCGGGAAATTAAGGTTTGTTTACATCCGGCAGTTCGGCTGCTCTCTCTCTCTCTCTCTGCTTGTCTATACAGAGTACAACATTTAACCCTTCAATATATATGAGCAGTAAATAAGTGTTGCTTTCATATTCTTATGTAGAGTAATGACGATATGTTTTCACATGTGTGCACTTACATACGCGCAGTCTCACTTTTTTTTTTACCATTAATGTTTAGCTACTTCTATCAATGCCGGCAGCCGTCTCGTCTCCTCTAATATTCCACATATTATTAATAAATTGTATTGTTAATTTTGCACCCACAAACATTAATTCAATAAAATCAAATTCAGAAACATTAATTAAAATATATATGAACAGTAAATAAGTGTTGCTTTCATATTCTTATGTAAAGTAATGACGATATGTTTTTACGTGTGCGCATGCGCACTTACATACGCGATCTCTCTTTTTTCTTTACCATTATCGTTAGCTACTTCTATTGTTCCATTTATTAACATTAAATAACATTACTTAAAACAACCATATTAATTTTACTACAGCTACAGCCAAGGTCTTATTTCCTTCAGTTTTATATGTAGAACCAGTCAGTCACTGGTTTTGTAATCAACGAAAACAATGCTGTGTCATTTCCTCGTGTGTTTTAATATTCTACGTATTATTAATGAATTGTATTGCTCATTTTGCACACATAAACAATAATTCAATAAAAAAGACATTCAGTAATAAACAATAATGAATCTTTTGTACATAAGAGAAATGACGCTGTTTACATGATTATGCACATCGTCTGCATGTTGGCGGGCTGTTCAAACCCGTCGAAATTCAAGTTTCCGCCGTCAAAATTTTTATTTAGTTATTTTTTTGTGTGTTCCAATAAAATACGTTAAGAATTAAAAACTCGCGAAATTTGAGAAGCTACTATACGACATTTAACCCTTCAATATGTCTTCAAAGAGACCATGATGCAGAGAAAGTGGTGCTAGTGCTTCCAAGCATAAGCACAAGTCACTATCTATCCAGGAAAAGGGTGAATTTCCATGGTCCGGCACCGGTCAGGTCCCGAGGTTGCCGGACTAGAGAGGTACAACCTGTATAACCTTTTTCTTCTCTATTTTCAATTTCTTTGTTTCCCCCCGGGCTCCATTGTGGGTCATTTGGCCTGTGCTCGGGTGGGCTAATTCCCATTAAAAAAAAAAAAGTCTTTGGATGATTTTACATATGTTTTGCCATTTTGATTTTTCACTCAAAACTGGGTTTTTAACGGAATTTAAATTTTCAGTGAGGCACTTGAGACTGTTGTTACCGGCCTGAAGCCATTCACCACATACGAGTTCAGTGTACGAGCTCACGAGTCAGCAAAGGTGTATGGCCCTTTTAGTCCACCAGTGCAGGCTGTGACTATGGGGAACTGTAAGTACAGTACTGTGTGGGTGTTCATGGGTGTGTGTGTGTGTGATTGTTCATGGGTGTGTGTGTGTGGGTGTTCATGGGTGTGTGTGTGTTTGTGTGTTTTTTATTATTTTTTTGCACGAATTACTGTACAATATAGGATTTCCGATAAACATACCTCTGGCACATAAACAGCAACTCTTTACACGCCTGTTATGTGGTATGGATCAGTGTTACTTGATGTCTTGGCTTCCCTCTTTCAGGGTGTAACTCTTGTGTCAGTTCAGGTGTTTTATGACACTTCACCTGGAAGTGTATCTATTACATGATACAAACAAATTCAAATTCTTTTTATCAAAGGCAACTTCACAGCCAATTGTCAGTGGTCATAATTAACAGCAGGTGTATTATGTGCTCTATTGTCCTTATTATTGAAGTATAAGTTACTATATTGTATGTATTAACATTAATATTGTATTATTTAGTATGAATTGGCCCCCTCGGCCTGACAGCTTGTTTTGGAGCATGGCAGATACAGCACTTTGAATACCAAGCTTTTGATACACAAGGAGGCAGTGTGGTTGGCACTGCCCCGGGTTAGGGTGCTGCTGGCCGTACCCCCCACGCGGGGTAAATCGAGAAAAATCAAAGCTTTTCCAAAAATAATTTTTAACCTTTTTAAATGATAAAACAATAAAAAAGTAGGAAAAACTATATATTGACCCTCTAGAAACTTCCCTGGGGTTGCAGTGGTGGGAAAATGGCAGCGTGGAGAGAGGGAGATAAGGGGACAGCGTTGTTTTGACGGCGAGGGCTCGTGATCACGTACGCACTTCACGGCCATTTTCTGCTTTTCTTTGTGTCCGGGATGGCGAGTAATGCATATATTTACTATTCATAATGCTTATTTCCTATTAATAATTAATTTATGATTTATTTTATTTGCATTATTTTTCATAAAAAATGCTGGGCGTCACACACACACACGGCTTTGGGAACGATTTTCCGAGCAGGCACATTTTCTAGAAAGTTCCGAGAAAATTTTCCCAATACCCAGAAAAATCATGGGATGAGGGATATTTTTCCGGGTTCGAGAGATGATGTAATGGGAAATTTCTGGAACTTCCGAGAACATTTTTCCGTTATACGTTATACGGAAAATTCCGGGGATGAGGGACTTTTTTCCGGCTTTGAGAGAGTCGTCTCGTTACCCGGAAATCTCTCATTCCCGGAAGTGCTCTGCACCAATTGTTTCGGCTAACGGAGATATTGCTTTGTACACTACTTTTAGCCATATTGCTTTGATACAACATGATAAAATGGACAAACAATGAAAATGAAATACATAAACAAAAGTAGGTACCGTATTTTGCGGCATTATAAGACTCACCAGCGTATAGGACGCACCCTAAATTTAGATAAAATGTGTTGGAAAAATATAATTGAGGGGAATTTTAATGTTAAATTTTTTTTATTGCCACTTTATTTGTAAAAAAGAAAACATTCATACCAAAACATGTCAGTAAGTAGTATCGTAACTTTACCAAAATATGAAGACACCATAACCTCATTAACTTTTAACCTCATTACCCTTAAAGAGCATTATACATTTTCAAATCCTAAAAAGTCATGATTGCTGTCATTCTGTTCCTGGCTATCATCATCTTCCTCACATTCCTCGGGGTCGTCATTGCTTTCAGAATCAGATGTGTCACTATCGTTATGTAGAAAATCATCTTCGGTGCCATCTAGGGCATTGCTAATACCACAACTTTTGAATGATTTTATAATCGTCTCGTTTTTCACAGCATTCCACGAGTTTTTCACCCATTGGGCTACCTGGGAAAACGTAGGCCTCTTCATACGGCCTGTTTGTGTCAGTTCATGTTGTGGGGCCTGCATCCAGTTATTCCACTCCTCTCTCTTGTGTGCCTTAAAAGGCTTGTTTATTAAAACTTCAAGGGGTTGTAATTAGGAAGTCAGTCCACCAGGTATTACAGCTATTTCTGTGTTTAAGTTCTTTACCCTTCTTTTTGTATTCTCAGATGTGTGCGCACGAAATTGGTCCCAAACAAGAAGGGATGGTGTTTTGCGTAAAGTACCAGGACGCCGTGACCATACTTTAGCTAGCTATAACTTTATGCCATTCCAAAAGCTTCCCTGAGTGTGGCATGACACGCAAATAGTCAATTTGGAACCTGATAACCCGCGCTGGGCATTCAAAGAATGCCGCGAAAAGACGAGCGTTCCGGAACATCAACCAGGGCGCCCCAGAGGGCCTAGATGATCGTTCCGGAATGACTTTCGGGGTGTAGGGGGTTAAGCACAAATTAACAACCCTTAGGAAAGGAAGCCAAGGCTGTATCCTTTGTGTTGCCACAACTAATTTAGTGCTTGTGTGTAAAAAATTGAATTATACTAGTGGTAACCTGAGTGGTTTGATTTGAAGTTTTTAGTATAGATTCAGACAGCACAAGCATACAAATATCAACATTTACTGAGGATAACACACAAAGTATTAGTACCTGTAATACTTATTTCCAGTGTGGTGCTGACTTAGACTCAAAGCTTAATGTAACCACAACTTTGTAAGAAAATATTACATTTATATACCATTAGATATCACAATCTTACTAGTGAATGTTTGGTTCAAAGGTTTAAAAGGTGGCATAATTTGCCCAACATTAAGATATGCGAAGAAGCTTCCTGTGTTGAGACGGATATAGTACCAGGGAACCGAAGAACATTATTGCTGAAGGTGGTGGAACATTAGACTGTGTTCCTGGTGTGGACAAAACAGGACTATACTGTATTATGAGCAACTTCTGAAGAACATATCTGTTCTCAACACCAATATCAAGTGACAGAAGAGTAGAAAGTATATGATGTCAAAGAAGTTGTGACATTTTTAAAAAGTCTGCCAATGAAAAATCCACCAATCCTACAGCATATCCACCTTGTTACTGTCAGGCAAATCCAGCTTTGTCAAAGCGCTTATGTAGGAAAATTCTGGAATACTTGGCAGTGTAGTCATTTTGAAACTTCGTTGAAGGAAAAAAGTTGTCTTGTTAATTTCTATTGTACAGTACAGTGATATTTCCGTTAGTCGGAACAATTAGTGCAGAGCACTTCTGGGAATGAGAGGTTTCCGGATAATGAGACAACTTTCTCAAAGCTGGAAAAAATCCCTCATCCCCGGAATTTTCCGGGTAACTAAAAAATTTTCTCAGAAGTTCCAGAAATTGCGCATCACATCATCTTTCAGAGCCAAAAAAATCCCTCATCCCTGGAATTTTCCGGATAACATTAAAATTTTCTCTGAATTTCTGGAAAATGCACCTGATTTTCATATCAAACCAGGAAAGAAAACTCCCCCATACTTGGAATTTTCCGTAATTATCCAGGTGCTGGAAAAATTTTCTCAAAATTTGGCAGAAAATGTGCCTCTCGGAAAATCGTTCCCAAAGAGGGATTCCGGCTAACGGAAATAGTACTGTACAGTATTTGGGAATTTAGTAATGGATATCTTGGAGGCTTGCGGATGGGAAGTAGCTGTAGAGAATACGGTATCACAGCTGGAAAGAATGAACAACAACAAAAGAACTGGAGGTGACAGAGTTTTTTTTATTCCCATCATGTGTCATGTTAGAAGAGCTTATGAGAGGGGAAATGATGATGCGGTTTGGAAATACATAAGATCATTGTTACAGTGGTGTGTCTTACCAATTAATTTGTGAATCTTGACTATTTAAAGCTAATTGTAATCACGTACTTGATATGGATTACTCATTACTTTCAGTGCCGATGGCCCCCGAGGAGTTTGCCTATGTACCTACAGATGCTTCCACGATTCGCCTGATGTGGGACACACCCGAAGACAAGGAAGGGAATATTCTCAAGTATGAGATTTTGTTTTCCCAGGACAAAACTGAACCCTTGTCCAAGTGGAAAGTACAGGAGGTGGATGGAAAGGCTGCCACAGATACTGTAAGTCTATCAAACATATATTAATCTTTTGGTTTGTGGTGGCTGTTTCTGATATACAGTAGTTAAACTTGCTTATTTAAAAGATGATTATCACTGAAGAGCTGGTCAAAATAAATATTTTTCTTGTATGGGTTGACAAGACCAGTTGCTGAGGATGTATGATAATGTGGTCAATATAGTTTCAGGTGGTGATATCAAATGTGTACAGTAATGCTCTATGTGTTTTGTAGTGGCAGCATTTTCTGTTACAGATGGTAACAGATGTGGTGAGAGATTACATGCAAGGGAAGCTGCTTTTGTATTATTTCATATGATGTCAGTTGTAGCTGGAGATAGTTAGTGCATAATTTTAAAATAGCAGTTCAAGATGCAAATTACTATCTTGGTGAAGTACAGAAGAAAAGAACTATTAAAGTGCACATTCAGCTGTATGTATTTATTCTTCCTAATAAATTAGAATGAAGTCAGAATAAGGGTACTTACTGTTTTTTTTTTTTTTTTTTTTCCAAATTACATTTACCCGGTAGTTATATTAGAATTATTTTATCCTGTGCATAGGTGGGCGGATTGGTTTCCAATACTGAATATTGGTTTCGGATCCGTGGGTGTACAACACTTGGTTGTGGAGCAACGACAGAACCAATTTCTGCATCAATTCGAGCCATCCTCCCTCCGAACTCCAGTCTGCCCACACAAAATCTTTGTAAGTAATGAACTGAGAAACAACTATTTTTTTTTTAATGTTAAAGATGTTATGTAGATACTTTACCTCTACATTACTGCATTTAAATAAGAATGATAATACCTCATAAACATTTGGATATACTTAAAGGTTATGTAGGTGTTAGTAGAGAGATTAAAATTTTTAATCAAAATTGTTATCCTCAGTCTTGGGTTGAGCATGAGATAGACTTATTACAATCTTGTGTTTTTAAGTAAGTCTGTCTGTAAACATGAGTGTGTAACTTCAATTCATCAACCATTGTCTCCCCTGATAGTGGGGTATTGTATTCAGTTAGATGAGTTTACTGCCTCAAATAGTAGATACATTACCAGTTGTTATGTAAGTATGACCCCAGAGAGCAAGGTTTCAGGAACAGTTACAGTTTTGATAATGTTATATTTAAATCAGTGTTCATATATATTCTTGGTTAAGTGTAGTTTGTAATTATTTATCAATACAAAGAATATTTGTTATTGCAGATATTATCTGTGGTTCTGTGGCTTTTGTATTCCTGTTACTGATAATTGTGGTGGCCATGTGTCTGGTTAAGTTCCGCAACATGTCATCCCAGCCACGGGGGGTGTTGACCTGTAATGGAAATGGTCACATTAATGGCAAGAGGAACACACAGGGGATGAGCATTGGACAGCCAGATGGACAGTCTGACATCGAAGGTCAAGAAATGGAAGTATATATTCCAATGTTGACACAAATACCTCCAGATTTTAAGTCCCCGCCACTTGATACTAAGGTAAGCATATTGTTCTCCCTTATCAGTACAGTACATGCTTTTTTAGAGAATGTCATTGTGTCTGGTGTACATTATTCAGAGATGATAATATTTTAAATATAAGGGGCCCTATGGCTCCCTGGGGTGGCAGTAAAGGAAAATAGTTGTTGCCCACTTAAGACGTTTCCTATGAAGTTTAAAAAGTACATGAAAACAAGCACCTAAAGTTCATGCACTACATCTTTGAAACTAAGATTTGGAAGAAAAAAATTTAATTCAGATTTACAGCCAAATAATTTAACCATATAATTGGAAATATTTGCATCCTTTCTTCATAGAAAAATTGTCTTTTGTCTGATGAAAAATTTGGGCATGATTTGTGAGGAAAGAATGGCACACAACTGGAAGTGCAATACAGTATATCCACTCCCTCCTTTGAAAGCTTGCCAGCTACAGAGAAGCTGTTGAGGGCCGAGATGTGAACAGTTCATATCATGACCTTTTTTTACCTTGTTTAACTTAAAACACAAAGTTTGGTGATTTCTTACTGAAAATAGCAGCAGGGGTTCCTAAGGCATATTGTAATTGAAATGCAGTAAAGTATACAGTGCAACATTTTGTAATAAGTTAGGTAAGGCCTTAGTAAAATGCAGTAATATAAGTTGAAGGAGATATAAGAGGAGGACTGGGGGCTGATGCTCTAATATGGCCATTTAGGAGATTTTGTGAATCCCGCTTTACCATAGTTAATGAGGATAATAAGTTAAAGATTTGACTGTTATGTAAAGTAGCTAAAACAACTATCTGTGCATACTTTGTGGGAAACAATATGAGACCATGGACAATAAAAATTGGCCTTTGAGGGCTGTCACGAGTCACACATAAAATTTTAGAGCATATCGACCTCCACCTGCACAGATAGGTGTTTTAGCTACTGTACAATCCTGCAATCTGTGCAGTGTCAGTTATTTTGTGCTGTTTTAGTGTTTCATGATGGAACAAGAATTTTGGAATCTCAAACAGGGTTTTTTTTATTTTTTTATTTTTTTTAAGGAAATAATTTCTGAATCACACAGAACTAAGTACAGTATTATCTTAGCACATGTTATAGCACACATATATTGTACATACAGTATATTAGCAGTATGATTACTAGACATACTTGTATTAAAATTATTACAAATATTTATAAAACAAATGAGCATGTAAGTTAAACAACTGAAAACCGAAAAATATAATGCGAATCAATTGAATTTTTTTCCCACCTTTTAGTGCTACTATATGTCAGAATAAACATAGGATAACATCTTTCTAAATGGAACAGCATACCAGAACAAAATTGCACTTTTGCTGTTCCACATTAGCTTTCTAGATCAATGGCCTCCACCGGGTAGCTCATATTATTGTGTAGTTTGTCCATTGTGTGATTATTTGATCAATCCTCCATTTACAATCATAACTGAGAAAATAGGAATTGTGCACATTCCATCTTCATCTCATGGTAAATGAACAGGAGCTAAAAGGGTGGGAAACATGTACCAGAGGTCTTGTTTTCTGCTGAGGGAAGATCAGAGGTGTGGTGTGTCAGGGTGGTGAACTCAAACCAGTGATCTTCTTTTCTTGAAGGGCAACTCACTTATTCTTTGGAAACATTTCTTCTATAAGTGATTTGTCAAAGCTACCTATATATAGTGGAAGGATGAGCTTCTTATTTAGTCTTTTCTATTATGGTCAAAATGTGATGCAGTGGATAGTTTGGAGCCAGTTGAATTAATTCTATTGCTGAACAGAATCATTTGTTTCTCTTACTTTGAGAACACAACATACTGTACATATATCGTTTCCTACTATTGATCTTTTTTAAATTGTTTTATTTCATTATGGTTCTTTATTATTATTATCAGTGTTGTTATTATTGTAATTGTTATTATTATTATTTATTTTTTTTATAAATTTTATTTACTATGAACTTATTATTATTGTTATTATTATTATTATTAATTACATTTTTGCCCCCGGGTCCTGATGTGGGTCAGTGACCTGTGCCCGGGTGGGCTAATATTATTTAAAAAAAAAATATATATATATATATATATATATATATATATATATATATATATATATATATATATATATATATATATATATATATATATATATATATATATATATATATATATATATATATATATATATATTTTTTTTTTTTTTTTTTTTTTCATTGTGAAATAAAATTACAGGATCAATTTCTCCCTTAAGAAAAGGAGGGGAGCTGTTTGTGTATACCTAGTCACCTACCACCTCCCCTGATATTGATGTAGTTGATTATTTCTACCTCCTAGTGAAGGAAAATGTGTGAGAATGCCTCAAATGTGTTAAGGATTTATTCTTATAATTGTCCTTGGCTGCAGGAGCATGGAAGCTACAGCATGGTACTCCTGACTTTGACACACAATGTTATGTAGATAGTTACAAAACTGTTTATAGAGGAATCTTCTTAGAACCACTATAGTAACACAAGAATTACATTGTCTAATTTATACATAAACTGTTGTGTTGAGAGGATTTAACACACACATAGCAGTTTTGATCTGCACTATATGTAGGCCGACTGTCCAGGAACACATACTCTTCAAAGTGAAGAACTGCCATGACACTGAACACTGAATTTGTTCTTCAGGGAGGCTACCCAGACAGTCGGGTGAATGGGTTGAATAATCCATGGTGCAATGGATATATCAGGAGCCGAGATCAGCTGCAGCCAGGTCTTCGGGCAGAAGCTCAGGTATGAAGCACCACATACACCAAGACTAAAGTTTTGTTTGATATTAACTAAATCTTACAAAGACCAAAATGAATCAAAGAAAAAAGGCTCTGTACTCACCCAATTGGCAATTCATGTGGCTGAGGCCGCCTCCCTTAAGTGACATAACACAGCCCATCAGTGTGATGTGTTTAGTGGTAGAGGTTTAGCACAGTGGTAGGCAGCTCTTAACTACAGTACTTTTCTTACAAAATTTAACATATCGTACAGTTTATTACTGAAATATATTAATCATCTTGAAAAAATAGCAGAAAAAAGTGTAAACATATAAACAGAAAATGAAAATGAGCAACTGACGCTGCTGCCCATGTTCACATTATTTTGTGTGTAATCTTACATTATTGTAACAAGTGATTTGATATTTGTCAATAATGACCATTAAATGTGTGATTCTTGTGAGAATATTCTGCTTCAGAATCATACACCACAAAATAAACTTTGTAAAATATTATTAAGACAACTTCACTTTATAATTGCTTCATAATACCAAAGGGGAGGGAGAGGGGGAGGGTGTGACCTTGTTCAGAAAACTAGAAGATTCACATATCCAGCAGCTGCTAGTCCCAACACTGATACTACACTACAAGAAAGTAAGTGAAAAATTTAGAGACTTATTTTAAAATAAACTCGTTGTTGCATTTAATGATGAATTTGTTATTAATTTCATAATAATTTTGTTTTCAGGGTGGATCAGAGGAAGAAAATGAACGGCTAGTAATTGGTGCTAGCAGCAGTAATGGTTCCATGAACAGGAACGTTGTTCCACAAGCCCATCAAAACCATCACCAAGAATTAGGGGAGCCAGTTGGAGGGAGAGATGAGTGTGGCCACGACCCTGCTGGCACACCACCCCTGTCACCAGTACACCAACACAACCACAGTGGAGCCTCTCACGAAGGCCTCACCAACCTAACCAGCCTCACGACTCTGAGTGTCACTGACAGTGAAGGGGGAATGGAGCAGGACAGAACGATGGTGGGAGATGCAGGGCATCACCGTGTAAACAATCCACACCAGCACAACCACCACCATCACAGCACTGGTGCAACAAGAGCATCGTCCCCGCGACCTCCATTGACAACGGTGCAGTAGCTGCATTGGTGTCTGGGTTTTAGTCCCAGCTACCTTCCCTCGCAGGCCCCTATCACCGAGACTCTCCTCTGGTCTGATGCGGGTATTCATACGTATACAAGGCCTGGCCCAGCTGCTGCGGTGGTATGTGGCAACTGTGCTCATCCAGCCCACAGTGGACTTGATGCGTGTGCCTTGACCCAAGTGTACAAATGTTGTCAGTGTGGGTACTTGAGACCATCAAATGAGCGGGGCTGGGTCAGGCACCCCACTGTAGCCACTAACAGCTAGTTGTTGTTTGGTGTTTACATTGTAAGCATTGTGGATATGGCTCTCAATCACACAGTTTTGGCTCGGTGTTCCGTGACAGAAAAGTCACGGTACAGTTTACTCACCGAGGCTGATTGAAAGGAGTACAAAATGATCATTTTTCCTGTCATTTTTATCTGTAAATTGTGACTTGAGAGTCGTGTCCAGGGTGCTCCCTCATTTCTCTGACAACAAGGTATCAGGGATTATCCTGGCAAATAACGGCATGCCTGCCCCTCCAACCAACCCCCACCACCACCACAGCCCCAAAGATCCCTCTCACGTCTTCACAACCTCAGTGTTTCGCCATATTTGTATCAGGGATGGTAATCTCTTCTCACCTCTTTTGATAAGACTGTAATACAACTTTGATTTTAACATGTTTAATTTGTCTGCTGTTTTATATAACATACAGTAGTACAAGAGTAATGGGTTATTAATACTTTATGTATAAATCAATATTAGGCAGCAGTCACATTATATAACATTTCTGTGTTTTTTTACTGTTGAATAATTACAGTCTGAAATCAGGGAGATTCATACCAAGAGCATCTACAGAGTACAGAAAGTACTTTCTGTACTACAAGATCACATGCAGCGCTTACATCATTGTAGTAGCTACCTGAACAACTCTACAGGTTATTAGCCTCTCATGGTGGGTGAAGGATCTCTCACATATTGATCTACAAGGATAACTCTGAAAACCATGAGTAGCTTATGTCATACTCACATGTACCCGGTTGATCAAAGTATACAATAATTCTCAGAGTGCTGTACTTGGTTAATAAATTACTGTGATATAATTTAACGAACATGTGGTAGCTAATTCCAGTTTCTAACAAAAAACTGAACATTCAAACATTTTGCATTAATTGAAATGTATTACGTGTTAACATTCTAATATCATCCAACAAGGCCCACATTGTAGCTATAAACTTAAGTGATGCCTCGATGGTAATACCAGCAAATTGATGTTCTTTGAATATGTAATTATGTTTATTACTTACAGCATGTTTATACTGTACTCACTATATATGAGAAAACATTTTCTTCTGTAATGAATTTCTCTATATATATGTGGCGATAGTGAATAAGGTGAGAGAGTGGCATAAGCGTATATCATGAGTATCAGTTGTAGTATTACATCATGTTTCCACTTAACTCAAGTACATATATTGTTTATGGACATCTGTGTGGCAAGGTTTAGACTGCCATCCAAGTTATATGAGGGGTTATCAAATGAATCATTTCGATCCTTCACCCACAATTCACATTGCATTCCATACAGACTTCTGATTAGTGGTGCTGTGGTACTTATCGAAATTGCCGCCAATTAGTAATTAAAGATGTATAGCAGAAAGTTGGTAATAGGCACGAGCAGATGGTGTCTACTCCTATATGTGATGTGGCTGTTGCTGCAGCTTAGTGTTTGAGCACTAGGGATGAACGAGATAATGAGGAGCTTCATCTGTCCTTGTTTTATGTTAAGTCATTGCTAATGCTGACTACCAATTAAGTTTTTGACTGACTGGCAGCAATTTTGAGTAGTACATGTGTCATCCGCCTCTCAGTGAAGAGCCCGGGCTAACCTTCTGCCCCCAGTGTGTTGCCACTAGTCCACTCATGGCCATTTGCATAAGCCCTGGTTATCTGCCATTATGTAAACAGAAAATGTGGATAATCCGACCACTTAAAAAATTCGGCTGTTTTAGACTTTTTCATCGATTTATTTTTATTATTTATTTTTTGTTATTTATTTCTATATTTTCTTTATTTTTTTTTGCAAACAAGGTATAACTTGTTAATTCTGTGACCCACAGAATGGTCTGATACATTTTAGACAGCCTTCTAAACTAATTCGCCTTATTATGAAATTGTTCAAACATTCAGGGCAAAAGGTGTATGTTTACTAGGGTCGGTCCCGGTATCTGTGTGGCGCCATTGGTGAAGGCTGGAGCATTCCTGCTGAGTCAGGGTGGGGGTTCAGCCTGGTCGCTCTCCTGCGTGCGTGATGTAGCTGACTGTCTGAGATGGGAGTTTCATACATAAGACTTATTTTAATATTTAGTACAAATCATATTCCATTTACTAACTATATACACTGGTTAACTTGATCCCTAGTAGGACTACTGAAACAATCTCAGTGCTTTTCTCAATCTGCAGTTGTACAGATTGTAATAAGTCAACCATGCAACACTCTGTGCAGTCAGACCACTGCTCTCAGCTATACTTAAGACCATCATGGCTTTGTATCAAAGCTAAGGACTAGGACTGGGTGTGGTTAATGAGCGGCTTTGATGAGCAGAAGATTGGCTGTGCAGAGTGATGCGAACCCCCTTCCTCCCAAGTAAGAAACATAGCTCAGGCTTTTACCTCAGTTACTGTGTGGAGCTCCAGTTAATGACAGCGTGCGGAGATACCCAATATACGTATTTGTTGCCCACTGATGAATATTGTCTTTATTATTATGAACTTATGTTTATCTCGCTGCTAAGTTAGTTTTGTTAGCAGAAAGGGTGCCAACATTAGCGGCTCAGGTGAGGGATACTTTGCACTCTACTTCCAGCCACCCAGGAAACGATGGCCCACAACCGCTCACAGTACACAACTATGCTAAAAAGTATGATTCAGAAGTTTTATTATAAATGTATATATACCTCACCTTATCAAAACGTCTGATGTACATATGACCTTTTGCCAGAAATTTTTATGTATGAGTTTTTATGATTGTTCAGTATAGAATTATAATAGTGATTGAGTGGACCAGGGTGCAGCTGGATGGACTGTGCAGAGGAAGAGCCCTGCTTCATGCACATGTTTTCTACCTCATAGAGGGCGCAGGTCAGGCGGGGCAGGGACCTGCTGTTTACTCTCCATTGTTGAGAGGTCTGGTGGGCAGGCTCTTTGGGTTTGTTTCTCAGGGAGCTCAATGTACAAACACTACACTCCATAGTGTCTGCCCACTCGGCCCCTTACCCCACCCTACCCTCTACCACCCTCCCCTTCGTCCTCCACCCTCTCCTAAAACCCAACCCTCATCCCCTTCCCACCACCACCAATCATTGTACACAACAAACCCTACATGCCATAGTCTCAAAGCAGTTCCTGTCACTACCTCCAGACAGCGCACGTACAGTACATCCCCCCCTTCCCCCCAGCTACTATGAATAAAACAATTCTGTTATATCTGTCTCTGCTCTTTGTATTTTTGTATGCAGCCCCTCATAGAATTCCTTTGTAAATGATAGATATGAATTATGTTATTGTTTCCATACTCTTTGTGTATCCATGAATTTTTATTTTCCTAATATCATGCTACCTCGTTCTTTTGTATGATGAGTGAACATTTAGCATTGCATCTCCCCGTGCTGCATGTGTATGATAGCTCAAGTAATAGATGAAACCGCTCCTCTGCCACTCCCTCGTCCTCAGCCAAGAGCGCATTAACACAGCTACTTCATGATAACCAGTCATTATTTTGTCAGTAGGATGTATCTTGTATATCATCTTTTATTATGATCCCATTACAAACTGGTAGGCACTGCAGGCTGCCCATAGCCGTCTCTGCGTTCTCTTCTGTAAAAGTATGCCACTGGTCATTCTGACAAGCAGTAGTTTGTTATCAGCTAGGGCAGCCTCCCATGCCTTAATTAGGGTAATGTAACAGAATTTGAGATTGTCAATAAGGCTCATATCCTATTACATCATAGGGTGTAAACCTTCTTAAGAATCAGAATATTTGTGAATTACTCCAGCCAGTTGGGGTTGGATCCCTTATCCTACAATGCCCCTTCCTTTATTGTAGTTTTAAGGTATCGTACAAGTTAACATGTACACAGGGTTGGAATACATTTTGTACAATAATTTAATGTATTGAGAAATGTCTTGTGCTCATTTCTATTTGTAAATATTGTAGTGACACTACTTAACATGTACAAGGTAGTGGAAGTTATTGGCTTAGGTAGAAGTGAGCTAAAGTTAAGCCTGTTATTTGCATACTACTGGTTGATTACGGTATGGCTAAAGCACAACAAGGTGATAGTTTCCAGCGCCATCTTGGTAAGGGAGAAGCCCACAACAAGTGTGCAATGCTCGCCTTTTTTTGGAATTATGCGTACTATTTCAACATGATTCATTTCTCCCCATTCATAATACACTGGAAATGGAACATATTGAAATCCACTGATATAATGAAAATTGACTGAGCAAGTTGCAAAAGTTGAGTTAAGAAGCAGAATCCTCTGCAACTTATCTCAAGACGGAATCAGCCTCTGAACCAGCAGACCCGGCAACTAAACATAGATGAAAGACAAACCTGGAACAATACTCCTTTACCTGGGGTATCTCTCACATGAGGTACTTTCTGCCAACGTCAATTTGATTATCACAATGTACAAATCTATTCGGAGGTGCTACAGTCAAGTGCTCAGTAGGTAGGCCTATTTCAGGTAGCCTAGTCTGTCCTCCACCTGGTCCACCTCCATTGGTTATTTGGTCCACCCTTTATTGACTTGATTTCTGTATGGTTATTTAATCAACAATAAATTATTTGGCCCAGTGTTGGATATGTGGTCTGCTATTTTGTCAGATGGTCCTCCCTGTCATCATTTGGGTCTCCATTTGCTAATGTGGTCCTCCACATGACCACCTGATCCTCATGTGGTCACTTTATTTTCTTGTGGACAATGGTTGAAAAGATGTTTAGGTCCACCCATTTAGTCACTTGGCTTTTCATGTGACAGTTTTGCTTGATACCTGATTCATGGACCTTCACTTTGCCATTTGGTCTGATACAGTATATGATCACTTATTTGTAACCTGATCTTTTGGACCTCCACCTGGCCCTTGGGTCCAACACTTGATCACTGGTCCTACCGCCCTTTTCATTACCAAGCCACTTACAAGATGCAATATAGTTGCTGTAGATTCATAAAATCCTGTATTATTTTATTATCAGGGCATATTTGGCTCCAGGGCATAATATGCCGAGTCCAGATTGTCATGGGCATAAGGTAAAATGTGGCATGTTATGATTATTTAGTGATCATATATGTTTTGTAATGCAGTTAAAAGCCACCACGTTCCCATTGTTCACCCCGTTATTTAGGTATAAAAGGCTGATATTTCAAAAATAAAAATCCTGTAATACCCAACACAACTTGGCCATTCTGTCCATCGACATATGAAATGAGCACACTGGGAAAAAATAAGCTATTGTTACTTTTGTGTGGTATAGTAGCTTATGTATGTAAGCCAACCTATGGTGTGAGAATCTATGGACCTCATATGCAAGCACTTCAATGTGCTACAGTAGACAAAAGTGGTCTAAAAAGTCACTATTGTCTTTCTATATCATTGTAGTGTTGAGTGAGCACAAGTAAGATAGTTCAGTTGTTGCAGAGTTAAATATTTTTTTTATATCCAGTACTTGGGAAAACTGACAATTTTAAAGCTCCTGTAAGAGTTCAATGAGTAGACCTGCATGAGTGAGGCCCAGTCCTGAAAGATGAGATTCAAACACCAAAGGTGAATATTTTAAGAGATCTGATGTTGTGTGTACGGCGCTTACATGTTTGTGACAAGATCAACGGTGACAAGCTTTGCAATGCATTAATTTAGGCAATTAGGCCTTTTTTTAACAGGATTATCATCTAATTGGAATAAGAGTATAAGGCTACAAATCTGTGATCTTGTGATAAACTAGTGTCAGACTGAAACTATTGTATAATATTTAACCGCATAGCTCAGGTTGTCAGTGTTGTGGTTTTCATCAACAAGTTTTGCTGAATGGTACCAACAATCACTACTCTCGATAAGGAATAAGAAAAATTTCATCAAGAACAACAACTGACTTGGATTTTAATTGCTCATGTAGACAAGCTCGTCAATAGTGACTAGGGTAATGAAAGACGGGTGGGGCAGGACAACGTGCTAGTCACCAAACTCGTGGAAGTTGAGTCTCCAGATGTCAAGGCAAGTGGAATGAACCTTATTAAGTTTGTCCGTTGGCACTTCCTGTCCCTATATAATGTTCAGTTTACCATTTTGGGGGAGGGAGGGGATTATATCATCAGGCTTATGTCTCAGTTGCTGACCTACATGATGAGCCTAATTTGACTTCCACAAAACTGTTGAATAACCTTAGATTTAACAGATCAGTTTTCCATAGAAAGCAGGGGACAAATTGCAGCAGATAATTTTAATTGTATACCTTACCCTACCTCGTAGGTGATGTCTTGACTTGCGACCTCAGTAAACACAACAGTTTTTGTAATTTATTAACTTTATTTGTCATTTGTGTGAGTGTTGGTATGAAGAGGACCCTATATAGTGATGGCAATAATGAAAGGTTAATGGTGAATGGAGCAGCATTTGTAGCCGCGGGTGTTTTATTAACGTATCCCATGTGCATGCAAGCATGATTAAAGGTCTTAGGCTGATATCCCCTGTATGATTGTTACTGACTTTGCTGGTGAGGACATCACTGTATTTGATATTTTTTTCATAGCTATACAAGTCAAATAAATTAGTCTTTTAGTAAAAATTGGAGTACGCTAGATACAGGGTGGTGTTGGAGTAACAAAGTGTTCATTAACACCGCCAACACCACCTCAACATCTAACTTCATTATAGAGTACATATATCAGGTTATTTTTGTACCAGAAAACTATGGCCTCCTCACTCATTCTATTTTGATTTGCTTTTTTAATTTTTGTTTTTATTTTATTTATTTACATTTTTTTTTTACCAAGTGTTTGAATTTTTTTAGTAGAACACTTTCAATAGTTCCTGCCCCTCCTTTGATGTGTAGTGAGGCGCAGCAAAGCAGTACCTGCAACCAACAGGTATATATATATACATATATATATTTATTTATATATATATACTCCCAAACCAGTGAAACTCCATTCCGGTGATACTTTATTTGTTCCTAATGATGGTCGTCCCAGTAAATGCTCATTCTTGGAAAGTGTGAGGAGGCTGAGGCATCTTGCACATGGAGATACAGCCAAACTACGTTACTCCCATACTGATCACTGGTCAATTGTATTATAACCAACAAATTGTTACACATAGACAGTCAAATGTCAGAATTTACCCACATGATATGAAAGTTGAATGTCATTGGGATTAACGAGTTTAGACTGTGAAATTAAATAAAAATATAAGTCCTTGGTTATGATGCAGACCTTGGCTAAGGCTTCCAGGCAACAACAGCGATGGTGATTCCTTAGTACGTGGCCTCAGTATAGCATCGTTTCCATCAGAACACAAATTATTTGTACTGTGTTATATAATGAATCATTGCATAGACTCTTTCAGACTGTTCCCAAAAGGATGATGAAAATAAAAATACAATTACATACACTAGAAATTATTATTATCCTAAACTAATGCAGATATAAATAAAAAAAAAAACGCTTCATTAACTCTTTGGAAGGGGTCAACTTCGTTGTCTCTAAAGTTAATTCAAATTGTATTTGTCGGTCAGAATAGTTTCAAGTAATCTATTTCGGCACTCCATTCACTTTCCCTGGCCTGCACATTATAGTGAACAATAGGAAAAAAGATATATATTGTATGGTACAGTTTATATAATGTGTTGATGTAGAGCAGTGGTCCCCAACCTGTAGTTCAGGCCGCAGAACCATATTATGGAGTCCGCAAGGGTATATTAGAAAATTTTGAATTGTTTGAGATTCTTTGTAAGAGTGAAATTAATGAAAATGTGTAATAACTTGAAACATCGGTCATGTACAGGACGTGTGTGTTTACCCCAGACCAGACCCAACCTTCTCACTGGGGTAAAAAAAAAAAAAAGTTATGTCCAAGAATAAATGTAAAAAATATGTACGGTAACTAGTAACATTTAGACGTGTAAAACTGCAAATAACTGTAGAGTATATGAGATTTTTTCTTGAATGTAAAAAAAAAGTTTTGCCGCCCTTCACCATATTTACAATGATAAATGTGGCCCAGAGCCTACGAAAGGTTGGGGACCAATGGTGTAGGAGGGTAGGATGGTCAAGTACAGTACAGTACTGCCTGGTACACTTTTTACATGCTAATTGAGGATCTTGGTTCAAAATTTTCAGATTGGAGTAATTAGTGTTGATTAATTAATAAATGTACTTAAAATACAGTTATCCTCCATGATATGAACATTTTAGATATGAAAATTCACTTAAACGAATTTCATAAATTGACACCACTTTTAGATACAAAAGCTGAAATTCAAATCATGTGCCGGGAGTCAGCTGGCATGGAGTAAGCCTAAATGGGCCCAGGCTGTCATCCCATGAGGTAATGTACCAAAGTTATACAGTATTTTCATAATGGTTTTTCATGTGTCAGGTACTGTAGTAACTTCATGTGTTAGGTACTGTAGTAACTTAATGTGTCAGATACTGTAGTAACTTCATCTGTCAGGTACTGTAGTAACTTCATGTGTCAGGTACAGTAGTAACTTAATGTGTCAGGTACTGTGGTAACTTCATGTGTTAGGTACTGTAGTAACTTCATGTGTTAGGTACTGTAGTAACTTCATGTGTTAGGTACTGTAGTAACTTCATGTGTTAGGTACTTTAGTAACTTCATGTGTTAGGTACTGTAGTAACTTCATGTTAGGCAGTGGTGGTGTGTTGGTGATATCTTCCACCTACTGGGCCAAGCTGTGAGTTGCGTTATTGTTATTTTTCACCTCGTATTCCTGAGTAGATACAGCGATCCCTCGGTTAACGAAATTTTGGTTAATGAATTACCTTCCATAAGAATATTCAATTCGGTTAACGAAAAAAATTCGGATAACGAAATCCTTACAAATTTTTCCCAACATGTTTTTGCCTGCTTACCAGCTGCAGTATTAGTCCGCCAATACGTTTATCAGTTTTAGGGCAAAAATTCGTTACCATTTGAGTAAATATCAAGAAGGTTGTACTATTCAATAATTTTCCAAGTCTTCTATTAAAATTTTTAGTCACTTTAACAATTATTTAACATAATTGAAGTACAGGGAACTAGTTTTTAGCACGCCAATCAGCCACTTGACTCACCCAGAATGGCGTCAGTGTGTGTCTCTGCTCAGTGGAGGAAGCATCTTGCTTGAGACTCTCTTGAACATAAACTATTTTTACATTTTTACAGTACATTTATTGGTCATTCTGAAATTTATTTTACATATTGACAATATATAGTGCAGTGCAGTGTTGATTTAAAGAAAATCATTTTGAATTACACCTAGTGAACTTAAAATTTTATGGGTGAAATGGCAGCATGAAGCATGGGGTGATTTCTTTTCCACCCCACTTCCTTCTCTTCTCCCTTCTCCTCCACCCCCACTTGTAATTCCCATCATCATCATCAACCAGGAGCCTTCTACATGCACACCTCAAAGTAAGTGTACTTCACTGCATTTATTTTTAGTTTGTATGTAATTTTCAGTGAGCTGGAACCAATTACCCAAATTCTCATTGAAACAATGGTTTCGGTTAACGAACGACCTTCTGGAACGAATTGTGTTTGTTAATCAAGGGACCACTGTATATATAATTTTCTTTTCCCTTTTTACTCTGCTACATGCAATCTTCATGCAGAATGTGCAAAAGCATTTAAAAAATAATTATCATATTTTTTTGTCAAATTTAATTTTTTGACCGATAAAATTAATTGTTCTCAATATACTGTAGGTCATCAGTGACACTAATTAAGGAGGATCTGTGGTTGAAATTTTGATATTTAATTGCCTTAATAATAATGATTATGAAGTTTTAATAATTAATTATGCTAATTGATATGAGGACATTAATAATCAGAAGTAATTATAAAAATTTCAATAAGTATTTCAATCGCAGATCCTTTTTCAGCATGTCGAGTACAGCCTATACTGAGATGGGCAAAAAAAATTACTTTGCTCAAAATCTCAGCATAGGTAGTCCTAGACACGCTGATAAGGACGTGATCGCAATTTTTTAATTTTGATAATTTTCTTAATAGTAACAGATTATGAAGTCTTGATGATTATGAGAATTAATACGAGGACAGTTAGTGAATTTCCTGCTGCTTAAGTAATTGAAGAAGGAAGTTACTGTGCTGAGCAAGTTCTTAATATTGATGAGACTGGTTTATTTTGGTAAAAGGATGCCCAAATATGTAGTCTCGTTCAAGATTCTTCAAACACTGCTGGAAACAGCTGACAACTCAAGGCCGTTTGTTTACTATAGTATGTAGTAAAAATTATGAATTACAGTACTGTAATGTAAAAGGTTATCAGTGAATGGTTACTTGGTTCCCCATTGCTTAATTAATGGTTGGGCTTTGTTGTTTCGTATTAGAGTAAACAAAAGGCCTTGAGTTGCCGGCTGTCTCCAGCAGTGTTCGAAGAATCTTGGACGAGACTGTACATACTTTACAGAACATGAAAATAGCACCAGGGCATAAACCTGCCAAGAATAGGCTGACCTTACTGTTGGGAGTAATACTGCTGGGGACTACAAACTAAAACTTTTGCTTGTCTACTAGTCAGAAAATCCTAGAACTTTGAAGTGTGTTTTCAAGGCAGCACTTCCAGTTACTGTATCTGAAAGCTAATAAGAAGGCTTGGGTGACAATAGCCCTTTTTGAAGACTGGTACCTTAATCTTTTTGTGCCTGAAGTGGAGCAGTATTGTATTTCAAAGTTAATGCCTTTTAAAATTCTCTTGGTTCTCGACAATGCACCTGGTCATTCTACATTTTTAGATGATGCTCATCCTAACATTAAGGTCATGTTCCTACCTCCAAACACATCTGTTTTACGACAGTTGGACCAGGGAGTTATTGCTTCATTTAAAGCGTATTACCTGAGAAGGACATGTACTCAGGCTACCAGGGCAACAGAACGAAAAGAGGGAAGGACTTCAAAGGAATTTTCGAAGTCCTGCAACATTTTGGATACCGTGAAAAACATTGCAGATTCATGGGGTGAGGTAAATGAAACTAACATGAATGGTGTTTGGAAAAAACTCTGCCCACTGTTTGTCCACGATTTCAAGGGCTTTGAAATTGATATTGGGGAAGTGACAGACAGTGGTAGACCTTGGGAACCAACTCCAGCTTGATATTCATGAGGATGATGTCACAGAATTGCTCAAGTCTCATGCCAAAGAATTAAGCAATGAGGACATGATTGAACTAGAGAAGCAAATTTTGTCAGTGGATGTAAAGGAAGCTGAAACTCCAGAAAGAGAGATTCATTACAAAAGAAATGACAGGTTTCAGGCTTATTGAAGAATTGTTTGAATTTGAACAGCAAGATACCAACATAGCAAAATTCACCAAGGTTCATAAGAGGTATTACTGAATGTCAACAATGCTACAAATAGATTTATGAAGAAAAGAATAACTTTTCATTTTTACAATCCCTTGAAAAGTTTTTAAGAAAGTTGAAAGGCAGCCAAAATTAGTCCCATCAACCTCTGCAGCACCTAGAGAACCAGTTCCATCAACCTCTGCAACATATACAGAACCAGGTAGTAGGCAGCTACCAAACGGAGGTACTACTACCTGGGAAGATATTGGAAGCATAATGTATTGTCTACTGGTAGACCCTGCTGCCAACGGCATCACGAAAATTGTGACCAAGTCCCAGATTGCTGATCTGACTTTCTGCCTCATTTAAACACAATTGCAGGGTCTCAGTTGCTTCTCTTTGACAGCACATCGTTTCTTACTATTGATTTTTTTAATCTGATATTTTATTTTTATTTTCTTACTAGATTTTGTTTATTATTATTATTATTATTATATTTTCGCGCCACCCCCCCCCCCAGGCCCTGATATGGGTCATTGACCTGTGCCCGGGTGGGCTAATCCCTGTAAAAAAAAAATAATGTAAAGGAAAAGAAAATGCAATTTTAGAAAACTTTGTTTATATCCAAAAATCACACAACAGAACACATTTGTGCATCAATCAAACAACTGCAAGTACAAATGATCAAATTCACCACTCTCTTAAAGAGCTTTTCTTAGCCTAGACATAAGTTCCAAGACTTGTGTTGACACACATACAATATTCACTTATAACCAAGAACTTTAAGCAACTCCAAGAACTTTGCTGTTACTGTATTTGGACTAATAAATAACTACTATAACCACATTTTATAATTAATAACTAAACCCCCAGCATAAGCCAAGATGACCAAAATGTTAGTATAATATTACTGCAAGCTCCTGGAATGTTAATGTCATGAAACATGTTTGGCCTTGGGTCTTTGAACTAATAATAAAGATCACATAACCTGTAGAACTTGTTTGGCTCACAATATGCATCTTCTAGGTTAATGTATTCTTAACCCCTGCAGCAAAAAAAAAAAATTCTTGTCAGTAATTCAAATGAAAAATGGCATGCAAACTTCAGATCTTGATGCACGGCCAAAATATGCAGAAGCTGCAGTTCACAAAGTCTGTTCTCAACATGAGAAAATATGCCTTTGTACACCAAATGTGCTCCTCTCCTTTTCAATTTGGAGGTGAACTAGGAAACTTATCACTCATTTTTACAATTCATCTTTTCCCACGTCATCTAAATCATCCAAGTCAATATCAGAAAGATCAATGTCCTCTTCTTGAGGTAGAGCACCATCTTTGCCATCCCAAGGCTCAATCCTGGCCACAGCCGGCAGCTGTGCTCCACGAACTGGTGAAGTTCGCCCACGCCCATAAGAAATGTCTCGAAGGAATTCATTTATTCCATCTTCACTAAATGAACCTTTCAACAAAGCAAACTGCATCTTCTTGGCATTCAATGCAGCAAGTGCAGGATAACCAAAGCCACCAATGTCTAAAGCTTGTTCTAAATCAATTTGAGCCATGGCTTCAGACCAAACCCAACCCCACATCTTTTGTTTGTATTTGTCACCAAGCCTGGTCATCATACTAATGTAATTTTTACGGCATTTGCTCTGGCAATCAAGAATGTGGGGTAGGACTGCAATAATGCAAATAGGATGTTCCTTGCATGCTTCTTTTAAAGAAGCATCATCAGTAACCTGGATTACCTCTGGAGGTGGAACATTTGCTGAAGCCTTATCATTAGCCCAAGCCACTATGTCTGATGCAGTTCGCCCTCCGTCATAGTCTTCCACATCTCCCTTGTTGAAAAACTTTATGGTAGGGTAGCCTTGTACACCATACTTGCCAGCCATTACTGTGTGTACTGTGGCATCTAGAGCTCCTAACTTAATTTTACCTTTCAACTCCGTGGCTGCTTTCTGCCAGTGAGGTGCCAAGTTTTTGCAATGTCCGCACCAGGGTGCAAAGAATTCTACAAGCCACAAATCATCCGACTTTAGAACTAGTTTTTCAAAGTTGCTGTCCGTGAGTTCAATAACATCATCAGCACTGCCACTGCCGCCGCCACCACCACCACCACTCTTCCTCCCTGATAACTGGGCATTCACCTTTTCTTTAACAGCCTTCATAGCATTATCCACTATGCCCTGAGCTGACCGTTGTCCATTATAATCCTCAGGTTTGTTTTTGTCCAAACCAAATATTTTGATGGTAGGAAATCCACGTACTCCATATTGTCCTCCCAAACTCTTATGCTCATCAGCATTAACAGCGCCGACCTTTACAACTCCTTTAAGGGCCTGAGCTGCCTTTTGGTATTCCGGTACCAGTGCCTGACAATGCCCACACCATGGGGCAAAGAATTCTACAACCCATATAGCATCACTGTTGATCACCTCCTTCTGGAAGTTTGATTGTGTCAGGTCCACCACACCACTGGATGCAGAGTACAACGCAGAGGCTCCTCCAACCAGAATGGCGCAGAAAACTGTGGGTGTAAATATATGGCATTAATATATAAATATTTATTTACACTATTTTTGCTAAAAAAGGTGCAAGTCACTTTTTTCCAAAGCAAAAAATGGTTATGAATATTAACCCGTCAATGGTCACCGACGTAAATTACGTCGACCCTTGTCATACACTAATGAGTCACTTGGTTCATGTCATGTTAAGCTAGGGTTCCAAAACTCCAGATCTGTAGAATAACTCAATTTACATGACTTGGCAACTCACGGCTATAAATAGATAAGTGTGTAGAGGTCACAAAAACAGACAAGGTGGAGTGTGTGGGGTGAAGGGAGCGTCACATTCCCACTTTCCACAGCGAGGTGTGCCACATCTCCCAGTGGGAACTTTCAGGGCACTATCAGACATGCAATTTTGTGCCTCCAGTGTACATAGTGTATATATATGACTAATGATATAGTTATACTGATAAGTAAATAACATAAGGAAGTGAAAGCAGACATGCTAGCACCTCTGAGCGACACTGCATACATGGCAACGCCCAACTGCCCAGGTAAACAGTTTACAGGTGTGCTTTTCACTGTTACCTTGTGACTTTAGAGGTCCTTTAGGTTTGTTTTAGCCAACAACAAAAAATAATGGAAAATCTTTGACCATCTGGACAATGCTTAGGTTAAATCAATTAATTTAACATCTATGGGTTAAGATTCAATTTGGTAAAGCTGTAGAAGAGGGTGACCATCAGAAGTTGTTTGGTGATTTTCTTTATTTTTGCTGTACTTGTTGTTTTGATGATTTTAAGTATATTAAAAGATGCAACAACTTTGTTATAATTTTAAGTATTATTTATATTTTTTTTATTTACTCTATCCAGTTTCACAATTCTCCTCCCGGCGCCATTTTTGTTAATTATCTCACCGAATCCCTTTTCAAGAGACGTTTCCTAAATGATGGTGAATGCTTCCACGTATTCCTCCTCGCCACTGCTTATGTATATCAACCTCAATATTAAGGCAAGTTGTTTCACACATAAATTAACACGATAATGCATAGAACCTAACAGAACCTGACCTAACATACCCATAGGTTGGGTACGTTAGGTCAGGTTCTCTTGTCTTTTCCATTTGTGTTTAATATGACAATGTATAGAAATTAATGAACCATGCAATAATCCACTACAGGGTAGCTTACCTCTTTCTGCACTAGAAGGATAATGTTTGCACAGATCTAATTCTCTACAAAACCAAGTGATTAATATTGGTTTAATTCAGCAACAGACTACACCCGGGTCTCGGTATATGTGAAGATCATGTTCTCAAAAAACCTCGGTTAATATATAGGACTAACCCGCCAATGTGGCCATATCTCGCGTCCAGAAAATGCGTCAAATTTCACCATATCATAGTAAGTTCTTTGTTTAATATATAACGGGTAAGGTTAGGTAGGTTTGTTTGGTTGGGTCTGTTCTTCATACCCACTAAAGTTGCGTAGCATCTATTATAAAAATATCCATCTTTTAACAGATCTCCACAGACTACAAGTGTCCACTATAATAAAACAATGAAAATCCGGCGTTTTTATTATTGTTTTCAATCAATTTCGCTCGCGGGGTAGTCCTATATAATTACCAAAACCTCAAATAATTCAAATTCGCATAAATTGAATAGGTAATTAGTAACTGTATATGAAGAACAATGGTATGTGTTCCAGAATCTCTAATGGATTTCTCCAAACATCAGTTCTGGCAGTTTTAAAACACCACAACTCACTACTATAGTATTAAAATGCATATTTAATGTAGCATCACTCACTATCGACTTTATAATTAAAAAAAGAAAACACTTGTGGGCGATATACATTTACTCAACAAATCATCCATAAACAAACATGAATGCAAGACAACTTTACGTACAATTTACTAAGTCTTGGGGTGTTTTCCTTACCTGCTAAGAGTCTCATAGTGGCACCGTAGTGTAATTTGAGTATCCAGGTATCTAAATGACCACTCTGGATTGTACTGTACCGTGAGACTGGTTACAGTAGACTGAGACGATGTGTAGTGACCTCACTCGTAGCCACTGCCGCTCCTCCTGCCACTTGGCCGTAAACAAACCGTTCCTGTATCCTAAACTGTTCCTAATCTCTTAGATATTATATTTATCTTACTCTCTTGGACTTTCTCTCTCTTATTACTAATAAAATATTAAATACGAATATTTTATTATATTTCTTATACCTTTTAAATTAAAGGCAAATGCTTAGTGATCGTTGTTTTTTATAGTAACGCCCACATGTAGAAAGAGTAAGTTGAAGGTTTCGGATTCAGACACTGGTCGTGGAAAACGCTGATTGGTCCAAGTATTACTAGCCAGTAAGAGGCAAATTTAAACACGTGTATTAAGAGTCAAGTACACGACATTTCTTACGTTAATGTTAGGCTGACATTGAAGTGACGTGACTCATTCCATTGAACATACTGTATATAGATAGAGCTTTCCATTGACCCTCTCTTTCCTCATCTCTAACCTCATGTTTTATTTTATTCTTTATCTCTGTATCTTACCCTTATGGTTTCCCTTATCTCAGTCATGTTTATCCACTTGTGTTTTATCATCTTTCTCTGTGTTACTTTTGGTGGTGACCGGGAAGCACCAGCATCTTTCATGAGGGAAGACAAGGCTAGGCCAAACTTCTTTCTTGGCAGGGTGGTCATCTTCTTGGCAATGTCCCCTTTTACATAAGAACATAAGAAAGTGGGATACTGCAGGAGGCCGACTGGCCCATACAGGGCAGATCCCTTTCACACCCATCCCAGCACTTCCATGTGCCTATCCAACTTCGTCTTGAAGCTCCCTAGCGTCCCCGATCCTACTATAGCACTCGGTAGCCTATTCCACATATCCACAACTCTATTACCAAACCAGTGCTTGCCTATATCCTTTCTGAATCGGAATTTATCTAATTTAAAGCCATTTGTTCTAGTTATTTCGTTATTACTGAGCTTCAGAACATCTTCCATTTTACCCTTGTTAATCCCACTTACCCACTTGAACACCTCTATCATATCTCCCCTAACTCTACGCCTCTCTAATGAATGCAAGCCTAAGCTTTTCAGTCTTTCTTCATATGGAAGGTTTCTAATATTATGGATCATTTTTGTCATTCTTCTTTGTACTCTCTCCAAAGAATCTATGTCCATTCTATAATAAGGACACCAGAATTGAACCGCATAATCCATGTGTGGCCTCACTAATGCTAGGTAAAGTTTCAAGATAACGTCAGCAGTTCTGTTACTCACACTCCTAGATATGAACCCAAGAATCCTGTTTGCCTTGTTGCGAACGCTAATACATTGTTTTCTAGGTTTCAAGTCGTTGCTAACAAATACACCTAGATCTTTTTCACAATCTGAGTTTTCCATTTCCGTGTTACCTAGTTTATACTTAACGTTTGTATTCGTCTTCCCTATCTGTAGTACCTTGCATTTATCAGTATTAAAATTCATTTGCCAGTCTACTGACCACTCATGTAAGGTATCTAGATCTCTTTGAAGGTGTTCAAAGTCACTGTCTGAATTTATCACTCTCCCCATTTTGGTATCATCTGCAAATTTACTAATCCTACTAGTTATACCTAAATCAAGATCATTAATGAATATAACAAACAGCAGAGGGCCTAATACAGATCCCTGGGGAACTCCGCTTTTGACCGCACCCCAGTCTGACTTAAATCCATTTATGCTGACTCTTTGTTTCCTACCAGTTAACCATGACCTAATCCATTTTAATAATGATCCACCTATTCCATGTGCTTCTACCTTCCTTATCAATCTCTCATGAGGGACTCTATCGAATGCTTTACTGAAATCTAAATAAATTATATCATATGACTTATCATTATCTACCGCTTCATATACTTCTGAGAAAATGCGAAGCAAATTTGTGAGACAAGAACGTCCCTGGGTGAACCCGTGCTGAGTTAGTCAGCCTTTTTACTGCTACTTTAGCTTCACTGCTACTTTTACTTTGCTTTCCTGTTTTTGACGTCGTGTAGTAGTTTGCGAGTCTCTTCAGCACTACTTTGGCTTCCCTTTTCCTCATACCTGATGAAGCCCCTGTAACATAGGTAGCAGCATTGGCAGGTTTTTTGGTTTGTTAATTCTGTGGGGATTCCTGTTTTTCTTTTTTCAAACAAACTGAAAGAGTTGAAAATGAAGCAAATTTATGGAATGTACTAGAAGAAGGAAGGGTTGTAGAGTTATGAGATATTGGTTCACACACAGGATGGGATGGAGAAAGGAAACTCACAATGTGCTCTCTGTATACATGTTGTATTGGATGTACAATGCAGCTTGTTGCTGGGTAGGTAGCAAGGAAATAAGTGTTGAGTAGAGAGAGCTGGGTGGTGAGGGTGCCCTGAGTGAGGGCACGCGGCTTGAGGGACGCCAAGGTCGCTGGCAGGAGCGGCAGCCGCACGGCTGGCGCGGAGGAGGTGTTACTTGCTGGTGGTACTAGGTAGAAAAAGGCTGGTCACAGCGGTGTGAGGCCTTATAAGGCGGGGGTAGGCGTGGGTAGATAGTTGACCCCCGTTCCGTGGGCGGCGCTGGAGGCGTAGGCTGGGGAATTCGAGAAGGTTCGGTGCTTGTAGGGGAGGAATCCACTACAGGGTGAAGTAGATAGGGAGGCAGCTGTGTGAGTGGGTGGGTTCTCTATCTTACAAACCTACAAAGTACCAACACAAAGGCAACCTGTACGACGCATTTCACAGCTAATTCAATCACACACTTCATTAGGCCTAATTCATGTCGATGTAGATAACAAATTAAACATTTGAACTGATATTATATATTTCTCGGTAATGGATGTGTATTCCTTCATTTTTTGCAGGAATATCTGAATCGGTTTGCAAAATGCTATAAGGCACTCACTGTTGGCAATGGCACTAACGCACCATATCGACTAGTTGGTGCCAGTACAAGAGTCCAGCTGACACGCTGCCCTCAGTGTAAAAAGGGTATAGTCAGACTGGGATCGACAGGTTCCCTCAATGCCAGATCTAACACCCACGAACCTCTTAGTAAATACAAAAAACTCACTATGCGAGTTTTCTTATGTGTATATCAAGCTCTGGAAACACCTGTCTCATGTTATCCAGTGACCCTCCAAGAGGTTGTTAGTACAGGGGGGGTATATCTGGACACCAAGGATAAAATACTGTTTTCAGTCCTACTAACCGCGCACTGTGTAGCTCTTTTATGTTTAATGCTATATTGTAATAAAATAATCATCCTTATCAGAAAATAAAACTTTACCATCAAGTTGAGTTATGATATTAATTAAGATAATGGACATTATATGCTGAAAAACAAATGAAAAAAACGATGCCTGATATGATTTGTGGTGAGATATAAGGTAAAGGCCGGGCGACTCACACCACCACACGAACCCAAACTGTTGTGGTGGTCTAGGTAGTTAATAGTGCTTCCTACCCTCAATTACTTGATTATTCCGGAGTCACCATCATCATTTGAAGTTTTACGCTAAATAAGAAATAAACAAGGTTAGTCTGAATTTAATAATGTTTTTTCACAGGTTGAAAGATTAGAACATTAAAACAAGGCCCTAGTTTGCTGAGACGCCCACTACTGTGATAGTGTTTGGAGAAACTTTATCACTCCTTGTTTAATTAGAGTTTCCACTAATGAGGCGTTGTCCTTGTTTATTATATACCTGTCAGGTAGTCGAATGATTCACCTGGCAAGAAAAACTGGACTAAACACTCAGGTTGACAGCAGACTGTGGGTGGTGCAGTGCTGTGCCTCTCACCATTATGGCTCAGGTCAAATGTCAACCTGGGTTGGTTATGAAAGGAATGTATTGTACGCCAGTTCCCTCTTGTATTAAAACTGTACTCATGGGGGATGGCTCACCAGTTATAACTGATAGACCTATCTCACTAAATTTTGAATATGTAATGTAAATTAAACTTAGTGAATAGCCTTGACCAGCTAAGTTGGTTGGTTGGTTAGGTCAGGTTCTATTAGGTTCCAGTAAATGTCGCCGATGTTATAATGATCATTACCATAAACAATAGAAGTATGGTTAAGTATATTTATAGCAACACAACGATTGACTCGTGGCAAAGTAAATGCCAAATTCCGCCAGAGTCACGGTCAAATATAGTTATTGTGTTGTTCACCAATAATGGACGGTTAGCTAGTCAGACCGCACTCATGGTAAAATAACCAGTCACGGCACAATATCCACTGCCAAAATTAAAAGGTAAAGATGGGGAACACGGTTAGTAGCAGAAATGGAATTGGACCCAAATTTCTGGAGATATTATTTGCATGATTCTAAACATGCAAATGGAAACAACAATATACAGAACCTTGTAGCAATAAAACCTTCAATTTTACCTTTTATTCTTATTTCTATTTATTTACTTTTATGCTTTACTTATTTCTTCACTCTCTCTATTTTCTTGTGAGAGGGTGAGGAGGCTAGGAGGTGGAGGGAGACTAAGGCAATATGGGGATGTAAGGAGGCTAAGGAATGTGAGAGGAGGGGAGGCTGCAGGTAGTCCCTCCCTGTGGTCAACCTTCCCCCACACTGAGGGTAGGTAGAGAGGGGAGACTTATGAAAGAGGGAGTAGCTAGGAATAGGAATAACCTGTAATAACTGAGACACTAGGGGAAACAGGTGATAAGTTATGTTGTTACTAAAGGGTTCACTGTGTTTCTGCATAACACCGAGACACTTATAACAAATCAACCTTTTTCAATAAGGGAGGGATGAATTAGGACTCTCCGTAACGGTTACAGTACTGTTTATTGAATACTTTCTATGAGGGTTTGACATTTCATGAAACGGATAAAACCGGAAGGGTGCTCACATATATATTGTATATCCCGCCATGTGGGAAGGTGACACACGTCTATATTTCACTTATCCCAACTAGACTCTGGCTTAAGACACGGGCGGTTTAGAGGATGCCACATGGTCATGACGTCACGTCTCCCAGGTTCTCGCTGGTTCAGGCCTAAGGCATTTACACTCACAAGTTACTGCTGTTGGCTCATGCCTGGCAGGAAACACACACTCATGACAGTGTTACAACCTGACAGAACCTAACCTAATCAACTTCACCTACCTAACATTACCTCACTTCCTAACTGGGGCTCCACCCATGCACCCCCTGGCATATTAAGCAGAAAGTACTTTGATATCTGGTACGAATGAAAGCAACTTTCTTTAGCGGCATTGTGTAATTTTACTTTTTGGTTGCTGTAAGTGAACAATCGGTTGATGCACTGAAACACATATTTATTCTTCACTGTCAGCTCTCTGTCGCATTTTGAACACTTGCACGTCTTGCCAACATCACAAAGAAATGATCCAGTTCACTTTTTCCATCCCTTTTAGGATTTTTAATGTTTCAATGAGATCTGCCCTATTGTGCCTTGTCTGAAAGGTTGTTAGTCCTAAAGACTTCAGTCTTATTGGATAGTCAAGGTGAAGTAATTCCAGAATACTGCACTCTTAGTCTCTCTATGCTGCACCTTTTTCAGGGAGATTAGGTCTTTCTGGAGGTAGAGGTAGGGTTTCCATGCCTGTACATAGTAATCCAGAGAGTGATGTATGTGATATTCATAAATTTGAAGGACATTTTTCCTATCTTTTTATGCAAAGGTACTCTTTATAATTCCCAACTGAACTGTGTTGTGATATGTTGATAAGACTGCTCGGTCAGGTGTTGGATGATGGTGTCCCTCAGAATCTTCTAAAATAGTTTGCATATATGGGATGTTAGGCTGATTGGCCTGTAGCTTTCTGCTGCACTTTTTCTACCCTTCTTGTGTAGTGGAGCAACATTGAGTGATTTCCAGTCTGTGTGCTTTACCTTGATCCAAGGGTTTCTTGAATAAAAGTCTCAGTGGAGTGCAAATCTCATTTGCCATCTCCTTTATCACCTTGTTCTATGCTCTGCCCACTCAGGGTCTTAGAATTTTCTCAAGCTGGCTACTTTTCTTTTAATGATATCTTCTATAATTTTGCATGGCAAAATGGTTGGAAAAAACATACCCTGCATTGACATTGAGAATTTGATACTGTAATATGATTTTGTCAAATTTCATGAAATTAAAATTTTTTAAAAACAGTTGTATGAGACCATTTTCTTGTATCGCTGAGTATAGTATTTATTTTAATTGTTGATTATTGTGTTTATTTAGATATACAGTATACAGGTGCTCCTCTACTTACGAATGAGATACGTTCCTGAGGCTTGTTTGTAAGTCCAACTTTACTCCTGTAGATACCAAACATATTGTAACAAATGAAAAGTTTATGGATATTTAGTACAGCTATACCCTTTAATACAGCCTTAAAACCTGGCTCACTCTTCTCCTCTTAGGTAATGTTTACTCTATCTGGAATTTTCAAAATAATCCAGTTTCATCCACATTAAACACCTGTTCTGGCAGGTAACCCCCCCTCAGTGATAATGTTTGAATCTCTGAAAGTTTATAAATTGAACGTTCTTAAGTTGTTTCGGTACTACATCGCTAAACTTTAGAGACCAAGAATTCATTTAACCTCCTGTTGATCCGATATTACATTGTTTTGCGTCGTCACGAACTAATTTCTATGGCTCATCACCCTCTCTCGTCTGGCCGCGCTACACTCTCTCGGCTCAGCGCGGAGTCTCTGTGGCTCACCACCCTCCTCCTCTCCTGTCCTCCTCCTCTCCCGCCATCCGCCTCCTCTGCTTCACTACCCACCACACACTCGCTCTACCACCTCCCCCCATCGGTGAGTACCAATACAAACTTAGTAGTTGTATATGTATGCATTATTTTCTATAGAAGTGGCAATGATTTTCTGTATATGTAATGTATTTCATGGGGCAAAGGGAGGCTCAGGAATGCAACTCTAGTATCTATTTCTTATGGGGAAAATTGTTCCGCTTAATGTTGTTTCGTATAATGTCGCATTTTTGGGAACGTAACCCCGACGATTTTTTAGGACTTACTGTATATAAGTGATATCTCTGTTAGCCGGAACAATTAGTGCAGAGCACTTCCGGGAATGAGAGATTTCTGGATAACGAGACGACTCTCAAAGCCAGAAAAAATCCCCATCCTTGAAATTTTCTGGGTAACGGAAAAATGTTCTTGGAAGTTTCAGAAATTGTCCATTGCATGAGCTCTCATACCCGGAAAACTATCCATCATCCCAGGAATTTTCCAGAATTTTCTAGGTACGTACCGAAAAAAATTTCTCGGAATTTCTGGAAAATGCGGAAGATTTTCATGTTTCAAACCCAGAAGAAACTCCCCCAACCCTGGAATTTTCTGAATATTGGGAAAAGTTTCTCGGAATTTTCCGAGAGAATTTCATTTCCTGCTGTCAGAGAGTTCCGGTTAAGAGGGATTCCGGCTATCGTAGATATTTATATACAGTAAAGCCTCGAATAACGACGGTAATTTGTCCTTCAATATTGCGGTGTAAGGTGAATCATCGTATCAATTTTCTGAATATTGGGAAAAGTTTCTCGGAATTTTCCGAGAGAATTTCATTTCCTGCTGTCAGAGAGTTCCGGTTAAGAGGGATTCCGGCTATCGTAGATATTTATATACAGTAAAGCCTCGAATAACGACGGTAATTTGTCCTTCAATATTGCGGTGTAAGGTGAATCATCGTATCATGAATCATTAATTACTATTAAAATAAAGCAATAATAATGAGATGTGTTCCCAAGTGTGACCTTTTCATATCTTTTTTGTGGCTTTTTACCCTCTGTTCCCCCAAAACAATACAATTAATGAAAATTGCAAACTATAAACTTTAAGTAATGTTTATGAATGCACCTTATACAATATAAATTAATAATAATATGGTCACACAAAAGGAGATGGGACGCCATTATTTTCGTTAGTGTTTAAACCCGGGAGTCCCGGACGATGGTTCTACAAAAGAAAATGAAGAAAATAAGACCCTGGTTGTAGCTGTAGTAAAATTAATGTAAAAAATTAATATATATGTTTTAAGTAATGTTATCTAATGTTAATAAATGGAACAATAGAAGTAGCTAACCACTAGTAATGGCAAAGTAAAAAAGCGAGATGGATTGGGAATGCCAACATACAGTATATGCGCATTTAAGGAAACAGCATCATTTATCTTATTAAGAATATGTACAAAAGATTCATTTTTGTTTATTACTGAATATGTATTTGATTGACTTAATCTTTATATATGCAAAATGAACAATACAATTCATTAATAATACATAGAATATTAAAACACACAAGAGGAGACAAGACGGCATTGTTGTCAGTGTTTACACCCATAATGTCAGTTATCCACGTGAAACTGAAGAAAATACCGTAAGACCCTGGTTTTTGTTGTAGTAAAATTAATGTAAAAAATATGTTTGTTTTATTTAATGTTATTTAATGTACAGTAGAAGTAACCACTGATATTAAAGAAAAAAAAAGGTGAGACAGTGGAATGCCAATGTGTACTTGTGCACTCAAGGAAACATAGTAATTTATCTTATGAATATGTACTAAAGATTCATTATTGTTTATTACTGAATATGTATTTGATTGAATTAATGTTTATATGTGTGAAATCAACAATGCAATTCATTAATAATACGTAGAATATTAAAACACACAAGAGGGGACAAGATGGCATTGTTTTCGTGAGTGACTGTGGTTCTACATAAGAAACTGAAGAAAATAAGACCCTGGTTGGAGCTGTAGTGAACTTAATGTTAAAAAATTAATAAGTATGTTTTAAGTAATGTTATTTAATGTTAATAAATGGAACAATAAAAGTAGCGCACCACTAATGGCAAAGAAAAAAGTGAGACTGTGCTACGCCAACATATGTAACTGCATACATGTGAAAATATATCATCATATCTCTACATATGAATATGAAAGCAACACTTATTTACTGTTCATATATGTACTTATTTACTGTTCATATATGTTTTAAATATTACTTATGAATGTAAAACAAAAATTCTACTCACCAATGGTGTTAAAGTCCACTCTAAAACATAAGGACAGCCAATGATCCTGTGCGAGTTTTTACTTAGATGACGAAGTCATCGGGTTCAACTCTGGCTGAAGCTGTAGCTTTCCATAAAGCAGTTGCTGAAACTGTTACTGAACCTGAAGTTGTTGATGAAGCTGCTTATGATGCTGAATTTGATGGTGTAGCTGAAGTTGACGATTTAGGCCTTCGAATAATAAAGCTGTCAAAAGAACCTTGCACAGCTGCTTTCATTTCTCATTATACATCTTTATGTAGAGGTCATTTGCATTTTTCATGTCCATGTTAATTTTAATGCTTCATTCTAATATTGGATCCACTTCAGAAAATATGTTCATTGTTTGCTCCATATAATATCCACAGACCTCTCTCACCTTTTTCATATCGTTTTAACACATCTAGTTTCTTGGCTAAGCTTATACAATTTCTTTTAGCTTTTGAATTAGCAAATTAGCACTACCATCACTTGCTCTCTTGTTCATGTTGAATAGGGATGCAAAAATGCTGTAAGAAACCTGAGAAAGTTTTTCTTCTTTTCCTGTTCAGATGCGTGAAAACAAAGGGCCCGCCAGCTGCGACTGTTTATACTAGTAGTGATGCTGGCGGCACCACCCACAAGACCAGCAGTCTCCGTGCACAAGGCGTGTTTTTTTGTATAATGCATATCGGGATTTAAGTTATTATTTATATGAAAATGATTTGTTTTTCTATTTTTGTCGTAAATACGAATACAATAATGGCGTAACTTGAATTGGGTCCTAAATTAACCAGGGTCTTAAATATGAATCGTCGTTAGTAGAACCGTCGTTATCAGAGGCTTTCCTGTATATATAGATATAGTATTTTTTCTTTGCAGAACATGGCACCAGCAAGGAAAAGCAGAAGACAGGCAAAGCCTCCTGCCAAACTTGGAGAATTTGTTCGTGAAGATACCAAGGAAAAAGATGCTGAGGAAAGTGTTCATGAAGATACTAAAGAAAAGGATACTAAGGAAAGTGTTCATGAAGATACTAAAGAAAAGGGTACCGAGGGAATTGTTCGTGAAGATACCAGTATTAAGGAAATAGTTCGTGAAGATACTATGAAAATGGGTACCAAGGAAATAGTTCGTGAAGATACTATGGAAATGGGTACCAAGGAAATAGTTCGTGAAGATACTATGGAAATGGGTACCAAGGAAATAGTTCGTGAAGATACCAGTACCAAGGAAAAAGGTAAGAAATAAAAAAAAATCCTGTATCCTACTTGGCATCGGGCACACCAGATAAACTATCCTTGCTAATACTGTAGTGGATAATTTTACTCTCTGGCATCCAGCTGGATAATTTGTACTATCCTTATACTGTATATACAGTACTGTACTGTATAAATCAATTACCTACCACAAATAAAGAAAAACAATTTGAAAATGTGTAATAAAGGGACTCACTCAGGACTGAGTTGGACTTTTTTATTGTTAGTCCTTGATTGATTTTATTTTCTTCCTGTAGACTCATGTTTTGAAGAGTTATAACTGTCCATGTGTTTTATCATTGTTGTTGTTGTTGTCGGCAAAGTTTTGGTTAACCTTTCATATACCGGTAGTGATTTTGTGTTAGGTAATTTTTACGAAAGGTGTTTGTTATATAAAACAGTAAGTATACTTAGAAAGATAAAGGTACCGTAGTTGTCTGGCTGACACTAATGTTGATTTAATGCTGATGCAGTACTAATGTTCTGGGACTTATATAATTGTTGGCCGAGAGCAAAGTTTTGGTTAACCTTACGCTTATAGTGCTTTGCCACATGTCCAGTAAATTGGTAATTGTATGTATACAGTGGTCCCTCGGTTAATGAGCGCCTCGGTTAACGAGATTTCGGTTAACGATTTACCTTCCATAAGAATCTTAACTTCGGTTAACGAGCAATCCCTCGATTAACGAGTTTTTTACGAGCCGACTTCAACATGTTTTCGCTTGCATTTGGTGGTCCACCAGCTGTAGTATCAGTCCGCCAATACAGTAATTGGTTTTAGGGCTTAAATTCCTTACTATTTTAGTAAATATCAAGAAGTTTATACTATTCAACAATTTTAAAAGTTTAATATTAACTTTTTTAGTCATTTTAACAATTATTGAACATAATTGAAGGTAAAGAAACTAGTTTCTGGCATGCCATCCAGCCTGTTAACACACCAGACAGGTGTTAGTCTCTCTGTTTTCAGTGGAGGTAACATCTAGCTTGAGACTCTCTTCAACTAAACACTTTTTTTCTGTGTTTCCAAGCAAATTATTGGTCATTTTGAAATATATTTTACATATTGACAATATATAATGCAGTGCAGTGTTGATTTAAAGAAAATAATCTTGAAATACACCAAGAGAACTAAAATTTTATGGGTGAAATGGTGCCATGGGGTGACTTCTCTTCCACCCCAATGCCTTCTCTTCTTCCTTCTCCTCCACCCCCATTCTAATTCCCATCATCATCATCATCATCCAGGAGCCTTCTACATGCACACCTCAAAGTAAGTGTACTTTTCTCCTTTTTTTGTTGAATTTAGGCAATTTTCGGTGAGCTGGAACCAATTACCCAAAAACCCATTGAAACAATGGTTTCGGTTAACGAGTTTTTCGGTTAACGAGCAACCTGCTGGAACGAATTGTTGTCGTTAACTGAGGGACCACTGTACTTTAATAGTAGTTCTGGTGAAACAATCAGGATTTTAAAGATTTGATGCTGTAAATATATTGGTACATGCTTATAGTATTTATTTAGTTATTTTTTCAATGCCTGTACAGTAGTTCTTTGGTGTGTCTGTATTGATGTAGAAGGTGTTGGTGTTTTATAATTCAATAATTATTCTTAGTTGCTTTTGGTGCAATTTATGACACTTAGGTTAGGTTACGTTAGTATGGTTAATCTTAAAGTGAGATAAAATGGGGTAATATTCTGGTTAGAACAGATGTTGCTGTACAATACTTCACTTGTTTATTTTATTTCAGAGCCAACTGAGCCTCGTCGCAGTCAGAGGACACCCAAGCTGAGTGAAAAACTGAAAAGCTATATGCACGATAAAGGTAATTGAAGAGAGATGGAGCCCTTGTTTCTTGTTTGCTTATAGATTACATGACTTTAGGTGTTTGTATTGTTGATATTTGTTACCAAAAAACCCCCAATTTTGCACAGTATTTATAGTTTATTGCTGGAGTATATTACATGTTAATACGTAAGGTAGAAATATTGAGTCTCCAGTGGTGTGAAGGATTATCATAACAGGGTAACAGAGAATTAGAAAAAATAACACAGTAGTGACCAAGTGCTTTGACAAAAAAAATTTATTTTAAACTATTGTACTGAACTTTTTTTTTTCATTGTACCCCCTGTACTGTGTATTGTTTTTTCTTGCAAACATCATCAGTCATAACAATGTTGGGTTTAGCACCATGTCCCTAAATACCAGTTATGGTACTCTTGAGATAAGACGGTGAAGTGAGTAAAGTCCCCATTGCAGTATGTTTGAACACCAGAATATACAGCACACACACATGCATGCACACACACACAGACACACACACACACACACACACACACACACACACACACACAGCTGCCTCCCTATCTACTTCACCCTTCCATCTTCCAGTACATTCCATAAATTTGCTTCATTTTCAACTCTTTCAGGTAGTTTGAAAAAAGAAAAACAGGAATCCCCACAGAGTGAACAAACCAAAAAACCTGCCAATGCTGCTACCTCAGTTACACGGGAATCATCAGGTATTAGGAAAAGGGAAGCCAAAGTAGTGCTGAAGAGACTCGCAAACTACTACACGACGTCAAAAACAGGAAAGCAAAGTAAAAGTAGCAGTGAAGCTAAAGTAGCAGTAAAAAGGCTGACTAACTCAAAGGTAAGTAGAAGAAAAGGGGACATTGCCAAGAAGATGACCACCCTGCCAAGAAAGAAGTTTGGCCTAGCCTTGTCTTCCCTCATGAAAGATGCTGGTGCTTCCCGGTCACCACCAAAAGGAACAAAGAGAGTAGCAAAGAGAAAGATGGAGAGTGATTCTTCGTCAAATGATAATAAGACTTTTGGTAGACATAAGAAAATTAAACGTAAGAGAGGCAGAAAGTTTGAGACACAGAACACAGCTACTGACACAGGTAAAAATAGTATGGAAACAGTTGTGCAAGTCAATAAAGACATCATGAACAAGCTTTTGAATTTTGGTGCAGAAGTTGCAGAGGCCATGGCTGTAAACAATGAGGCTATATTTGGTCTGAGTGCGGGTGGTAGCACTATACAAAATCCTCTTCAGACTCTCAAGGGCGATGGAGATGATGATTTTGATGATGAAGAAGTTAGTAAAATTATCAGGTGGCTTGAGGAAGAGGAAGAACAACGAAGAACTTACAGGAAAAGGATACTTGAATCACTGAGAGCTTCGCACAATACAAATATGACACTTTATACACAGATGTTACAGGTTCTACAGTCTGTAACTTCAAGTGCCTGAAGTTTATTTTGTATTTAAATGATTATATATATATATATATATATATATATATATATATATATATATATATATATATATATATATATATATATATATATATATATATATATATATATATATATATATATATATATATATATATATATATATATATATATATATATATATATATATATATATATATATATATATATATATATATATATATATATATATATATATATATATATATATATATATATATATATATATATATATATATATATATTGTAATAAGCAAAAAAAGCATTGCCCCGTGAATTTTTGTGATCTTTAGATTGCAGCAGAAACTCCATCTCCACCAATTTTGATTGCAGTCACAGTATAGTAGAGCAGTACCGGTAAGTGCAATAATTTTCTTAGTGGCATGCTTGACGTTTTCGCATATTTATGTTTGTAAAACTGTTGGTACTAAGCCTTATTTGTCTTCATAAACTTGGTCACATGTAAAAAAAACTCAAAACCTTTTCATTACATACAGTACAGTATTACCCCGCTTCACGTGGTTTTTTTTTTACGCGTTTCCACGGTACCCTGCCAGACCCGGAATGCTCACTTTACGCGGTGCATGTACTCTTTTACGCGGTGCATGTACTCTTTTACGCGGAGAGCGGCGCGGGCAGGGCGCGCACAAGGTCGCCCAGTCATCAAAACATTTCCGAGTTCTTCACCCGCCACCCACCACAGCCAGCCCAAGTCAGTGATAGGGAGGATATGGACTTATATGGACTTTGAGGGGTTTGACAAAGAGGCCCTGCAAGCCTCTGTGGTGGATAGTGATACAAGTGATACAGGTGAGGGCCAATAATCTGCCCTCTGCCTTGGAACCAACCCCCATCCCCGTGTGCCCAGCCATCTTTTCTACTAATGTAAGTGTTAAAAAACCTAATATTATTGATATTTCTCTTAATTATTTATTGTGTGTGCATACAATCATAAAATTAAGTTATTTTTACTACGACGTAGGTATTGTGTCTGAAAAAGTGGAGTTTGATGGTCGGCCCGGTCTCTATTTCAATTAATCCCTTATGTTGTTCCCTTTACGCGTTTCTCGCTTTACGCGGGCCTCCGTGGGTTCAATTGACCGCGTAAAGCGAGGGTTCACTGTACAGTATAATGGCCAATTATTATATTTTCTTTTCTATACTCTTGTGTACAGGCAGTTATAATGACTAATATTTATAGATTTCTCTTCTGTACATTTGGCTAGTACTGTACTGCACTGTACTGTACTGTACTGCACTGTACTGTACAGTACTATGCACTTTGTTCTTTAGGGTTATTTGTTAACTTAATGAATGGAGGTTACATAACAGACTAATGAAACTTAATAGAAATATATTTAATTGAAAGCATTGGATGATTCACCATAAGTCGTGCAATATCACGTGTACTGTATCTTAGTTTGAATATGTTAAGAGGAAACAAATATTTTGTTTCATAATTATCATAAAGCACTTATTATAACACAAAGCCAATGGAGTTTTCACCTTTCAGAGTATTCAGAGTGTCTTAAAGAGATGTACAACTTGTCTTGAGCAAATCTTAAATTTAATTGGTGTTCAGTATATGTCCTTAAAGTACAGTAGAAGTCCAAAAATCCGGACTGCTTGGGGATTGGGTCGGTCCGGATTTTCGGATTTTCCGGATTCTCAGGCAGTACTTTTAAAATTCAAATTTAAGGAGGAATGAAGAAGAGATGAACAGGTACATTTTGATAGTTTATTCATTAGTAAATCTAACATGCTTCATTTATCAAAACGAGCAGTTTTAAAGAAAAAGCTGTGAATTCTGGAATTTTATTCTTTGCCTTTTTTATATCATAAATTGTAGACTTTCCAATGTCGTATGTTTCCATTAGAACAGTTTTGCTCACACCACGTTCTAGTTTCTTAATTATTTCAAGTTTGTCACTCAATTTCAACGTGTTCTTCGTTCTCTTCACACGACGAAGTTTATCTACTTTAGGAGCCATTATTATGGGCTTGTACAGTACTCTGTAAATGGAAAGAGTAGGACTCAAAATTACATATGTTGTCACAGTTTGATTGCTCGTTTTAAAGTGGCGACCGTGTGGTCGCTTGTTGTCGCTGTGCAGCTGTGGCGCTCATGCATGCTCACATACTCACAAAAGCCAGCTAATTTAAAAAAAAATTGAGTTTTTGAAAAGTTCGGATTCTCGGGTGGTCCGGATTTCTGGCATCCAGACTTTTGGACTTTTACTGTATCATCACATTCTTTATAGGAAACATCATTTTGGGGAACCTTGTGTACAGTAGGTTGCTTAGTTGAGGTCTGTTGTTAAGTATTTGTAGTGTTGTTTAAAGAATTTAATTTTTTATATACTAGTACAGTGACCCCTCCGTTAACGAACTCAATCCGTTCCAGAAGGTCGTTCGTTAACCGAAACCAATGTTTCAATGGGTTTTGGGGTAATTGGTTCCAGCTCACCGAAAATTTCCTAAATTCAACAAAAATGGTAGAAAAGTTCACTTACTTTGAGGTGTGTATGTAGAAGGCTCCTGGATGATGATGGGATTTAGAATGGGGGCGGAGGAGAAGGAAGAAGAGAAGGCATTGGGGTGGAAGAAGTCACCCCATGGCGCCATTTCACCCATAAAATTTTAGCTCTCTTGGTGTAATTCAAGATTATTTTCTTTAAATCAACACTGCACTGCATTATATATTATCAATATGTAAAATATATTTCAAAATGACCAATAATTTGCTTGGAAACACAGAAAAAAAGCGTTTAGTTGAAGAGAGTCTCGAGCAAGATGTTACCTCCAGTGGAAACAGAGAGAGACTGACGCCTGTTTGCTGTGTTAAGAGGCTGGATGCCGTGCATTAAACTAGTCACTTTACCTTCAATTATGTTCAATAATTGTTAAAATGACTAAAAAATTTAATATTAAACTTTTAAAATTATTGAATAGTATGAACTTCTTGATATTTACTGTACTAAAATAGTAAGGAATTTAAGCCCTAGAACCGATTAATGTATTGGCGGACTGATACTAAAGCTGGTTGCCCGGTCAGTGCAAGCGAAAACATGTTGAGGTCGGTTCGTAAGAACTTCGTTAACCGAATTTTTTTTCGTTAACCGAATTGAAGATCCTTATGGAAGGCAGATCGTTAATCGAAATTACGTTAACCGAGGTGTTCGTTAAACGAGGGGTCACTGTACTGTACATATAATTACTTTTCTCCATTAATAGCAACTGAGTTTTAACTTTGTATATTGTGTGTGAGAGAGAATGTTTGGTAACTACAGAACTGTATTTCTACTTGTTGTCATAACCTGTTCCTATTGCTTTCTGCTCTTGTCTTGTGCAAGTTTCCCCAACCATTAACTTTTTTGTCTGTTTTTCTTGGTTCACCCCATTCAAAGATTGCGAGGAGTAAAAATAATGGTTAGGCAGATACTTTTTTTCTTCTAATTACAGTTCATAAACCCAGTAGTGCTAAACTATACAGTTTGTCTTCAAAATTGATCTACTCTCACTTACTGTACTGATGTTTATAGTAATCCCATGATAATTGTTTCATTAATCCTTCTCTCATAAACTTTCTTCCACTTGCTAATGTACTGTATATTTTGATTGCCTGCTTTACCAGATGATTCACTTACTGTTTTTTGTGCAAGCTGAGCGCAGTGATGGATACTTATGCTACCTAAATCCAGTACATGTATAAGTGTATGTACGTATACAGAGGCAAGAGGGTTAAAATATTCTTTGTCTATCTCTTATCTGTAAAACCAGACTGATTATCTAATCATATACAGAAGATAATATTTCATATAAACTCGATCAACTTGGAGATTTTTCCTCCATATATTATTATGAATCAGAAGTCCTTTGCTTTGTATGGGGATATTGCTGTACAGTATCATCATCTGTTGACTGAACTGTACAGTATATGTACTATAGACTGAAAATTTTTCCATATTCAAAGCAAGTGGTCCAGGTTGTATGTTTTCTTCTCCAAATAGCTTTACTGGTGTTCATCAGTCTTACTTGATGGTTATGGACTTAAAAAATAATAATTTTGATAAATGGATATTATCCTGACAAGTGAAGCCATTACCCTCTGCTTGTACCCTAAGATATTATGTTTGAGAACATTGAGGATTCCCCTCTCACTTTCTCTTTCTTATTTTTCCACCTTGTCCTGCTATGATACATGGTGGGTGGACGGGTACTACTCCCCAGATTCTGAGGATTCAGTGCTTAGTGGGTTATCCCACCCTTTTGGCAGGATGCTGGTCCACCATGGGTTTTCCCATCTTTAAACAAGCACACTTGATAATGCACTGTACTCGTTTATTGGGTCGTGTGCAAGGGCTGTTGTATAAGGGGGGAACCCTTTCCAGGGTATAGAGACAGAGCTCTCCAGACTCCCTAAAAATTATGATATAGTCTTTAAAACCTGCTAATGGACATAATTCTTCTTGTCATTTTATAAAAAAAAGTTCTATTTACAAAAATGAAAAAAAAATTAATGATGTGGTCACACAAAATGCCTAAACTATGTACAGATACTTTATAGTGCAGGTGGAGGGAAACAAGGTTACGACATGTGATCCCAGTACAGAACTGTACAGTATTTGTAGAGATAAATTAATCATGCACTTCCTTGTTGAGGAAAAGATAGTTCTTTTTTTGAAAGAAATTATTTTTGTTTGCTGACATCCCAGAGGTCAATAAGAACATCTTTGATTACAAGAGGAAGTCAAACCATTGTAAACAGTATTGAATTATATTACTGTACATCTTTCATTAAGAAGCATATACTGTATTCAGTAGATGTGTCTCTTTCAGATGCTGAAGGATAATCCTGTACACAAGTAAAGGTGTTATCATATTAGAAGCAATATGATGTTATCCAAGAACAAATGGCCGTACATACTGTATACCCTCCAGTGGTTTAGTCACTTACCCTTATTTTCATCACCATTGTCGTCATCTGTTTTATGGTCATTATTCATGCATGTGTAGTTTAATTGTTATTTCCTGATGGCATGGTTTCCCTGTTACAGAGTGGGTACTGTACTGGGAATTATTTGAGGGACTTGTGAGTACCCTCTTAGCTGGCAAGACAGGGTTGCTACTCCCTGAGGTAATGAAAGATTACTCACATATGAGTGAATGTCAAAGATTAACTAGGATAATACACCTTGAATTATCATGATAATAAAAAAACTTGTTTTCAAGTTAATGGGATTCGTGTTGACAGTATACCGTACTGTGTTTAATAGGCAATCCAGTCAAGTCTTAAAGTCAAAGCTTTCTTTAGCATTAACACTGCCAATAGTGTTGTAAGCTTCATTTATTGTATCATCCCATGTCTGTACTGTATTGTGTTTATATTATTCCTTTTATTTCAATAATACCTTTTCCCCGCTATACTTCAGTATTGTACTAACGTAGGCTCTCCATTTAGTATCTCTCTATTTGCCATAATATGTATTCTGCAACAAGAAGAATCAGAATGCTTCCACTTTGGAAAATTAAACCGTGTAAGTTCTGGATTCCCACTGTTGGACAATTATTATCTTCAGCACCATATAGATCATCTACCCATTCCTCGGCTGCTTCTCATCAGTTTACAGTAAAAATAACATTCATGTTGAATTTCTCCACTAATTTGTGTTGCAATATTTTTCTGTTCCCCCGCACTTCATATACTGTACTGTACTGTGTATAAAAGTTGAGGAGGAGAATATGAGGAAGTGTGTGTGTGGAGTATCTTTAATTGTTGTTTCAGCCCTATTCTCCCGCTTTCTACATTTGTCTTTCACTATGTTGTTTTACCATTTCACTCCTTTCTTAAGACGTCGTAATAGCCATCAACATATTACTCACTATAAAGAATTCAAGAATATTTGTATTTATTTTGCATTATTAACTCATTTGTATTGATGTCGAGAGAGAGGAACTACTGTGCATCATTGATATTTCAGTGGACAGATAATTGGTGAAGATAGAGTTACGGAGAAGAGGATTGTTGGACAGACTTTAAAATAATTCCTACAGTGCATCAGATGTAGACAATGGCATAAAATTTTTTTAAATAGTTGTTAATATCAAAGTGTATTGTGTACTGTATATGTTAAAATCTTAAGAATAATTTAACTGAAGATGTAGCCATCCTCCATTGAAATTTTCAATACTGTATCTAGTTGCCTGAAGATGTTGTCATACTTCTTATCTTCAATTCACTGTTAAGATTTCCCTTGTATAAATTACTTCTTTTATCATATTACAGTGAAACCTCCATATAATCCCTTAGATGGATGTTTCATATCTAACAGACCCTTGATATAATGGACTTTCCTCTCCATATAGTCTATTAAATCCTGTAGAGGTTTTACAATATACACTGTTCCTTTTACTTTGTACTGTACTGTACTGTACTTTACTTCATTTGTAAGATGGGATACTAGAAATTGTGTACAGCATGGAGTATTTTTTGCCCGTTTCACTCCCTTCTTGTAACTTCGTACACTTCTCTTCCTCTTCTCACTCTTATATCATTTTACTCCTTTTTGTGGTTTCTGGTCTCTCCTGGACATAATGAGAGAGGAGTAAAGGTGATATACTGTACAGTAGGTAAATAAGATATTCCTCACACTACACAGTTATGAAATTCACTCCCAGCTCTACGGTAGATGTTAAAGTGTAGGGCTTATCAAACAACCCGTAAAATGCACCAATTGATCCTTTATCTTCCACAAATTGCAGGACCAACAGGGCACAGGTCTGGGAGCATCATTAGATGTATTGGTTCTGTCATCTGCTTCTCTCTTTTTTTCTACTCTGTATTTTACAAAATATATTAAAAGAAAAGCTGTGTTTCAAGCATTATAATATTTTAAGGTGTGTTCAAACAATTTAAATTATACAGTATAACTGTACTCTTTATGTAATGTTACAATAAATATGGATAAGGATATTCTGCAGTTCTCTATATGGACACAACAATTTTGTACAAATTTGCATTTTGTTTTCTTTACATTTATTAACATATAATTATTAGACTGACTTCTGATTACACATCTGTACTGTACGTACAAAGATTTCTAGCCACAAATCCTTTTATATTTTGTTTTGTTACTGTGATTCTTATTAGCCATAGCATTGTTACAGATTGAATTGTGAATACACATCCATTCAAGTCTTTTTATAATTATTAGATAGTGTTTTTTTTTTTTGTTTATTGGCATTAAACTTAACCAAAGAGAGATGTAGTGTTTGTGAATAAAAACTTTAAGTTTATGAGGTTTGTCACATGTGGTGACAATAAATGAGTTGCTAGTCTTTTGTATCTGAAAGCCTATTGATATGTTTCATAGCAAACAGTTTTGGTGCAGACTTGTTACAGTATTTTGTAGATGATGATCATCATTATTGTAAATACCTGTACAGGTAATGATGGAACATAAGTTCATGTTAGAAGTCTTTTTTTCTGAACTTTTGTGTACTAACTCTCGTGCTTCTTCATGAAGGCCTGTCCTAACAAAGTGACATCGGTAGGATGTATTGAATAGTGACAGGAAGAACTGTTATATTTAATAAAAAAAATAAGTCATTACACTGCATATTCTTCGTACTGTACCCATTTTAACCGGTTAGAAAAAGAACAGTTCAACAGTCATACAAGAGATTCAAAGCAATCAAGACATCTGAGAATAAACTTATATTTACAGTACAGTACTGTACTGAACTATCAAGTATTCAGACCATTCACCTTTACAAATGACTCGGTCTTCCCACCTGGACTACAATATTCAAGTATGTAGACTATGGAAATACTTCTTCAAACAGCAGCTGGTAGACCTGGTGACCGGATAAAACCCCAATGGACAAAACCCCAGTCTCATATAAAATAAAACACTTATGTTTAGTTTAGGTTAGTGTTGACAAATGACAACCCCATTGGGGTTTTGTCATGGATTCGGTAGACCTAGGGGATGGTCTACCACCCCTAATTGTGGGATAGAGAACAGTAATGGGCTTCAAAATAGCCCTTGACAAGACTATCAAGAATAAGGTAGGGATTCTACACAGGCCACTGGCCTCCCCTCAGCATGGCCACCTCCAGTGGGTCGTCATTAGGTGAAAAATGGTAAAGGTAAATGTCTGGGCGCTCTCCATGACCCCAATGTTGTTATGATGTCATTACTGTACTGTACTTCAACATCGAAGGTTTTTAAGCGTGTAACAAGGTTGGTACAGTAATTACACTAGTACAACAACATTAAACGATTATGAAACACTAGGTGTGAGTACTAAGATTTACTCTGGTCCCCACGATATCTTATTTTACCTTAAGAAAGTTTGTCTAGGGGATAATTTAAAATATTAGGTAACTATTGTTGTTAATGGTGTTTTACTCAAAGCTTTTTTAAAGAATGTTTGTGCACAGAAATAAGAGCAAATTTTCCTTCAATGACGATCGCAGCTGACTACTTCGTGTACTGTAGTGACGACCAAGAATCGAGCTAAATGTTTATTTTGGTAACGTCTGTGACTGTCTAGCTTCATTTATTTCATTAGTGATGTCCATAATACTCTAGTTTCGTGTATTTTTTAGTGACATTGACGACAGCCTAGCTTTGTATATTTTACTAATGGCCCAGCAACCAGTTGCCATTAATTGCCTTGTCAATGACATAGTAACTCTCATACACAAGAGTTTTCAAAATTACCACATTCACCGGTTATGCATTTACTATTTCTCACAGTTTACCATCTAAGGAAAATGCCAACTTGAGTATAAAACCGCGAACCCTGCTCGGCTAAAATTTGCCTGTCAACCAGACTGAAAACTAGCCCAATTTGGCATGAAAACCGCCAACCTGTAACTCCCTTCCTTTAACCCACTTAAGAAAATATTTTTTGCTACGTGATTACTGCAATAGTAACTCAATATTCTTTCTTCTAAAATAATCCGTCAAGGCACAAGATGACTCAACTTCTGCATACACATATCTCTTTAATTGGCAAACGTCGCATTAATGTTAGTGTTTAAATTAATTAACTAAACCCTGGGCGCAGCACATCAAGCGGTAGACCCTGAGGCTATGTATAATGATAAGTTGGTACCCACTACAAGGTATACCAAGCACCTACAGTTTAATGTGGTCAATGACAGTTTAATGTTGAGGTCTGTAGTGAATTGGTCACAAACGTATTTATATCAATATATATTTGTATAAATATTAATAAGTATGATGTAGGAATAGACTATTGAGAGAGTTTGTGTTTTATGAGGTAATAAACACCGCTTGTGGCGACGATTTTGTTTGTTTACATCTCTGCTGCGACGCGAGGTCACGCTGTGCAGTTAAAAAAGGGTCATAATACAACACTTTTATTCTCCTACTGATTGAAAAAATGAAATATAAAATACTTCTATAACTGAACGATAATATTCTTTGATATATTATATTAAATAAATTAAATCCTTTATGAATACTTTTTAAATAAAATTAATAGATGACAGCATAACGTAAACCATATGTAGTAGCCGGTCGCGTCGTAGCCTAGTGTCTTACTGTGGTGGTGAAGGCGAGAGTTTTGTGGCTCATTAATAGAGATGGGTGTTCCCGCCTTCTTCCGGTGGCTCTCCAGGAAGTATCCATCAGTAATTATAGAATGTGTTGAAGACAAGGTGAGGGTAGTTAATGTTAACTTATAGTCTGTGAACAAGAGAACCTAATGGCTCACTCGTGCCTCCGCTGTGTATTAATAGTGATCTTAGTTTTAGTTTGTTGGTTGGGTAAAGCTTAAACAAACATTATAATGAGGAATCTTATACTATACACTAAACACTACTGGGTGATTCACCTCCACAGAGTTCACTAACGACTGAACCCTCTGCTAAACTCTACCTTCATAATTAAAATAGAAAGTGTTAACTTTTATTTCTGACGAAAAGTTGTTTTAATTTGAAAAATTCATTTTTTGATTTATTGATCCGTAAATAAATTATGAGGAAATATACCAAAACATTTATGTGATTGGTTTTACAGAACTGTACTTGACAATTGTTGCACATCTTAACCAACAACTTGAGGACATTTCTCCTTAGAATTTTAATTCTTTCTTACCTCATGAGGAAAAAAAATGGCTGAGTAAAATATATTTCATATGATACAATTTATTTTTTTTGACGTGAATCTACAGCAGTGACAATCTGAGGCCTTCCACCATTATTGTGTGATTTACAGAGGAACATTTCCAGGTTAGGCAATGCAATGTAGGTTAGTTTGATTGATTTTATAAGTGATAAATTCTAGAATGAAACAGTACAGTACAGTTAACCCTCACTTTACGCGGTTAATGTAACCCGGAGGGTACCGCGGAAAGTGAGAAACGCGTAAAGTGAATAACATAACATATGGGATTAATTGAAATGGAGTCCAGGCCGATCCCCAAACTCCACTTTTTGACGACACATAACTATGTTGTAGTAAAAATAACATCTTAACTTTATGATGGTATGAAAAAACAAGTAATATAGAAGAGGTTAGGTTAGGAAAGATAAAGGTTAACATAGGAAAAATAAAGGTTAGGTTAGAAAACTAAAAATTAGTTGTAACACTTACGGTAGTAGAAGAGATGGGTCGGCATACGGGGATGGAGGCTGGTTCCGAGGCAGAGGGCAGATTACTGGCCCTCAGGTGAATCACCATTACTAGGTGAATCACCATCACTGTCACTTACAGTTGTCAGGGCTTCCCTGACAAATCCCTCAAAGTCATCTTCACTGCCACTATCACTGGCTTGGGCTGGCTGTGGTGGGTTGCGGGCGAAGAAATCTGTTATGCTTTGCTGACGGCTGGCGTTGATGTTGTCGTGATACACCTTGATGTACGGCTCCATAGCCTGCACCAGCCGGGTATGGAAGACTTCATAGCGGTCATCGTCATTGTCGCGGGAAAGGAAGGACTTCATTTTCTCTGCACACTCCATGGCACCCTTAATATCACTATGACTTAAACTGTGTTCTTCGGAGAATGACGCACCTTCTTCCTCCTCTTCACTGACGTGTTCTTCTTCCAACATCTCGTCGGCAGTCACTTCAGGATCTCTGATCACCTCCAGGATGTCGTCGTTGGTGGTCTCGGAGAAGCCTGGAACTGTAACAGTCTGCGCAGCTTCTCTGGCAAGGTCCACTGCTACTGCAACATTCTGAACCTCACCAGTCACAGATTGACTCCTCCTCTCACCTGGTATTCCATGCAACACATGTCTCCATGCGTGACGAATTGTAGCAATAGACAGCTGATCCCATGACTCCACCAAGAAGTCCACAGCTTTCTTGATGTTAAATACTCTCCAGAATTGTTTGAACAGTATTTTTTGCTGTTCCAACTGTTGATCCTCATCTTCTTCGCTCTTGCTATCGGTGGTGGTGTCACTCAGGTTACGCAACTCTTCCCTGGTGTTGGTGTAGTCGTTCAGGAGCTGGAATTTTTTTGTCGAGAATGCAGCTTTTACATTGCAGATTAACTCCTGGTCCATGGGCTGGATTAATGACGTAGTGTTGGGAGGAAGGAAGACCACTTTAACGTTGGGGTGACGATCTAACAGTAGGGGCGAGTGTCCTGGTGCGTTGTCCAGCAGCAACAAAATATTGAATGGCACATTCTGTCGCTCACAGAATTTTTTTACATCGGGAACAAAACAGTCATCAAACCTGGAGAGGGACAGTGTAGAGAACATCCACGCCTTACGTGCGGTCAGCCAGTGGACATTTAGCTTGGTCATGTCCATGGTTTTGTAGGCGTGCGGCTTGCGTGCCGTGTGGATCACCGATAACTTGAGCTTATAGGTACCGGAGGCATTGGTGGTAAACAGGACGGTGATGCGTTCCTTCTGCATTTTCCGGCCCCGAATCCTGCTGGCATTCTTTACAACGAAGGACTTGGAAGGTAGCTTTTTCCAGAAAAGACCAGATTCGTCCATGTTAAACACCTGGTCGTCACTGTACTGTCCTTCCTCCATAATCTCACGTAGAAACGGAGGAAATTCCCGAGCCGCAGCACGATCAGCACTCGCTTCTTCACCACCAATGTTTATATTGGTGATCTTGTTCCGGATCTTAAACCTCTGTAACCACCCAGAGGAAGCATTAAAGGGTTTGGGCTCTGTAATTCCTATCTTTCGTGCCACTGCCATGTACAGTTCACGTGCGTAGTCCTTAACAGAGCGCGTGTCGACCGCCATGTTCCGTCGCGCCTGACGCACCAAGTACCTCACAAGTAATTTTTCTGTCTTGAGAAGCACCTGGTTGTGAAAATACTTGATCATAGAAGCACCTGTAGACTTTGTGATCTTCATGTGCTCCTTTATCTTGGCTGCATCCTTCTTTATAGTCCGGATCGTAGATTCGTTCACACCATGCTGGCGCGCCAAATCAACCTGCCTTGTTCCCTTCTCCAACTCTTGGATGATTGTATACTTCACCTCGTAGCTTAAGGAACGTCGTATCTTCTTTGGCTTAGTGCCGCTGGGTCCAGGTAAGGAAAGGTTTCTCTCTGGTGGTGGTGGTCCGGTGGAAGCCATTTTACGGAACAATGGATGCGCGTTTACACGGAGTGGCCTTGAAGGATGAAACTGCCGCGGCTAGGTCAAGCGTCGTCTTTCCTCCCTCCCTCCCTCCCTCCCCCGGGTGGACACGTCATAATACTTTAAGCCAATTACAGCTAGCAGCAGAGGGGGGTAGGGATGCATGGCCAATCACAGGTCTGATACGTCATATGACGTCAGTGATAACGCAACAAAGACACACACTGCGCAACCTTACCACGCCGCTTGCCCAAGCGGAGGGAGGAGGCGAGGAGCACAGGCAGGCAGGCGGGCGGGTGGCGGGTGGGGCGAATCTAAAAATAGCGTCGCGCCGGACACTCTCCGCGTAATGGGGTTCACGTACCGCGTAATTTGAGCACGTGAGGTTCTGGCAAGGCACCGCGTTAACGTGGAAACGCGGAATGCGGGACCGCGTAAAGTGAGGGTTAATTGTATATGTTACTTCAGAATATTAACAGTTGCTTGGAGTTTCTGGTGGAATTTGTAGGTGCTGGACAACTTATACCCAAGCAAATTGTACCTATAAGAACATAAGAAAATAAGGAGTCTGCAATAGGCCGGTTGGCCTGTGCATGGCAGTTCCTGCCTAGAGTTACTACCACTCTCTATCATCCACGAATCAATCTAGCCTCCTTTTAAAACTTTCCAGAGTTCCCACACTTACTACAAAGTTGCTAAGCTTGTTCCACTCTTCTACCACCCTATCTGTGAACCAGTTCCTTCCTATCTCCCTCCTAAACCTAAACTTATCCAACTTAAATCCGTTGCTACGAGTCCTATCCTGCTCGGATATTATAAGAACTTTATCTATATCTCCTTTATTGATTTCTTTCACCCACTTAAATACTTCTGTCATATTTCCCTGCACGCTTTGTCTTTCTAGGGAATGCAAGTTCAGTTTCTTTAATCTATCTTGATATGGAAGGTTTCTAAGCCCCGGAATCATTTTCGTTACTCTTCGCTGCACCGACTCATAATTGAGGTGCGGCCTGACTAGTGCAAGATATAGTTGCAATATGACCTCGGCATTCTTATTACTTACACTTATAGATATAAAACCTAATACTCTGTTTGCCTTATTTCGAACATTAACACACTGTTTTGTAGACAGTAGGTCCGGGCTTACAAGTACCCCTAAGTCTCTTTCACAAGTCGACTTCTCTAGGTTGATGTTGTTAAGGCTGTGCACATTGACAGTATTTGGTCTTTCAATATTAAGTACGCTGCACGTCATACCCAATTTACGAGACAGTTGCCAGCCATTTTTAAGTGAATTACAAACGAAAATTTTTTCAGTACACAGCTCAATCACTAACGTTGGGACTCGAAAATACGTAATTTGACAAAATTTTGGAACGACTGATGCGGTCGTATTTCCGGGTGGTCGTAGGTCGATTATGTCGTAAGTCAAGGAGTAGCTGTATAATGAATATATATATACTTATATATCTCACAGCGGGGTCTGCCCATTTCATCACCACTGCTTTACCAGTTTCATCACCGTTTTCATTCCCATCAATATATACACTAAAATAACTGTTGCTTGGAATAGAAAATAATAAAAAACACTTGAGACAATTTATTAAAGACTAAAGAAAAAAATAAGAACGTCATTACTCATGCAAGCATCTCATTTAAACAATTTATTAAAGACAAAAACGAAACCAAAATAAAAATATTGTTAATACGCCTGCAGTCATCTCACTTAAACAATATATGAAAGACTAAAATTTAAAAACTAAATAAAAACATTGTTAGTACTCGTGCAAGCTTGGAAGAAGATACTAAAATTTTTTTAGGAAATTAGAAGTGGTGATATTTTTTTTCTTCATATTCATCCCACAGCTTCCAGGGACGGGCTTGTTTGTCATGATTTGCTTCTCTTGTGTATGATTTTAGCTTGTACTCATCAACTAGTTCAACTAGTCTAGTTGTAATTGCAAATCAACCATTGAGGCTTCTCTGAAGAAGAGGGACAAGGAGGTATAGAGAGAGATTGTTCCTTGCTGCTCGGTGGTTTATGCGCTGGTGTCGGATCACCTTCATTTGTTCTCTATTTTGTTTATTTACCAATGTTTTAATCGTTTTCTTTATTTAACAATTAATATTCATGTATAATAATAAAAAAAAATTCTCAAGTCATCTGTATACATGTGTAATTTCTATTCGTGTAAAATAAAAACTTAGAAATTTGTCACTAATACCAGTGACTGTTAGTGGTGACGATACGGGTTTTGGTGACGAACCGGGTTGGTGACGAAATGGGGTGTATCCATCCCAGTGTATAAGTCAACTGCAGAACTTCCAGGCTACAAAGCGGCATCTCTTTGATCATCCGACGTCATGTCCTTCGATAGTCACGTATCACAGTCAGGTTATTCGGAGACTTTGTGTTACGTGACTTTCGAAGGACGTGATGTCGGATGATCAAAGGGATGCCGCCTGGGTCACTGACCGTGTTTATCTCTCGCTTTTGGAGGTCCACTAATCCTATGTGAATGAGTTCAGTTTTGAATATAAGCTTGGACTTTGTTTCTTAACTCCAATACCATTTCAGCCCTTGTCAAGTTCAGTGCTTGTAGTGCAATGCACTATATATTGTCAATATGTAAAATAAATTTCAGAATGACCAATAATTGTGCTGTAAAAATGTAAAAATAGTTTATGTTCAAGAGAGCCACAAGCAAGATGTTACCTCCACTGACCAGAGATACAAACTGACGCCTTTGTGGATGAGTCAAGTGGCTGATTGGCACACCAAAAACTAGTTCCTGTACTGCAATTATGTTAAATTATGTTTTATGTTAAATAAGTGTTAAAATTACTAAAAATTTTAATATAAAACTTGGAAAATTATTAAATAGTACAACCTTCTTGATATATTTTCAAATGGGAACGAATTTAAGCTCTAGAACCGATTACTGTATTGGCGGACTAATATTCCAGCTGGTGAGCAAGCGAAAACATGTTGACATGATTTCGTAAGAATTTCGTTAACCGAATTTTTGTTCATTAACCGAAATGAAGATTCTTATGGAAGGTAATTCGTAAACCGAAATTTCGTTAACTGAGGTGTTCGTTAACCGAGGGATCACTGTATTGTATTTATTTATCTATTTATTTATTTATTTTTTTTTTTTATGGGATCAGCCCACCAGGGCACAGGTCAATGACCCACATCAGTGCCTGGGGTCAAAAATATATGGTTTATTTGTCTTGAAATTGGGTCTGGAACATTTTAATTTTGGGTTATGGAATGCATCCTATTTTTTTACCAATTACCGGTAACTAAGTATTCAATTAAGATATATACGAAGGTTTTCAGAAACGTATCGCCTGCATATATCAAGGACTTAATGCTGTGATCATCATCTGTTAAAAAACTATGGAAGGAACCGTTATAACATCCCAGACATAAACAAATGAGCATTGGTGCTTTTGAGCTTGAAAGTACTGTAGTAGTAAAAATATTACAGGTACAGTACAATATTTCCCCAAAAGTTTTCCCTGTCCACTTTTATGTCCTTCTCAAGAGGTAAGAAACTGTTTATCTTGTATGGAAAAATGTCAAGTTGGTTTTACCCAACATATGCCATTAGTTAATTGCGGGTAACCCACACAGAGGTGTAGAATGGCTCAAAACATTGATGATAATGTAAGCAAGACATTAGTCATGTGGGAGCAGGTCTAAATCTTGGTTTAGGCAGTTGGTATAGAGTTCATGTTCTCAAGAAAAATTTACTGTACAGTATAAGATATTTATTATTTCTGTTTATTACAATACAGTATTATAGAATCCAGTGGCAGTCTGTCCCTAATTAAATTTGGACTTCTATATTTTAGAACTTTATATTTTGATTCATATGCAGTTTTTACTTAAGAGAAAATAATCGGCTAATGCCAAGTTTATATTTGCAGCATTATAAGTACTATGCAGTAATTTGCATTACCGTACATTGTCTTCTTTTTCAGCAATATAATACTGACGATGGCAAGCAAATACCTCAAGACACTTCGAAGCCCAATCCAAATGGGGTTGAATTTGACAACTTATATCTTGACATGAATGGTATTATACATCCGTGTACACATCCAGAAGACAGACCAGCACCTAAGAATGAAGATGAGATGATGGTTGCAATATTTGAGGTAAGGTTTTTATTTTTGGTAATGCTAATCTTTCAATTGTTGTCTTTTAGGATTGATTATGTATGATAACACTTCTCTCACACTTCCATTTTCACTTAATGTTCATTTGTAAGTCACTTGGTAATGATTTGAATTAAGAAAAAAAATCTACTTGTGAGAACATATTTAATTGTCCTGGGGAAAGAAAACATAACTATTAAAATTAGGGCCAGAAAAAATTATATTCTGCTTTAAAATTTGATTCAGTTACAAACCACTGTGGCAAGGGAAGGTGGTACAATACTGTACTGTAATTGAAGCTGGAGTAGATATATAACAACAAGTGTAAATGTACAACTTTTGTTGTATTTTTACTATTTGACAAGTTTCATCTTAGAGTTTTCAGAAACTATGTACCCAAAAATATATTGGAATTTGCTTTTGGAAGCATATTTTAAAACAATACCTGGGTTGGTGACTCAGTCTCCTGCCAAACACTATTTTGGGCTAAAACTGAGGATTAATTCAAGAAATATCAATAATAACCAAAGCCTAGTGAGGTTGGTGGAGGACATGTGTTAGTGGGATGGAACCATTGTATCGAAACATCCTTCTTTTCTGGATATGTCAGGAAGGTAGGAACTATTTGATGAATTAGTTCCAACTACTAGTGTTGATAGTTCCTGGGTTTTAAAGCTGGAGACATACTGTATTACCTAACATATTAGTTGGTTCATCAAGGAACATGTACCCATCACTATATACAGGGGGGTCCCCAGGTTACGAACGAGGTCCGTTATTGAGGGTGTTCTTAAGTCGGAAATGGATTAAGTCGGAACACATACCCTACGTGCACTATATCATGGCCTAAGTTCTTTTATACATCTCAAATCACTTAATTTAAGAGAAAATAAGAAATTGAAAGACAAAATACAGTAAAGGAAAGTAAAAGTAAAAGTTTACCCCGGTACATTGAAACCTTGGGCTAGCTGATCTTTCACCCATATCACTAACAATCTTTCCATTTCATTTAACACTCCACTTTTTTGTGTTGTTATCACAGTTGACTTCATTGGTGTAGATCCTTTTACATGTTCAAGAATTTTGTGTTTGTCTTTCAAAATTGTTCCGACCATTGACCGACTGAAGCCCAATGCTTTATCAATGACTGAGGGTGTTTTGCCTTTTTCAGAACATTTAATTACATCAACTATCACTTCCATTGTAATTGTTTTCCTTTCCTTGGATGCACTACGTACTATTTCTCGTACGTTAATCCTACAAACCAGTTGTACTTATGTCGGATTCTTAAAATAATTGACCTCATGTGACCTCATTTGTATCGGCGGGTGTTCACAAGTCGGACGTTCATAAGTTGGGGACTCCCTGTATCAGGAAATATCAAGATAAAACTATTTGAAGTAGCAGCAGTTTGTGTTGTCTAATGGTAGACCCTGTTGCCATATGGCATCACAAAAATTGTGACCAAGTTCCAGGTTGCTGATCTGTCTTTCTGCTTCATTTACACACAATTGTAGGGTCTCAATTGTTTCTCTTACATGACAACACAACATACATATAGCGTTTCTGACTATTGATTTTTTTCATTCTTGTATTTCTTTGTATTTATTATTATTATCACAGTGTTGTTATTATTATTATTACCATTAATATTTTATTTTACTTTTTATTATAAATTTTATTTACTTTGAATTATTATTATTACATTTTCGCCCCCTGGGCCCCGATGTGGGTCAGTGACCTGTGCCCGGGTGGGCTAATCCCCGTAAAAAAAATAAAAAAAATCAGTTTTTGTACTGTAAAATCTTACTCTGCCTTATATCATATGTTATATTAGTTTAAAAGTTTCCCTTTGGGTTTTCTTCCTTAAGGGACAAATATCATTGAACTGGATGCTTTTTTAAATATTGGTAAGGGTTTGTTGAGGTTTTGTTGTAAAAAATCACAAATTATGACACAATGAACACATGTAAGAGCCACGACAACAACTTTAAAACATCATGCTTCAAAACATAAAACACTGTACTGTATATTATTTGTCACAATTTTTCAAATACAAAAAATAAAACATTCTAGATTAGCAGTAAATATTCGCATATACAGAACTACAGTATAATTGTACAAAACAATGTTCCAGGATCTGGGAGCTTATTTGAAATGGTTTAAATCTCTTACTTTGTATCAAATAAATCTAATTTAATAAAGTCTTATGAGCTGATCATAAACCAGTAAGTATTGAATATTTTTTTATTTGAGTGTGAATAAGGTGGGTGACATCCTTGCTATAATGCTTTGTAAAGGGACGGGTGTTTGTGATTCTCGTAACTGGTGTCTTGTGACTGCTGAATTCCGTCAGGCTCCAGCTTGTTGGCAGAGGTGCTAACTAATTTATTTCATATGAAGTTATCTTGGTACTCTTCTTTCTTTTTTGTAACATAACCAGGAATCTGAACATTTCAAATAAAGATGTTGAATTGTTACACATTAATCAAAGGAAACAAATGTGAACCACAATTACCTGTATGTTAAGAAAATATGAAGTACCAGGCAATAACATAACAGTTGATCACAGCATTTTGTAGAGTTGCTTCTATGATGATTATTTTTTTGCTTTTAATCTCTTAATTTCTTATTGAGTAACAAAACACGTTTAGCAAAACCATATTTATACACATGAAACATAGACGTGTTTTATGTGCCTGTCTTACCTGACACGCACACACATATGTATGTATGTAAAGCTTTCTCCTAAGTGTGTGTGTGTGTGTGTGAGAGAGAGAGATAGTTAGTTAGGTCATGGAGCTGTGTTAGTGTGGCCTCCTGAGTGGGTGATAACTACAGTACATTATAGTCTATGTCTACCAGGTCCTATCATAAGCCTACATAAGTTCCATATATAAACACTATGTTTTCTGTGTTATTTTACATTAGAGGGACTGGACTGTGTTTACCGCTAAAACTGGGCTTAAAATAAATGTGATAAAGTAAATGATGAGTAGGTGTCAGTTTAGTGGGGCAGCACCACTTTCTCGAGGATCCCCACTATACTGAACATGTGCTCACTGCATTAGTTTTTATTACAATGTTCTTTTCACCTTAAGGTAAACTACTGTACAGGTGCTCCTCTACTTACGAACGAGATACGTTCCTGAGGTTTGTTTGTAAGTCCAACTTTACTCCTGTAGATACCAAACATATTGTAACAAATGAAAAGATTATGGATATTTAGTACAGCTATACCCTTTAATACAGCCTTAAAACCTGGCTCACTCTTCTCCTCTTAGGTGATGTTTACTCTATCTGGAATTTTCTTCAAAATAATCCAGTCATCCACATTAAACACCTGTTCTGGCAGGTAACCCCCCTCAGTGATTATAATTGTATCTGAAAGTTTGTAAGTTGAACGTTCTTAAGTAGAGGAGCACCTGTACTGTATAGTAAGTTTTTTTATACATGATACACATACAGTATAATGCAAAGCAACACAGCAGACAAGAAGCATGCACAAAGTGTCAGGCTCTCTCCTCACACCATGTTGCTCGTGACATATGTTGACTAACTCATTCCACACTTACCTATAAAATTTAAATTATCCGAACTGTCTGTCTGTCGTTTGCCCACAGGCACTTACTAAAAAAAAACAATAATAATAATAAATTTCCATCCTAGGATTAGTTTTTTGTTGTTGTTGGCGTGTGTGTTTCACCAGAATAATAGGAAATCTTAGCCTTCTACAGTATTGTTAATAATAAATGTCTACCTTTTTGGGGCATATTATTAATGAAAGAAAAAATAATTTATCATCGATTGTAGAATTTTTTTAAAGCTGTTGCTACTGTTTCTTCTTAGTAGTGAGCATAAAATTATTGTCTGCAAAAGTCAATAGGCCTCTATAACGCATCTTGATGCCTATGTAAACAAAGGTGGTGGCAGTACTGGCATCGTTCTTTACTTTATCTTTACAAAAAAAACTAATTAGGAATAATGCCTTACCTCCACCCAATTTCCTTTTTTTGTAAGGTAAGAAATAAGCTGTCTCTTCTAGATATTTTCATTGGGTGGCTGGTTAACCTGCCCTTAAATATTACTCTCTTGGTTGTAGTGTGGGTCCTCATCCCCCGAGAGAGGATCAACCTTCCACGTGTAAATCACAGGCTGAGTTTTGAAGACTTTATTAGAGATAAAATTGCATCATAAATGCTGGAAAATACGGTAGTTGGCAACGTATTAGTCCTCTGATCGTGGCCTGGTTATATAGAGGCACTGTAGGTCCAGTCCTCTATTTGGTGCAATATTTGTCTTTTGGTTTGTTTTTTGTTTCTTGAATTTCATTTAGGCATCAGCAGCTGTTCAGGTCTCACAGAAGTAACAGACCCAAACCCTAATATCCAGTGGAGAAACTAATACAGTACTAGTATGTAAAGTATTTTATATGGGGAAATTATAGCAGTCATTGAAGAAAAGTATTCCACCTTCAAATATACATTACTTTTATCTAAAGTGTGTTTTATACTGCCTTTACATAGTGAATAAATTACAAACTATTAGCAGAATAATACATTGTCTACAACAACCAAAAGTAATTCTTCTGATGTTTGGTCATGGTTTTTTAATGATGTCTCCATAATATTAATACAGTACTGTACAGTAGTTATGATCATGTCTACAACTTTTTCATATACAGACACTTCCTGGGTTACAGAGCACTCGGCTTACAGAAATTCGAGGATACAGAATGCCTCCCATAAGCCCCATTATAAAGATTTGGGGTTTTGTGCAAGAGTTTCTGTTATTAAGGAAGGTAACTAGTACGGCATAACAACACTATTTGTAGAGGATGATGAGTAAGGCAGCTGAGTGCATCCCCCTTATGAGATGCCATCTGTGATTCAGTACAGGGTACAGTTCATGTTTACCTTATGGAAGGGTCATTTTCAATTTACAGAAAATTCAGCTTACAGATAGGGTCCAGGGATGGAGCCTTTCTGTAAACCGGGAAGTGTCTGTACTGTACAACCAAGATTGGCTGATTCACAATAGAGTGCTAGAAATAAGATGATGCTTTAGCCTCTTATACACATGGTTGGCTGATAGTATAAAATACAATGTGCCTCCTCTTCACATCTTTACATCTAGCAGATCACTGAATATTTTTGGGTGTCATTATAAGAGCAGAATTGATGATGATACAACTCAAGTAACTGAGAGAAGAATGGAACTTTACTTCACACATTCAGACAGAGATAACATTGGTAAAGTGGTGGTGTAGGCTATGACAGCACAGTAAACAGTGCACCAACCATGAAAACTCATACCTTTACTGTATTCCATATTGGTGGTAACATAATCTTGGATGCGCTGGACTATAGATTATGGAGTTTACAATTTATTGGAGATCCCATGAGGATTATGAACCTCAGCTTATTTCACTTGATTAGACACCCTTAGGTTATTAGCATGAGCATTTACTGTACTAGTACTTTTGATCTGTGCCTCTTTGAATATTAATAGAAAAAAATGGGTGTCCAAGTTTGCATCAAGAGGAAGGGAGGGTTGGGTTTGTGGTCATTTTATAGTAAAAATTGTTACAGTTTTACTTGTACTGTATATAAATGTGTTTTTCCTTTGGTCATCTATGAAATGGCTACATTGGAAGAAGAAAATGGAATTCTCTTACCTTTTTCTCGGCAGTGTTTACGGCATTATCTGTCAGTGATGTGCCATACTGTACGCAACTCAACACTGCACTGTACCGGTACTGTACTTTCACTCTCATACATTTATCAAATTACTTCTCTCTTGTAATTCTCTGTGCTGTCCTGCGTCTACTTATGTGTTTTTGTTAAGGCGACCCACAGCCTTATCACACACTTATTTCTTTCATTTTCATCTTTACTGAAGTGATGCTATCATCATCACCTCTTGCTACTCTTTGGTTGCTTTGCATTCATGATGGTGAAGGTTAGTTAGGGCAAGTCAAGAAACATCATAGAATACCCAGTTTTTACATGTGTGATCCAGAGATAAGATGGTGAGCCATCAGAGGTTGGCTATTGTGTATTGTACTTTACCTGTATACAGTACAGTAATTGGGTTTGGAGGGAAAATGGTTTTCAATTTCAGAATTTCATGATAACTCTTTAGAGGGCAGCCCCACACTTGGGTATTTTATTCTGGCTAATGCCAGACAATTTTATAAAGCTGTGAGAAACCCCTGGTCTCTAAAGAGTTAAGTACAGTACAATTTTTCAAGAATGCAACTCTTTTGTAATGTGGATGATACCTGTACAATATTTGAAAGTGAGTTCCATAGCTAAAATGGTCTGTTAAGGCAAAGGATACAGTTCACTGCATATTATGCCTTTGGCATGCAAGGAAGCAGCTTGGCTGACACTGCATTTGATTACCATCACCTCCCTATACCCAATCACAATTGGGCGGGTTGGCGCTCACCAGTGACAATTTATACTCTGCCACCACATCCAGTATGCAATGGTAAACAAAATATATTAACCCTCTCGCGCCTGATGACGCAAGTCATGTCATATTTATGATAAGACCAACTTCACGGTGATGCAAATCGAGTCACCAAACTTTAAAAAAATCTAAAAAAAATTTAGTTTTTAACATAATTGCATAAAATTTTGGTGCATCATAGTAGCAAGTAAGTTGTATAAAATAAACTAATTGGCAACTCTCGAGGCCCATAGGAAGGGAAGACTGAAACGATAAATGCGCAGTATTATCTCAGCAGTCACATCGTAAGGGTGAGCCATGTCCATTTAAATTTCCATAACTCTGTGCAGGCTGCCTCAACTCCTGGATTACCGTGCTTACCCTACTCCCTGAAACAATTTCTTTTTAGTGTTAGGGATGTGATGGCTATGTAAAATAATATTTTTTCATATTTATAGGGAAGTGTTTAGTTTTCAAAGGCCATTACCGTATCAGGCTACACAACCTCATTATAGTGACAATGTAAAAGAAAAAGTCTCTGAAAGAGGATGATTTTCTAGACCTACATGAATTTTATCAGTACCATTCTCATTGTTATAGTGTTGACTACAAGATGCAATATAATTTATATCGATATAAAACATAGGCACAAAAATAATAATAAAAGATAAGAATTGTTTTTTACCATTTGAGAATCTTTTTTGCTGTTTTCTCAACAACTATTGGCGATATCAGAAATCTGATTACTGCGATGGAAAACTCATAAAATTCTGCTTCTCTCAGTGTATAGTATAGTTCCTGTACTTGAAAAGTTGGCTCAGACAATTTTAATCTAAGAGGTTGTGAATGTATTGGTGTGTTTTTTCTCTCTTGTAAAAAGTGATGAAAAATGGCTATACTGTATACTTGTATTATTTTTACTTTTTCGCTTTTGTTGTAGAGCAATCAGTTATGAAGCCAAATATATATGGTTCATGCCATTATTTTTTTTTTTTTTTGAGGGAAATTGATAAAGCCCCCAAAAATATTCACCGTGCTTGCCCAGGGGGCCTCAGTGATGTGGTCTTGGAACTGAAAAACTTATCTCGTGCACAAAAGGGTTAAGGAAAACCTATATCTGAACCTGGTAATGTTTGCACCATTACTTGTTAGATCTTGGACATAGCTATAGGTTGTTTCACCATTCATTTCGGTTGATATGATGGGCTTGTTCACAAATGAATTACATTACTGTATAATGGTTGATACTTGTGTTTGAGGATGGCTGGCCCTAGGGCCACCTAGGCATGTATTTGTTTAAGGTGTAGAAGCTGTCTCCAATATAACAACCACACCCTAATTTAACGAGCTATATGACCCAATGTCAAGGAATAATTCAAGAAAACCTGACAACTCGCCAACTGCAATGGCTTACCATTACCCCTAACACAATCCAGAAATTGGTTAATATCCAGGTTTTCAATTTCTGCTGGGTAGAAAGGCAATTGGCATAAAGAAACTTGCCCATAGTTTTTCCCAGCCCAGGAAATTTGTTTACAAAGATAATTCATACTGAAGGAAATAACAACTATTAAGATATATGACTTGTAAGGAGTGTTAGAATGTAAAGTATGGATGGATGGGTAGCAGAGGGAACATTTTGGTTACACAGTACAGTAAGGTCTCATATTTCGCATTTTGAATTTCGCGAGTATTACCTAATGTAACCAAGTCTTATATTTGGCATAAAATATTGTGAGTTTCGCGAGATCCAGCCAGCTGAACGTGAGATCTAGCAAGCTGAATGCTGGCCACCGTTTTGAATGACGTCACAGCCCTCATACCAGTTAGTCATTTCTGCAACAACTCGTGTTTTGTCAACGCGAATTGGTTGTAACGCGATTGATGAATAGTGGAACGCTGTTTGTAAACGCGAACTTTTGCATACGAATGTTGGCTATAGCGTGATTCCATCCTCAACGTTTTAAGCGTGGCGGTGGGTTATGCAATGTTTACAGTTCATGTTCGACATCACATGTTCAATTGAATCGTGTATTTTGTTTGTGAACTGTTTTTTGAGAGGTACTCTGTAATTTTTTTTCTTTTTTGGCAAATTTAGCTGTTACTCATAAATACTGAATGAAAAGAATAAGTAAAAAGAATGTTTCGCAGTGATGACTAATAACGGTTTACACCAGCGCTCTCTGTTTACATCACGTGATAGTTGAATCGCGTGGTTTCTGTTGAGTACTCCTTGATTTTTGTTGTTTTCTCCAATTTTGTTGTGTTAGCGATGAATATGGAAAGACAAGGTAAGAAGAATGTTTCCAAGAAGCGTCCTGGTGATCAAATTGCTGGTGGTGAACGTAAAAGAGGTTTACAAGAACGCAACTGTAGCGTTGTAGCCCGCGCCATCCTAGCGACCGCCCGGGCTGTAATTGTGTGCTTTTTTGGGTGGTGCTACCACCTGTCGATTCAAGATAATGGCCTCTACCTCTACTGGGGGTCCTACTGGTGCTGGTGGGTGGGACAGACCCTCCTATGCGGCCAAATAAGGAAAAGGAGAAGCGGGACTATCATAAGGGAGTCAAGTTTGCCAAGCACTCGATGCAGGATAAGCAGCGTGTGATTAAGTTACTTGAGGAAGGCCTAAAAACTAGTTTCCGGAAAGCACAATCAAGTCAATAAAGGTAGAATTTGTATCATTTGGAGGTTATAAATGGGAGAATCAGAGGTTGATGTAGAGTGGCCAGTCTATATTGTTATTTTTCCCATTGGTTTATGTATTTGAATTTGGCGCAATTTTTCCAGTCTATATTACTCGTGATATATACAAGTCTTACTGTATACTTAGCATTAAATTTCAGAAGAGAAAGAATGTATGTACATGAAGACGTTAGTAGTGGTGCATTAACTTAATATGTAATTGTGAAAGGTAACTGTACAAGCAAGTAATATATACTGTAATTTCTGAGTGTTGAATGTGGTTTTATGAATGTACTGTACTTGTTGTGATAATAAAGACATTTGGATTATGTGTTAGTTAATGGTTGGTTATGGGAGACTACTGTTGATGATGTGGTAATTCAAAGTTATAGAAGAAACATGTTGGATTGTGAAGAGCTGGAATAGGTATTAGAAAACAGTTTGGAAAGTTAGAAGACACAGTGCAGATAATTTTAATTGGGAGAGAGTTAAAAGTCAGGAAATGTACAGAATTCCAAACTCCTGGAAGGGTACGGTATTTGCATGGTTCATTGTGGCTGTAGCCAGAGAACTCATGGAAGGTGTTCTGTCACTGGTTACTGTAATTAGCTTAAGTGATTTTTTTGGAATTGGAATTACAATATACTGTATGTGTAACAGTATGCATTATATCAAGTGTTTAAGTTTATACAATGATCATAGCCTCTGGGTTATTTGTTTATATAAATATTTATAAAGAAATTCGTTGCAGTGTATTGACCGTCTATTTGCAATTGTTCGTCCACGTAAACTCTTGTATATGGCCATTGATGGAGTGGCCCCTAGAGCCAAGATGAACCAACAGAGATCCAGAAGATTCCGAGCCTCAAAAGAAGCCATTGAAAAGAAAGTAGAAGTGGCTCGCATAAGACAGGAACTCCTAGATAAAGGTTAGTTTTATATCTAATAGGTATGTTATGAAGAAGTCTTTTAATAGATCAGTGTAAGACATGTTAGCAAGCAAGTTATGCGAGCTGTTCCTATTCGTAGGCCATTGCCATAGTGCAGTACAGCAGTTGTAGATTTCCTGGTTGTGGTTGCCCGTGATCCACTGCCAAAGGAACCCTCAAATATGAGTGAATACAAAGAAAATGACTAACTTTCTTGTGGATGATGTACTGTAGTTCATATTACTCTACCTTCTTTCTAAGTACAAAGATTTAAACAAACATTTTCCAGATACTACTCTGCCTTTCTCTATCCCATCTTGTCCCCCTTTATCTTTATGGTCTGTGTCATTGACTTTTTGGATCCTTATTCTTTCAGATATTGTTAATTATATTATATGTTGCAGCACAAGCAGATGACCGCTCTCTTATGTACCAATTTTGTGTGTATTCAACTTCTTTAAGTTTACATGAATAATTTCTACTGTATATTTGCTGCTCTTGATATTTTATATATACTTTAGCACATTACATGATGACTGATGCTTTTTACATGATGTTATGTTTCATTATACAAAAAGTAATAGTTAATATGGTAAGAATTACACTATAGTCTCCCACAAATATACACATTCTTAATTTTCTGTATTTCAGACTGGAACATAAAGAATGTTGCCCAACACTGCATCAGTGTAGACTTGGCTACATATTCATTTACTGACTGTTGTCTTATGACCTCTTGCCTTATCTTTGATAGATAATGTTCTTTTATGCTTTCTAATTATGCTTACATATATTTTTCACTTGTATACCCCTTCACTTTTTAAATATGTATGAAAATTGCTTATGAATGCCAGAAGGTAATAACAGAACATATGTTTGGCTTTTCTTGTTGCACAAGAGAATGGATGCTGTGCTGACTACATCCCTCTCACTATTCCTAACATCAACTGCCTTTTCATCTCACTCCATAGATACACTTTTGTTTATTTTCACACAGTTTCCAAACACTGTTCCATCTTCTTTTTTTTTTCCATCATGTCCATCACACTTTTTACATGGTTTATTTCTCTGCACATTATGGAGGCACAGGCATATATTTTGTCTATATTCCTCAAAGATTGAAGGTGTTCATATTCTGCTAATCTTCTCCTTGTCATTGTGATGAAAACTATTCCTATTTTGTTAGCATACAGTAATGTAGGTTGAGCCAATGCTTCCAACAAACCTCACCTTATATTTAGTTTAAAACATGACTGACCATTGCAGTGGTCATTGCCTGCAGTCACAAGTGTTTGGACTGGAAAAAAAAACAATGTGGGCACACACTTACAGGCTAGACTAAACACTTCTAGGCCCTCCTGTAAGTCACGTTTAAGATGCTACTAAGACTAAGGTGTTAGTGGATAATTAGAATACCCTCGAGTATTGGGGGCGAGTGATTTAATAACTGGGCATGGTGGTTTCTGGGCCTTGCTCCTTATAGTAAAGGTGTATTTATCTTTACATTCCCTGAAAAAAAAACTTGATAATGAAAATGGCAGTTCCAACACACAACTGTAAGTTTGTGAAAGGTTAAGCTTAAATTTGTGTTGTTCTGCCTCTGGCTGATTCTGGTGTCCTGTATTACAAATTATGTTACAACTTCACAGTAAGACAGTATTTTTAAATTCAGCTTTAACTTACCAGTTTGTTGTTAAGATTACATTTTCTCTTATTCCCAGCCATACAAATTTGTGAAAATAGGAGCGAGGATGACATGACATTTTCATACCACATTTGGTACTAGTGCTGAAGCTAAAAGTATAAGAACTATGAACCTTCCTTTTAATAAACCCAGGATTGTTACATGGTCAAGCCAGTTAGTGTCTTTTTCCCCAAATGAGTAAAGGATACATTGTTCAGATGCAGCTTACTGTATTATATAGACCGTATGTGATGAGTTAACTCGATGGATCAGCCAAAGAATAAATTGTGATTTTGGTAAAATACAATTGATGAAGGAAGGAAGGATGGGGTTAAAAGTGTGTTAGTGATTAGGGGATGAGGATCCAGAGAACAGTTGTTTACTCAAAGGGACAGGAGAGAGTGGTTTGTGTGGTGGATGATTGGGCAGGGGCGGCATAATGGTGGGGGTAGTGTCCATCTGTGATAAAGTTGCTGTTTTTGCTCTATAAGTTTCCATAGATCAGTAGATTTATTTTTATTTTGGTATACAGTAAATGTCTCAGGTGTTGCTTGAGATTTCTGAAAAAATTGTTAACCCAAATAATTTTTGATACTATGAAATTTTTAAGTAATTTTGTCAAGTTCTTCTTCGATATCATGCTTAAATTCCTCTGATCTTGATTAATTTCTCATATTCACTGCTGGTAGTTTCTCTCAATGAAATATTAGCTTCTACAAATACTTGAGGATAGATATCTTGGTCTGCCCTTATGCATTACAGATAAAAGTGTAATGGAGATGCTCCACTAGTGTACGGACAGATATACACTTGGAGTAGCTAAAATGAGTACTTACCAGTTTTTGTTTGTATGTTCATAAGTTTGTCATTCATCATCATTTCTGTTTTCATCCCCAAACTCATTCAGTCAATCACAGAAAGCAAATACGAATCAAATTTTTTGTTAAAAGCTTTTTATTGTCACAGAGGAGACAAGATGACAGAAGTAGTCCTTTCTGTAACCCATGACTGTAATAGTTGCCTGTAAAAAAAATAAAAATACTATGATACATTGGCAACTATCTGTACATTTTTATTTTTAAATTGGAAATTCGTAAAGTTAATAATCACAGATTATTTTATGAAAATAAATTATTCTGTCATTATTTTTATAAGAAAACTTATTTTGCACCTGATGACATCATATGATCAGTGTTCAGTACCCAGCTGTAAGACAATATAACATTTTTGTTACCAGTCTTCTGCTACCTTTTTATTTCTCATATTTTCTCAACTTCAAGATTTATTGTAACAGCTACTAAGTAAATACTGTAGTGATGAATTATGTAAGTTATTGCTAATTGATGTAATCTTATAAATTTTACACAGAAAGGTTTGTAGAATTATTAAGTTATGGTTGTGTCACATTAAAATATGTAATGTCCACCATGAGTGGAAGGGTGGCATATGACTGTGCTGTTGGTAAGAGATCACCTTAACTGTTCCTGATTAGACCTCTTTGTTTAACCAATCATGTCGTAACTGTACTGTGACTAAACAGCTCCAACACTTATGAAAGTGCCAACTAAGTTTCCTGACTCCTTTACAACAGAAAGTCCTGCCACTTCTCTTAAATGAATAACTTTATATCACAAGATATTCATATTCAAGTTTGTTTTGTATAAGGCGACAGAATTCCAGAAGAAACAACTGCCCATTCCTGGTGATACTCCATAAACTACCAATCTTTAGTCACTGGTTGGCAACACTTGTTTCCTGCATAAGTGGCCATTACTGAGAGACTCACAAGAACAGGAAATGCATTTGGTGAAGTACAGTGTGAGGTCAGGCTGTGGTGTTGCAATCTTGTTTTATTTGTGGTTTTATTTACCCCCTTCCCCCTTCCAGGCATTCCTCCCCATGTACCCTGCTGTTCAGACTAGACTCTGCTTAATAATAGACAAAAAAGCCCAGTAAATAAAACACAAAATTGCTACAATGGTTATGGTGTTGTGGCAGTAAGGAGAACGAGTGAAGATCTTGAGAAGGCATAGAATACATTTGTGACAAATGCATCAGGAAAATGCATTTGATAAGAGTGACTAGAAGAATGATGTGGATGGTCATGTAAATATATGTGAGAGTGTAATGAGTAGAAGGAAACTTATTTCAAATGAATGTAGGATGGCTTGGTGGTGGGGGAGGGGAGCATTGCTAGGGAATCGGCAGAGGTAGCATTTCTGTTGCTATGGTGAACAGAGAGTAGAGATGTATATATGCAAATGGCGACTGTTAAACTTTCAGTTGGCTTTTATTTACTGGTTTGGCAATACAGAAATTTTCGTTGTACCTTATTTATTGGTATTATTTTTGATTGTCCTCACATTTACTGGCATTGTATTATATTGTTTTAAGAAAACTATGGCTACAGGAAGGAAATACGCAATAATGTCTTTTCCTAAATACTCCCTACTGTAAACTATGGTACATAATGAAAATAAAGAAAAATGAGGTGGTGATAAACTGGAGTAAGTGAGGAATTTCAAATATATGGGATTGGATAAGTCAACAATTGGAACATTAGAAGGGGCAGAGGGTGTGGATCAGGTCCTGTACTCTAGATGCAGGAGAAAGAAGCAGCATATTGGAAGTGTTTGGGATCGGATTGTGAAAAGGATGCAGAGAATAAGATAAAATGAAAATGCTATCAGACAGCTGAGTAGGGTTTGTTAAGGTGGTAGAGACAGGTAGGTAGATAATAGGAAGTGAAAGATTGGCAAAAAATACTGTATGATGTAGAGGTTGATGGTAGGAGGGAAAGATAAAGGAGATAGATAGCTGGGGTGAAGGAAGTACTGTACTGTACCAGGAGTAAAGGGATGGACTTAAAAGAAGCAGTAGTTTGTGTGAATGATTGGAGAGGATGGCCTCAAGAGGTGTGTGGGGTAAGTCATAATAGTTAAGGCAGATATGTTGAAGGAGAATGATAGGAGAGTGTATTTGCTTTTGGTTCTGGCCACTGGAGTATATTGGGAAAGCAAAAACATAAGAAAATTGTTTTACCTTTATGTAGTACTTGCTTTTTACTCTGAATGTTTTGAGGATGTCAGTACCTGTACACTTATACTCATTTTGCACCATTACTGGTTTGCCTAGTCTTATGCACTTAACATTGGACATTTTACCCTCAGGTTTTAATCTTCCTCCCGAAAAACCCAAGGAATCACATTTTGACTCCAACTGTATCACCCCTGGCACACCCTTCATGGATCGCCTCTCAAAATGTCTGCATTATTATGTACATGAACGACTCAACACAGATTCAGGCTGGAGGGGTGTTAAGGTTAGTAAAGTTTTGAACGTGTCCATCAAGCTAATATTGTGTTACTCGTACATTCGTTGATAATAAAATTGTTGAAAATCACTTCCATGTTAGTCTTACTTCGGGTTTTCCTGGGTTAGGTTTTCATTGATGTATTAATAGATTTGATTACTGATAGTATGGTTATCTGATGTTAAACAGGTTATCCTTTCGGATGCTAATTGTCCTGGTGAAGGCGAACACAAGATCATGGACTACATCAGGCGTCAGCGTGCCCAGCCTGACCATGACCCAGACACCCAGCACTGTCTCTGTGGTGCTGATGCTGATCTCATCATGTTAGGCCTGGCCACACATGAAGCAAATTTTACCATAATTCGAGAAGAGTTCAAGCCTAACAAGCCAAAACCATGTGAAATATGCGGACAACTTGGTAGGTATTTGAAACACTTCCTTATACTGTACGTCTGTGTGTTCTGGGAGGCTAACATTTGTATAATAAACTTTTGCTCTCCAGCATAATTACACAAACAGTTTCATGTTTTATCATGGATAAATGTGATGTCTTAGAATGCTATTTTTCTGACATTATTTTTATCCTAGTTGCATTTTTTTTTTTTTTTTTTTTACACAATACTGGGGGTGTGTGTTTGTAGTGCTCTTGTTGGATGTCTGATATAATTTGTATACTGAATGAACAGTCTTTGGGTGGATGCGTATCTTCCTAAGGGGAGTCAAATAATTCATTAGCTATGGAATCCTAAGTACAGTGACCCCTCGTTTAACGAACACCTCGGTTAACGTAATTTCGATTAACGAACTGCCTTCCATAAGGATCTTCAATTCGGTTAACGAAAAAAAATTCGCTTAACGAACTTCTTACGAACCGACCTCAACATGTTTTCGCTTGCACTGACCGGGCAACCAGCTTTAGTATCAGTCCGCCAATACATTAATCGGTTCTAGGGCTTAAATTCCTTACTATTTTTGTAAATATCAAGAAGTTTATACTATTCAATAATTTTAAAAGTTTAATATTCAATTTTTTAGTCATTTTAACAATTATTGAACAAAATTGAAGGTAAAGTGACTAGTTTAATGCGCGGCATCCAGCCTCTTAACACAGCAAACAGGCGTCAGTCTCTCTCTGTTTTCACTGGAGGTAACATCTTGCTTGAGACTCTCTTCAACTAAACGCTTTTTTTCTGTGTTTCCAAGCAAATTATTGGTCATTTTGAAATATATTTTATATATTGACAATATATAATGCAGTGCAGCGTTGATTTAAAGAAAATAATCTTGAATTAAACCAGAGAGCTAAAATTTTATGGGTGAAATGGCACCATGGGGTGACTTCTCTTCCACCCCAATGCCTTCTCTTCTTCCTTCTCCTCCACCCCCATTCTAAATCCCATCATCATCATCATCATCCAGGAGCCTTCTACATACACACCTCAAAGTAAGTGAACTTTTCTACCATTTTTGTTGAATTTAGGAAATTTTCGGTGAGCTGGAACCAATTACCCAAAAACCCATTGAAACAATGGTTTCGGTTAACGAACGTTTCGGTTAACGAACGACCTTCTGGAACGGATTGAGTTCGTTAACCGAGGGGCCACTGTATTAGAGGATCAGTATCAGCCCCACCACCCTGCACCATAGCATGGAAAAGGCTTGTATGTACAGCAATATTTGGTTACTGATGTTGTTAATGAATTTACTAAAAGTTTTATTCTTAATTAATTTATTACTTTTTTCTTTATGAAATTTCAGGTCATGAGTTGAAGGAGTGTGTTGGTGTAGCTGAAGGCACAGAAGTTGACTGTGAAAAAGTGTTTGAAGAGACAAGATTTATCTTTGTACGCTTAAATGTGCTGCGTGAGTATCTGGAGAGAGACCTGGCGATGCCGAATCTACCATTCAAGTATGACTTTGATCGAGCCATCGATGACTGGGTGTTCATGTGCTTCTTTGTTGGTTAGTATTATGTGCAGTGCATTTATTATTTTGTTTCTTCTCATTATAATAGCTAAGCATATATTATGACAGTTAATCTAGTACAGATTGTACTTTACATAAATTTGTCTAGAGTGTACTGTAATTTCTTATTCCTTTTGAATGTACATGTGTGGACATTTGTGAGGGATAACTGTTCTATTTATAGTAGTTTTATTTTATCAACATCTAACAGTGTTCTTATTTCATGTATATCATTCTTTAATAGTGTTGCTCTCTTTATTAGGCGTGAGTCACATGCTGAAAGCTTAGACAGTCTTATTTACTCATTTCTCATATTGTTAAATTGTATTTGCTTTGCTTGCATTAGAACTTAACCAACCTCAATAACTGTTGAAAGAAAATTTTGACTCTTGCTGCTTAGTTGCTTGACAGTTGACACATTTGGAGAAGCTTCTCTCTTTTGCTTTATCCAGTGTGAAGAGGTAGATGATAACTGCTAACATGTTGTTGTCCTAATTCTGTAGGAAATGATTTCCTTCCTCACCTGCCGTCCCTTGAGATCCGTGAAAATGCTATCGATCGCTTGGTGCGTCTCTATAAGGATTGCTGCTACAAAACTGGTGTAAGTGTGCATTTTGTTCTTTTATTACCTTTTTATTAAGTGTTAGACATCCTGTTTTCTTATATGTAGGAGATAATTTACAAAGATAGAGTATTTGACTGAAATTTACAAATCATTGGTTAAGTAGTAGCAAAGGATACACAGGCCCAGGGACAGAGGCAACTTTATTCATGATGTTTGTCTCTAAGTTTTGATTTATTAATAGTAATTATGACTTACCCAGAGCTAACCTATTGCTCTATTTGGCAACTACCATATTTTATGGCATACAAGATGCACTTTTTTTCTGTGAAGCTGAGGTCTCCCATAAGCTAATGAATCCCCCAGTTGCTGTTTCCAGTAGGCTAAATTCTACCTAGCCCAACTCCATAATTAAAAATATATTATTGCTTACTTAAACACTTTATTATTATTGTTAATTAATTAAATGATAATTATTGTCAATGTAAAAGCTTGATTTATAACTACTTACTGTAGTGAACCGATTAACGTCTTTATGGCAGACACCCAACGCTTCAGAGGAAGCTAAGCAGTAACCATTTGTAAACTCTTACAAGCATTACAATCTATTAATGCCATACATGCAACAATTATTTGTAAATGTACAAATACCTGATACAAATGAAGATTTACAGATAAGTTTCTTTTCACATTTGCGTCTGTTAACATCACTGGCGGCATTGTAGCCAGGTTAGACTCGTCACTGTAACCACTAGGCTACTGGGTCATGCTGTGAGGTGTTATGGTTTTTCATCTCGTATTTTTGGGTAGATATATGTACTTACTGTATATTCATTTATTTTTACTCGGTTACATGCACACACCATCTCATACATATTGTGAAAAAGGTTAAAGAAATAATTTTCCTAAGGGCAAAACACATTAAGGGAATTTTAATTTCTTTGCACACGAGTTAGCTGGCTCAGTGAGGGGGTGGTAGGAGGCGAGGCGAGGCATAGGAGGAGGAGTGTTGCTAGGGAATCGGTGGAGGTAGCATCTGCGTTGCTGTGGTAAACTTTTATTTGGCTTTTATTTATTTGTTTGGCAATACAGTATTTTTTGTTGTAACTTATTTATTGGTACAGTGGACCCTCCAGTATCGAGCGGTTCAATGTACAGTGCCTCCATTAATGAGTGGTTCAATTTATGAGATTTCAATTAACAAGTTACCTCTCGTAAGGACTTTCAGTATTAACGAGTACAAATTCTATTAAAGACAGCCTTACGAGAAACACTTTTGGTGTGCGCATCAGCTGATCGACTCGTCCGCCAGTAATCGGTTCTATGTTTACCTTTGTTTCTAGTGGAGTAAACATCGAGAAAGTTGTGCTCTTGAATATTTTTCCATTTTTACATTAAAATTATTGGTCATTCTGAAATTTAGTTAACATATTGGTAATATACAATGCAATGTTGGTTTAAATAAAAAAATCTGGACCCGAATTTCGGAAGATTCGGCCAAAAATTTTGGGATTCTGGACTAAGAAGCATTCCCAAAACAGGGTGAAGGTAGTTTTAGGCTTAAAGTTTAAACTTATAAAATGTCACAGACTAAAATTAGCAGAATAAACTTGCATTACTGGAATCCTTGGAAGACAGCGAATAATTTTAATTTAGACATCATAGATTTTGCACAAGAGATAACATTTTTAGTCCTTTGGTGTAGTACATTTATTTACAAGTTTTTCAACACATATTTTTGGGTAGACATACGTAGCTTTCTTCATTTATTTTTAGTCATTTACATGCACACACCATTCTAAATACAGTGGGGTATGCTATAACAAATCTAATTGGTTCTAGAACCTTGTTCGTCATAGGATTAATCCGTTCCAAGCCTCCAAATACAACCACTTAACACTGAAAAATACAATATAAAATTGTAAAAAAGTGCATAAATATGCATCTAAACCCCTGAAATAAAGAATATCATCATTAATACTTGTAATAAAAAAAACAAATTAGTAAAAAAAAAAAATCGTAGGAGTTTCGTTCGTTATAGCATTCTCAATTTTATAGGTAAAACCGTTCGTTATAGGAATATTCGTAGTAGGATCCGTTCGTTATAGCATACCCCACTGTACATATTGTTAATTCTATTACCGGTATACAGTACAGTACTTTGTATGTACTTTTTAATTCATTTTAAGAGAATTCTGTGAGTTGGAACCAATTACCCAATATCCCATTGAAATAATAGATTCAGTTAACGAGTGACTGTGGAACCAATTGTGCTCGTTAATGGGGGGACCACTGTATTGTTTTTATTTCTTCCTCACATTTACTGGTACTGCATTTATTATTTTAAGAAAACTATGGCTACAGAAGGAAAATCTGCACAAAAGTTTTTCTAAATATTCCGTGCTAAAATGGGGGATGTGTCTTATATGGCCACGCGTTTTATATGCTGTAAAATACTGTGAATATTTCAGTGACAATTTACCTTACAATCTGCACACACAGTAAGGAGCAACCAGCAAGTGTGAAAATGGGCCCCATTACTGTGTTGTGTATATTCATTGGACAACATTTAATATAATAGAGGAAATCCAGACTTCAAACTTAAGGAGTTGAAGAAAAAGACAGTTGGAAAATAGTGTTCAATCTGTCTCTCGCCCTGGTGGATGACACTTGTGGTAATAACATCGTGGTACAGGAGGAATTTCTCAGCCTCATCGGTGATTTAGAAGTACAGTGGTCCCTCGGTTAACGAGCACAATCCGTTCCAGCAGGTTGCTCGTTAACCGAAACCATTGTTTCAATGGGATTTTGGGTAATTGGTTCCAGCTCACCAAAAATTGCCTAAATTCAACAAAAAAGGGAGAAAAGTACACTTACTTTGAGGTGTGTATGTAGAAGGCTCCTGGATGATGATGATCGGAATTTGAATGGGGGTGGAGGAGAAGGAAGAAGAGAAGGCATTGGGGTGGAAGAGAAGTCACCCCATGGCACCATTTCACCCATAAAATTTTAGGTCTCTTGGTGTATTTCAAGATTATTTTCTGTAAATCAACACTGCACTGCATTATATATTGTCAATATGTAAAATATATTTCAAAATGACCAATAATTTGCTTGGAAACACAGAAAAAAAGCGTTTAGTTGAAGAGAGTCTCAAGCTAGATGTTACCTCCACTGAAAACAGAGAGACTAACGCCTGTCTGGTGTGTTAACAGGCTGGATGGCATGCCAGAAACTAGTTTCTTTACCTTCAATTATGTTCAATAATTGTTAAAATGACTAAAAAAGTTAAGATTAAACTTTTAAAATTATTGTATAGTATAAACTTCTTGATATTTACTAAAATAGTAAGGAATTTAAGCCCTAAAACCGATTACTGTATTGGCGGACTAATACTACAGCTGGTGGACCGCCAAATGCAAGCGAAAACATGTTGAAGTCGGCTCGTAAAAAACTCGTTAATCGAGGATTGTTCGTTAACCGAAGTTAAGAATCTTATGGAAGGTAAATCGTTAACCGAAATCTCGTTAACCGAGGCGCTCGTTAACCGAGGGACCACTGTATTAGAAAATTTTTTGGAGCTGAGCTTGCTTAACTTGAGGTGTTCTAAGATTAGTAGTTATTTAATTCTTTTAGAAATTAATATTTGGTGATTTTTACCATTTCCTGTAGTGTTATTGTGAGGTTGGGTTTCCACTTTCCTTGTTATGAAGGTAGATTAAGTCCTGGAACAAGCTGAAGGTGATGATGATCTGTGGTGTTGATTGAATGCAGAATTGATGATCTTGTACTGAAAAGGCAACCCAACCCAACCATCTCTCCAGCTATGATGAAGTTGCCATGGAACTGACATTTTATATCTTCATGTTTAATTTCACTCCACTGTAGAAAGTAAAATAAAATAAATAAATAAATCAGATTTTTATAATTTTATAAAATGCTAAATTTAAGAGCTTAAACTCTCATGACAGTTTACAGTCAAATCAAGATGGTTGAGAAGGGAGGAACTAGAATACAAAAGTTGAAAACCAGTGATTTAGGCTGATGTAGGTGGTAACAGTAAATTTACCTGCAAAAATGTGTGATTTACCTCTCATTACTCTTCTCATCATCAGTTCATCCCTCACTGATTGGTTTACTCCACAACACATGCACACTAATACGTAAGCTGAACTTGATGTGTTTAGTGCAAAGCTGTGCGTAGGATCTAGCATGTGTTTGAAGAGAAGAACTTACACTTTATATTGTAAATGACACGATGAGTTTAGTGAAGGGGTGATTTAATCCCTTGTGCATGAAGTTTAGTGAAAATGATATATACTGTACATGTAATTTTTATTTATTTTTATTTGTTTTCAATTTCTAGGGCTGGCTGACAGATAGTGGAGCTGCCAACATGGAACGTGTACAAATGATTCTGCAAAATCTTGGTAAAGTAGAGGATGAGATATTTAGAGCAAGACAGAAACGAGAGTTAGAGTTCAGAGCAAGAGACAAGAGGAAGAAAAGAGATGAAAAAATGGAAAAGGAAGCTGCCAATAGGTTTAAGGTGAGTAACATTTAGGGAAATTAATTTTATAAGGCCAGCATTTTCACCTTGTTGCTGAATAATGTTGATCATATTAAGTGCTTAGAATTTTTTCTCTGATACTGATGTGGATGTATTGAACGGTTACTCAAAAATTTCTCTTTACAAAATTGTGTTGAGAAAATATTACTCGGTGGACAGAGGTTTTTGACAATCCCTCGGTAAAGATAGTTTAATTTTTGAGTGACTACCATAATGTCCTCATCACTTAACCCATAAATGAGGGACTCTGTCTGTGTTGAATAAAATTATCTTAAAGCTTGCATTGTGTTGTGGTGTAATTGAAAATGATTGTTGGATTTTCATCACTGTAAAAAAGGACTTGTCGGGGGGGGGGGTCTATACTGTACCTGTGGTTGTACTACAGTAAGACTTGTATATATCACTAGTAATATAGACTGGAAAAATTGCGCCAAATGCAAATACATAAACCAATGGGAAAAATAACAATATAGACGGGTCACTCTACATCAACCTCTGATTCTCCCATTTATAACCTCCAAATGATACAAATTCTACCTTTATTGACTTGATTGTGCTTTCCGGAAACTAGTTTTTAGGCCTTCCTCAAGTAACTTAATCACACGCTGCTTATCCTGCATCGAGTGCTTGGCAAACTTGACTCCCTTATGATAGTCCCGCTTCTCCTTTTCCTTATTTGGCCGCATAGGAGGGTCTGTCCCACCCACCAGCACCAGTAGGACCCCCAGTAGAGGTAGAGGCCATTATCTTGAATCGACAGGTGGTAGCACCACCCAAAAAGCACACAATTACAGCCCGGGCGGTCGCTAGGATGGCGCGGGCTACAATGCGATAATTGCGTTCTTGTAAACCTCTTTTACGTTCACCACCAGCAATTTGATCACCAGAACACTTCTTCAAAAAATTCTTCTCACCTTGTCTTTCCGTATTCATCGCTAACACAACAAAATTGGAGAAAATAGCGAAAATCACGGAATAATTGACAGAAACCGCGCGATTCAACTGATCACGTGATGTAAACAGAGAGCGCTGGTTTAAACCGTTATTAGTCATCACTGCGAAACATTCTTTTTACTTATTCTCTTCATTCAGTATTTATGAGTAACAGCTAAATTTGCAAAAAAAAAAAAAATTACAGAGTACCTCTCAAAAAACAGTTCACAAACAAAAGACACGAATCAATTTATCATGTGATGTTGAACGTGAACTGTAAACATTGCATAACCCCGCGCCACGCTTAATACGTTGAGGATGGAATCAAAACATTGATGATGGAATCTCACTATAGACAACATTCATATGCAAAAGTTCGCATTTTACAAACAGTGTTCCCCTATTCATCAAACGCATTGCAACCAATTCGCGTTGACAAAACACGCGTTGTAGCAGAAATGACTAACTGGTATGAGGGCTGTGACGTCATTCAAGACGGTGGCCAGCATTCGGCTTGCTGGATCTCGCGTTCAGCTGGCTGGATCTCACGAAATTCACTATATTTAACGCCAAATTTAAGACTTGGTTACATTAGGTAGTGCTCGCGAAATTCAAAAACGCGAAATGAAATCGCGCGAAATATGAGATCTTGCTGGTATTATTTGTGCCTTGTATCTCCATCTGTGGTCAGGATGCCTAACATGAAGTCATGGATTAATCCTATGGCCATGTTGGGTTGGCTGGGCATTATTTTCTGTGGTATGTGCTTAGCTGGCCATATGCCATGTTAGTACACTGGACAAATCTAATCTTTCTATCTTGGGGGTTGTGAGTTGTTACCTCACAGATCAAAGGAATGTTGTAAAGGATTTTAGTTGTATTTATGTGATGACATTAATGATTAGTGTTGTATTTGGCAACAGACTTGTATCAATGTGTGTATATGTCTGACATATTGATTTTTTTTTATTAGAATCAAACGGGTCAAGGAGCTTTCGCTGTTATGAGGGCCGGGGACACTTCAGTGGCACATGGAGCAAGAAGTTTTATAATGGAGCAACGATATTCTAATATGAATACTGGAGAGTATGTAAATAATTTAGTTTGTCTTTTAGGTATAGTACAAATATGGTAATAAGCTTATTGAATATCCTCCTGGCACTAGTTGAAGCAGTTTTTTGCCCACCATCTTATAAACACCAAGTTTCTTAATTTGAATACAGTACTTGAGAATTTTTAATATACTTGCTGTTAACAACATCTAAAGGAAGATGATGTACCCTTATCTGTCTGTGTCATTTTGTTACAGTGTGGTGTATCAAATCAAACACAACTCCACAGACTGTATTGCCTCTGATGTTTAAATATTACATGATCTTTTGTACCACAAAAGTACTGTATTATACTGTAGTACTTATAGAGCTTTTATCATAATAAAAAATATCTTTGAATATATCTTTTCCATGATATGGAATCTTACTGCAAATATCTTTCTAACAGAAAGATATTTCTGATAATGAATCTTTGTAACACAAGGAATAATCTTGTAAGCACTTTATTCTTACACTACAGCAAAAAAAATTTTTTTACATAAAATATCTGTGGTACAACTAGAAATATGTTTGTACTTAGGATATCTGTGGACTGAAATAAGGAGTTTTCTTGTGTATGTAACTTTGACCTCAGCAAGGTACATATCCTGAAAACAAAATTCAAATATTTTCCAGAAACCGCGGTATGAAGCGAACCATAGACAATGTTGAGTCAGATGACGAAGATGAAGTGCCAGATGAAGTAAGACTGTATGAGGACGGAGCCAAAGACCGCTACTATGAGTCCAAGTTTGAGGTGAACCCTGACAACTATGAATTCAGGAAACTAGTTGCAGATGAATATGCCCGTGGTCTATGCTGGGTATTGAAGTAAGCAGCATTTCCTCTTTAGTTTTAATTGTCTGTCATATGATAACTGTTTTTTATTGATTTATTTAAAAAATATATTTTATTGCTTGTAAATACAGGTACAGTATTTGATTTCCAGTTGGGTCTTGTTTAGGTTACCCGGTATATTAAATTTTTAATTTTATATATTTTTTGTTGGCAGGTACTACTACCAGGGCTGTGTATCATGGGACTGGTATTTCCCATACCACTATGCACCCTTTGCTTCAGATTTTTCTAATTGTGCAAAGGCAAATGTCAATTTTGACATTGGGGAGCCATTCAACCCCCTGGAACAGCTCATGGGTGTGTTTCCTGCAGCAAGTCGTGACCACGTCCCAGAACCTTGGGGCAGGTTGATGTTGGATCCAGAATCAGTTATCATTGATTTTTATCCAGAAGACTTCAAAATTGACTTAAATGGCAAGAAATTTGCCTGGCAAGGTGTTGCACTCTTGCCATTTGTTGATGAGAAAAGGTAAATACACAATTACAGTATATATGTTTTGTAAGGATAATGTGTGTTTGTAAGAAGAGAAGACAGTACAATGGTCACAGTGCAAGATCCATTGTGATAATAGAGTAATTTTTTATGAAGACTCACACTATTTAAGGGTATTAAACTATTTCACCAAAATTCATCAGGAATATAGTGATTAAAGATGGGAGAGCTTTAGAGAAAGAAGGAGGAAATAGTAAACAAGTTTGCAAAAGAAGAGCAGCTGAACAATGAAGAGAAAAGCTGCCACAAGGTAGTAAAGAGAAGACATTTAAGAGTGAATTGAATGTGTTGAGAGAGGGGGGGAAAAGTGAAAGCTTGGTGAAAAGATGGCATTATTTTGGGGTGGATGGTAGGAGCGGAAAATAGGTGGGTGATGGAGAAAGGAGGCTGGAATGCATGAAGTACTAGAGGTAAAGGGTGATAAGAGGTCAGAGCATGGTGACCTTATGAGGCATATGGGGATGTCTCAGTAGGGAGCAGAAGGAAAGACTGGTCAACCTGCAGCATAGTGGGGAAAATGCTTACAGAAAACAACACAGGGTTTGACAAATAAAGTAATGTAAAGGGGGTATTTCATTGATTTATAAGGCTAAAGACAAGTACAGTGCTACAGCCTAGATAGAATTAAAGCTTTTTATAACTTTGAGCCACTAACTTTTGTATTAATAACTATACTTTATTTTCTGACAGATTAAAGAAAGCCTTGAATTCAGTGTATGATATGTTAACTCAAGAAGAAAGACGACGTAATAAGAGAGGTGACGACCGTTTGTACGTCAGTGTTCAGCACGAAGCATTTGGCCAACTGACAGACATGTATCGTATGGGAATGAACCATAATACAGAGGTATGTTTGAATGCAGATTTAGCATTACAGTAGTCCCTCGCCAACCGTGGGGGTTAGGTTCAATGGCCGTTGATAACGCTTATCAAAGCCTAACCAAGTTGTCTGTTCCTTCACTAAACTTTACCTGCATGTGTATTTTACTTTTATTTAAATTTGAGTCAAATACATATAAAATAGTTTAACACTCTTGGATTTGGGTAGATGCTCAGGGTCTGGCCTGTTACTCGCTACCAGACCACAACACTGAGAGAGCAGTGGCAGGAGATGGGCTTCATGGAAGAATACATTAGACCACGGAGGGATAGAGACGTCGCACTCATCCACAGATAAATAAAACTAAATGCCGCGGTTGGTGAAATGATATACAGAGTGAAAACCATAGATATGTTTAATCCATGGTTGGCGAGGGTCTACTGTACTGTACCAGAGTTTTACATACAGTATATATTTCCATTATCTGAGAGGATTTCATTATGACTAGGAAAGGTAAAATTTAGACATAATAGAAAGTAAAATGTAGTGAAATGAACGTGTCCCATGTGCCTGATGGCCCATTAGGGACATGTAGCTTACTTACTAAGCCTCTATTCACTACAAAGATCCAGTGTAGCCAGTACTCCAATTAATTGCTTTCATCTCTTCATCTGTGTACAGTTGTTAGGTACCCATTCACAGCAGGATGGACTGGGGGTGCTCTAGGAATGAACCAGTGAGTCTTAGGGTGAGAGGCAAGTGTTGTATTCACATCCTTGCTACACTCCTTATTTGAGAGCTAATTAGGTTTCAGAGTCGGGAGTAAGATATAACCTTTTAATTTTTTACGTCAAAGTGCGGAACATGTTTTGTTATGTGAAGGTTATGTGTGTGACACTTGATTGACTGTTAGGCAGTCGGGCAGGTGCACAGGTAAGAGGGAACATTGTTTGCAATGTTAATTACCTGGTGCCTATGATTTATTGATGGTGTTTTCTGGTTTGTTAATCTGGTTATACTAAGGTAGTTAAACAAACTGTTCTTATTTCCAGTTCTGAGAGAAAAAATAATTCAGCCAGAACACCAAGGGTACCAAAAGTTTGGGCCATATAATTAAGTTTTCCCTTTGATTTGGTACTTTTCAGTGTTAACAATGCTGCAAATAGATACAATTATGGATGAGAGGATAATGTTAGAGATATTAATGAATGACCTTGAGGATAGGAAGCCCCTGGAAGACTGAAGCTGTGATGGATGCATGTCATTAAATGCTGGGTTCCTAAAACACTCACAAAGTCTGGGAGGTTCTTAAAAACAGCCTTAAAACATTTGAGTGGAGGATCATGTTAACAACTTTATGGATGAGGATGTTACCCTTTTTAAATGAACTCTTGCATGTTGTGTATCTAAAGTTGTTGTGTATTCTATGTTCCTTGGTCTTTATAAATCTCCTAAGAATGGGACTATGGAATGGGATATATTGTGAACAGATTTTAGCACCAGATTCTTAGTTTTGTTATCCCTGTGAAATTTATTTTTTATGTGGTGTTTAATCATTGAATTCTGTTTTCTAGGTCCCAATAGCTGGCAAAGAATATCAAGGCATGCAGGGATCTGTTCTGTTGGCGACCGATGCTGTTGAGCCTAATGGGTGAGTTAAGAGACAGGCATTGTTTTTGCACTGGCTTCTTGATAATTATGACTTGGAAGAAAATGTGACTTGCCTGTGGACACCAGATGTACAGTTACATTTTATACAGTAAAACCTTGTTAAGGTGGATATCACTTAAACCGGACAAAATTATTTGCAAAAAATAATTCCCAAATTAAAATAATGAAAAAAAAGAAGAAAAAGTAGGACAAAATTTGTACTCGGATGACATGTCCATCCTGAATCAAAATTTCAAGGGACCAGGGCGTCAGCGCGTGGGACGCACATGTCCAAGAGTTATCAATTGTTGTTTGTGGGAATATTATTTCATTCACTCTAGTAATGATACAGTGTTTCTTATTATGTTATCATAGATCAATGCATGGTTTATTTTATTTGTTTATCACTGTGTGCACAACCAATTTCAAATTAAACTACAAGATACAGCATGCCCTTTAAATTTGTGGAGGGGGAGGGGTTGGGTTCACAAAATGCCGCAAATAACATTTGCTTGCTGACCGGGAGAGGGGGTGTGGTTGTGTACAAAGAAAGGTATATTCCCTTTATGTGTTTGCCCTTAGGACAATTATTTCTTTTACCTGTATTATATATGTGTGTGTACACACACACACACGTGTGCTATACCCATCCTCGACACCGGCTCCTACTACCACCTGAGATCTCTAGTCCGAGAATTGCTGTTCGACACCACAACCGCATCCAGCCCATACGTGCACGAACTGATCGCTATAAGAACAGCCCAGTCCCAACCATTGTAAAAATTATCAATAACTTGTAATAAACCAGTGTATTCACTCCCAGTAAACACTACTCCTTGCACTGTCATTATGTTGAAATGAACTGTAGTTTGAGCTTTTCCCCATCTAGTTATTATATGTCTTATTTGTGTCACTTATGTTACTTGTATATTATTTGTAATTCGAAACCCATTCCCCAAATATGTAACTGTATATTTTCAGCCTTCTGGCTGCCAAGCTCTTTCAATAAACCGTTAATTATTAATTATAAGAACAGCCCAGTCCCAACCATTATAATACAGTGACCCCTCGTTTAACGAACGCCTCGGTTAACGAAATTTCGGTTAACGAACTGCCTTCCATAAGGATCTTCAATTCGGTTAACGAACGAAAATTCGGTTAACGAATTTCTTACGAACTGGCCTCAACATGTTTTCGCTTGCACTGGCCGGGCAACCAGCTTTAGTATCAGTCCGCCAACACATTAATCGGTTCTAGGGCTTAAATTCCTAACTATTTTAGTAAATATCAAGAAGTTTATACTATTCAATAATTTTAAAAGTTTAATATTCAATTTTTTAGTCATTTTAACAATTATTGAACATAATTGAAGGTAAAGTGACTAGTTTAAAGCGCAGCATCCAGCCTCTTAACACAGCAAACAGGCGTTAGTCTCTCTGTTTTCACTGGAGGTAACATCTTGCTTGAGACTCTCTTCAACTAAACGCTTTTTTCTGTGTTTCCAAGCAAATTATTGGTCATTTTGAAATATATTTTACATATTGACAATATATAATGCAGTGCAGTGTTGATTTAAAGAAAATAATCTTGAAATACACCAAGAGAACTAAAATTTTATGGGTGAAATGGTGCCATGGGGTGACTTCTCTTCCACCCCAATGCCTTCTCTTCTTCCTTCTCCTCCACCCCCATTGTAATTCCCATCATCATCATCCAGGAGCCTTCTACATACACACCTTAGAGTAAGTGAACTTTTCTACCATTTTTGTTGAATTTAGGAAATTTTCGGTGAGCTGGAACCAATTACCCAAAAACCCATTGAAACAATGGTTTCGGTTAACGAACGACCTTCTGGAACGGATTGAGTTCGTTAACCGAGGGGTCACTGTAATTATCAACTCGTAATCAATCAGTGTATGTATTCACTTCCAGCCAATATTACCTTTTTGCACTGTCACCGTTGAAATGCCCTGTAGTATAACCTTCTCCGCACTGTTATTATACTAGTACAGTGATATTTCCGTTAGCCGGAACAATTGGTGCAGAGCACTTCCGGGAATGAAAGATTTCCGGGTAACAAGACAACTCTCTCAAAGCTGGAAAAATCCCTCATCCCCGGAATTTTCCGGGTAACGGAAAAATAATCTCGGAAGTTCCAGAAATTGCCCATTACATCATCTCTCGAACCCGGAAAAATATCCCTCATATCCGTAATTTTTTGGGTAACGGAAAATGTTCCTTGGAATTTCCAGAAAATGCGCCTGATTTTCGTCTCTCAAACCCGGAACAAAACTCCCTCGTCCCCGTAATTTTCCGGGTATCGGGTAAATTTTCTATTATTTTTCCGGAAAATTTCAATTCCGGCTATTGGTGAGTTAATGGTTTGAGGGATTCCGGCTAATGGAGATATTACTGTATATCATATTTGTATCACTCATGTTATTTGTCAATCAAGTGACCCATTCCTCAATTATGTAACTGTTTATTTTCAGCCTTCCTGCTGTCATGCTCTTTCAATAAACCGTTAATTATTATTATTATTAAAATGCATGCAATTAAATAATAATGGGGAAATCCTCCCACATATACCGTAATAAGAGACACAACAACAAAATGTAATGTAGAAAAAATGCGAGTCTACCCTCAAGTCAACTTCGTGCTTTGTTATGATGAAATTTGAGTTGATTGAGTTGCCATACGGCGCCAGCACCAGCTGGGTTGATACGTAGATCAAACTTACAGAATTTCTTATGTAGCCAACCCAACAAGAAGGATGTTGGTAATTGTGGTGTAATACTGGATACTTTTTCACAATGTGTATGTAGGATGGTGTGTGCATATAAATGAGCAAAAATAAATGAAGAAGGTTACGTATATCTACCTAAAAATATGAGTTGAATAAAACCATAATACCTCAAAGCTTGGCTCAGTAGCCTGGTGGTTACCATGATGAGCCAACCCAGCTACAATGACATGATTAATCACTGTTAAGTACTATTCTATCAGTAAACACTATTAATAACAGTAAATCCAGTGAAATATGGCAGGGAGCGAGGAGAGTTAAAACTGCAGAAGACGCACTAACTAGCAGTCACTCAGGCATATGTATGGGAGAAATACATGATCTTCTTTTCTCTCTTCACTTGTTTGGGCACCCTCCCCGCATCTGGATGAAGGTGGTTGAGGGCGTTTGGGAGCCATAACAAGCACGAGGAGCACAGTTGTTATGAGAGTAGAGTAGCATGCTCGAGACGGACAAATGTTTATTCCAAACTGAGGAGGAGCGTGCAGGGCGCTCGTGGGCCAGCCTCCCGGGACAAGGGAGACATCATGCGGGATGCCACAAAACTCACCCGCTCCCTGTACCGGCTGCAAAAATGCCAGCAACTTTAAAACTACCTGCAGACATTCTTGGGTACATCCAGGGTGCCATCCGTGAATAATAGAGGACCGCGAAATAAAAATCTGTGAATTATCCAGGCGTACTGTATGTATTTCTCCCATACGTACTTCAATTGTGCGCCCTCATCGGGTGTGAATGAGTCGAGTGACCGCCAGTTGAGCATCGTCTGCCATATTTCCATATATCCCTGCCATATTTCACTAGATTTACTGTTATTATTAAAGTTTACTGATATAATAGTGATTAATCATTGCATTGTACGGTAGAAGTCCAAAAATCCGGACTGCTTGGGGATTGGGTCGGTCCGGATTTTCGGATTTTCCGGATTCTCAGCCAGTACTTTTAAAATTAAAATTTAAGGAGGAATAAAGAAGAGATGAACAGGTACATTCTGATAGTTTATTCATTAGCAAATAAAGCATGCTTCATTTATCAAAACGAGCAGTTTTAAAGAAAAATAAAGTCAACACTAGACAAAAATGTAAACAAACTGTCTAATACCATGACGAGTCTTGAAATTCCTAAGCCATCCATCACTAAATGCGCACTCTGATTCAATGTTCATTTGCTCTAATTAGTCTGCCTTAGCTAGGTTTTACTTAGTTGGCTGTGCTTCACCATCTCTGCCGCACACAAGCTACTTCAGAGTGTTGCCATATCTAGAAGCTCCATCTCATATACTGTATGAAGAATGTGTGTGTTGGACGCAGTGGTGCCTGGATTGTGTTACGTATTTGTCTCATGTCAATGTTGTAGAAAATAAAAATTTTATAAAAGTTCCTTTTGGTATACAGTTCTCTGGTATAAAGTAGTATTGCTGACCTGTGGTGTAATGGTTAGCATGTTTGGGTTCGATCCCCGGGTTGGGTGAAACTGTGGGCATTTGTCTCCGTCTACCCAGCAGTAATTGGGAACCTGGATGTTAATCGATTTGCGGATCATGTTCCGGGGTAATGGTTAACCAGTGCAGTTGGCGAGTTGTTCCGGTCTTGGACTGTTCCTTGACATTGGGTGATGCAGCTCATTAATTCGGGGTGTGTTTGCTGTGACCCTAGAGCCTCTCATCCTCAAACATGAGGGGCAATTACTATTTATTATACAGTAGTAGAGGATAGATTATGTGTATAGCAACAGCCGTCAGTGTGTGGAATAAATGAGAAATGTCAAAAGAGCTTGCTAAAGGTTTATTGGTTTCATGCATTAGCATACCTATTTTTACGTACTACATTTAACCGTGTTGCACACAGTATAAATAAGTTCTTTGCTTTAGCATTAAATCACATCACCAGAACTCTGCTTTGAGTCCACATTTCAGTGGGGGAAAGTGTAATTATTATGAGTTTGTTGAGAGCAGCATGACAGGGTGAGCGTTACTGTCACTGCTGCTCCACTGTGCACGGTTAGAAATCTCCCTTGGTGGCCATGGATACATAAACTGGATACTGTACTATACCTTGGTTTGTGAAATGGTGTACAATATATAAAACATCCATACTGGTAAACCCACGGTTGGTTAAAGGTGACTGTACTGTATGTACAATGGAACTTAATTTGGAATAGGAAGTTTTAAAAATACAATTTCCAACATCATTGTTTTCATCTGAAGTTTATTCACCCATGTTGGCATTGTGTGTGGCCAGTAATATGGATGTCATCTGTAGGTTATCTCTCTTGTGTTAAGGTAGAAGGGGCAGGACAACAACTCATGGATATAATCAGCTGTCAGTCTTATAATATTCAGAAATTAAGAACAAAACTTGAACATAGGGAGTAAAGTAATGTATTTTTGACCATTTAGTGGAATTTAAACCATTGTAAAAAAATTATAGTATTCTTTTTGTTTTGTTTTTTGGTGTAGAATATGACATTTAATTCTTATGTTCTTTTCAGTGTCTTGCGAGCCCCTGTTAGTGGGTTGGATGATGTCAAAAACAATCAGGTGGTGACTGTCAGATTCCGTGACCCAAAATATTCTGAAGGCTTTGTATTCCCAGCCAGAAAGCTTGAGAAGGCAAAGGAACCTCCTCGTGTCCTCAAAAGCCAGGATTTGTCTGCAAGTGAATCAAGAAATTACTATCCTCAAATTGGTTTCAACAGGAATATGCCCAGAGCATCCCTAAATGACTCTGGCCACAGAGCTCTTGGGTGAGTGATTTAGATAATAACATGCTAATGCAGGCATATCTTTATTTATTATTATTTTTTTAATTGTTAATGGGTAATTAGCTTCCTCCCTTGAGGCTCTCTTTATTAATATTCATTCTTTTGAATCAAAATTAAAAAATTAGAAGATATGTCTGAATTGTAATAGCTTGTGCAAGTTTTAAACACATTAAAATTTTTGTATCCCTGGTATTGTTGTACACAGTACTTTTGAGCTGTAGTTCAGGAGGATTTTATTGTGTTTAAAATTATAAATTTAAGGATTTCTGTCTTTTCTCTTAAGTTCTTACAGTGAATCCTATAATGGGTCCAATTTTAATATCAGATAAGTGAAATAATTCATGATAGTGAATGGCATATTTTGTTTTTTCAGTGTTGTAAAATAAATTTTCATATCTCCTCTTGGTATGTTATATTATTCGCATTGAGGAGTTTAAAAGAGTAACAAGAGAGCCAGCATGCATCTTAACCTGCCGTCCTCCTGCAGCCACCTCCTGCCGAACCTTCATGGTGGAGGGCTGTACAGCAACAACGTGCCGCTTCTGCAGGGCGCCCGAGGAGGGCAAGGGCTTCTAGGAGCAAGTCCAGGACTTCTTCCAACACCACCAAGACCTGGGGGCTTCATGGGACCAAGTGCAGGTGGCCCGGGATCTTTCTTTGGTCCGGGGCTAGGAGGTCAAGGAGGCCTTCTTGGAACAGGGTCAGGACAAGGGGGCCTCCTAGGATCAGGACCTGGAGTGCAAGAAAATCTTTCAAGATCAAGATACGAAGGCCAAGAAAAACCTCCAGGGTCATCACTAGGGCAAAGAAATCCAACTAAAACTGGAAAGGGACGTGGAGGCCTACTTGGACTGGGACCACAACAAGAAGGTTTATTAGGAAATGGACCCCAGCAAGGATGGTCGTACGGTTCAGAACCACAGGGCAACCAACAGGGAGGTCTGCTTGGGTCAGGTCCTGAACAGGATGACATGCATGGAAGGGGTAACCAAATGGGAGGTCTTTTAGGATCAGAACCACACCATGAAGATATGTATGGAAGGGGAAGCCAACTAGGATCAATGCCACAACTTGAGAGTAGATATGGAAGGGTTAACCAAAAGGGAAGCTTACTAGGATTCTCCCCACAACAGGAAGATACATATGGTGGGGGACCAAAACAGGGAGGTCTTTTGGGGTCAGGACCTCACACAGGAAATGTGTACAAAACAAACTTTGAAGAGGGAAGCCTGCTTGGACCAGGACCAAATGAAGACTATTATGAGTCGGACATGGAACAAGGAGGACTTCTCGGCATGTCCCCACCTATGAGGTTGCTTAAGATAATCAGTCTGTTCTTAACAACAGTCAAACCTTCTTAATTTTACCTATGGAACTTCAAAAGTATAATTTTCAAAGAATTCATATGGTTGTCCAAATTCATTAACTTAATGCTTTATTGAATCTCAATTTGATCCAAATGGTGACTTTAATAAGGTTTCACTGCAACAATGCCATATCACTTATCATGAATCTAATGGTTTGAGGTACAGTACAGATAGATGATTTCCAATTTGACCCAGAGAATAAATTAAAAATTTTCTTAGTATAATTTTCACCCAAACAACTAAATTTTCTGCATAGTCACCACGTGAATCGTGGAAGAGGTGGGGGCCAGTACAGCAATGTGCCTCCTCCCCAAGGCGGCCGTGGAAGAGGTTTTGGTGGTAGAGGAGGGAATAGAAGCCTCCTTGGGACACCACCAGCTGCTAACTTCCCAATGATGAGTCAGTCTTCAAATTACCACAGGTATTTTGCTTTGTACATCTGTTGTGTGTTATTTCTGTTGTCATAATTTTCGTCTTTTCACTCTTACAGGCCTTTTCCTGCTGTGCTGCAGGATGGCCGAATTCAAGAGTAAAAGCAGATTCTCCTTTCATTCATCATCTTCTATTCACTCCAGCTGTTATGACCCTCTCATTATTCTACACTTGACGCCTCTTTTTCCTAAAGATTTTAATATATATGTGTGTATTATTTATTATTATTAGTTTTGTTATTATTAAGGTATAGTTTTGTCTGTTTCTGCGGATATTGTATAATGTGTCTTGAGGGAAGAAGTAGTAAGATAGGAATGAATAGTTAGGGGACTGAAGTTAAAATAGGTGGTCTTCAACTACTGTACACTAGCGATTAGGAACCAGTACTACTTGACATACACGACTGGGGATGCAGTGTGTGGCATGAACAAGGCAAATGTGAGTGAGAATTTTTTTTCCCAGTTAGGAAAGATTTTAATAGAACTGACTGGTGCAACACTAAAATGATGAAATATGTTGAGGGATCTGGTGTTTATTATGAAACTACATGAATTGTTTCAGGGAAGGATCAGAGTCTTTTAGGTCAACAGTCATGAGATGATGATGATGTAATGAGCTTTGAGGAGAGGAAGATTACAGACTGAACTTCTGTATCTAGAAAAATGTGCTGAGCTTACATAGAGAAAGCATGGAGTGTTTAATATATTATCCATAACAGCCATGGTATTTTGGAAAAAAAGTAGTGCAGATGAGAGATAGAGCAATACAGTATTAGTGTACAGTATTAGGAAGAGATACCGAAAAGGAAAGGAAACTTTTCATGATTTATCCAGTGTGAGATTTTTTTTACGGGTAGAGTGGGAGGGTTTCTCTAATTCCCAAACTTTTTCAGTTCTCGTGGAAACAGTTACAGTAGTGGTTCAGGAGGGTACAGCGGAGGAAGGCAAAATCAGAGCCACAATGGTGGTGGCTACAACAGCCACAGAAGTCAGGGAGGCTACAGCAGTACTCAGAGGTAAGGCACCAGTGATGTGTAAGTGATTAAGCCATTACTTTATTCAGTTGCTTGAGGCAACTAGCCTCTCTTTTTAATTGAGCTGCATTCAAGAATCAGATGCAAATGTTGATATAGGTTGGCTTGTAATGAAGAGGTCTCCAAGCATCTTCATAAAGTCATATATCCACTATATATTTCCAAGATTCCTCTATACAGTCGATCTCAAAGCCTTCTCTATAGGTTTAAAAGCTTCATTAATAAAGCTGCCTCTTGAATTAAACGGATTTAATTTGCGTATTTTTGGAATAGCACTGACATATTTATAGCATATTTTGATTCATGTGGATATTTTTTGGATTTATGCCGCTTGAATTACACACCAAACAGTCTGTACAAGCTGGCAGTGTAGTTGAGCAAATGTTGCCAGCGAGGTATAATACTCGGGCATGAGGCAGGGTGAGCACGCACCCAGTAACTGTTGTTGGAGTGAGAGTGATTATTTTTCTTTTGTGATTGTGTGTAATTTTTGCATAACTTTTGGCCTTTATTATGACTGACAAGGCCCAACTATATCCAAGGGTTCCACCCAACCCAAGAAGCAGCAAAAGCCATCACTATTGTTGTGATACTAAACATAATGAGCCACATTTAGAGAGGAAAACACAAAGCTGGTGTCAGTTGGTGATAGAAAATACAGTACTTTCATTACAATATTATTTTCTTTTATGTAGATAGGCTGTATATTTATTTTAAGATTGGCTGTATTATTTCATTTTTTGCATCCTTATCTGCTGGTTAAGGGTTAAGTTTAGGAAAGGCATATAGTAAATATTAATGGGAATAGATATCAATTTGTAAAAAGTTCCAAAAGTTCCACAATTTAACAACTACTGTATTATGATTCCAGACAAGGAACAGGAAGTTACGGCTACAGTTCAGGAAATAACAGATCCGGTTCGGGTGGAGGAGGAGGCGGAGGCGGAGGCGGTTACAACTCTTCAGGTCATAGCTACAGCTCAGGTGGAAACTACAACAGGAATAACAACAGGAACTACAACTCACAACAGGGAGGCAGAGGAAGAGGTGGTGGTGGTGGAGGTGGAGGTGGGGGATATTATACATCAAATAATTAAATAAAAGGAGTTGTGCTCAGAAATGAGTTACAGCACAAGTTGGTTCAAGATATGGAGAAAGTGTAGTAAAGAAATGTTATTAAGTAGGTGGAATGGTATGTTGATTTGTCATCTGTTATGTACTTGTTGTCAAGTCCAGCAACAAAATCAATATTTCCATTTTTCTTGATGTCTGCAACTTACTCTGTACTTAGTGCATATAAGAATTGGTATAATACATGTCAAAGTATTTTAATTCAGTATCCTCTAATTCATTGCTGTTTTATGAGGGGGTTATATTACATATAAGACAAGGAAAATATTAGTATTTTGTGATATTCTTTTGGTCAAGTATGTCAAATCAGTGGTTGGCATTATTGGCTTGTGCAATGTGTTCCATACAGGTGGCTCTTTTTGTTAAAAAATAAGGTGCAAGCAGCATGTTAGAATTCATGACGACTGCAACAACATGTACCAGATATTTGTTTAGTGCTGTTTAATTTGATAACATTTTATAATGTATATATGGCCTCTGAACTGAAACTCTGAATAATATATGTTTTATCATTATCTCAAGTTTATATGATAACTTGTCTAATTTTCTAATTATTCGGTACCAGACATTTTACTCTCGCCCACTTTTTGACATTGCTCTACTTTACGAGACTCAAAATGTGTAGCGAAAACAAATGTTGAATACTGCAAGTAAATAGCACTGCTTTTTATATATATTATTGTAAAATACCTGGAAGACTGAAGCTAGTCTCTTGATATTTTGTGTATACTTGTTGAAAAACTGTGAATTAAGTTCATGGTCAAACAATAATTTCTGGTTATTGAAGTACTGTATGATTAGTTAGTTTTGAATGAACAACAGCTCCAGGTTAGGTAAATAGTTTCATATATAAATATATATGAGCATGAATTTTGTGTAATCGAAACAAAAATAGAAGGAATATATCTTACTTGGCGCAAAGTTTTGTAAATTATGCCTAGACATTGGAGGGTACAATAAGGACTGGACTGTTATGATACTGTACCAGTGTGAACGTGTGGTCACATCTTCACCTGTTTTTCTTATAAAGAATTACCACTTTTCTGTACCATATTTTTAGTGTACATGATTAGTACAAAACTTTGTAAATTAATTAAAGTGTATTCTTTCCTATATTGTTTATTTATTACCTTAGGTGTATTCAGTACAGAGAAAGCTTTCCACTTATAAACTACATATTTCAAATATTTATTTTATATGTGGAACTTCCTTTTCCAGAATTCCAAATACTGTAAATTCCATTACTTTTGAATGATGATGGGATTATGTAGCAGCATTGTTCTTCTATATACCTGAGTAAAGGTACTGTGCTAAGTTTAAGTTCACAGGATGGTGGTAAGGACTGAGGAAGGAACATTTAAGTAGACTGCCGGGCTGCAACTATCCATTAGAGAATTAATGGTGAGTACTATTGCATATTTTCTTCATCTTATAATTGTTCAATAAAATGGTTTTATTTTTCTTTCTTGTTTCACAGAAGGTCAATTATCAAAATACAGTACTGTACTGTATCTTAGATTGGCCTTCACCTTAAAGGCTGCATTTAGTCAGCCTATGCACACTGTTTCTGATGTTTTATGCATATTGGGGCTACTCATTCAATTGCAGCTGAATACTGTCAGAGACCAATTCTTGTTTTTCCGTGTGTTTACTTCCCTATTGTTTTCACTGCTGGGGATCTTTGGGTCATTCAAAGTCATGACAATGAGTGATTGTCATGACCCCTGTGGATTTTTCTCCAATTTACCATGCACTGATCTGTAGATAAAAAATAAAGTCCATAGATCAGTTCTCTAAACAGTTACTTCTTAGGCCTATTTCTGCAAATCAGATCATCAGAGTATATTTTTGCTCGTTTGGGGTCGAAGAATTATTTTCTGTGATAGACCTACAGTACATAATATGTAAAATAATAGTGTTATTTTACTTCCAAAACTTGGCTGTAAGGAGAAAGTTGCCACACAATCATCTAAATGTCCTGAATTACATGGCTTAGCGGAGTTGTCATCATTCTCGCATTCTAATTAAAGTTTTGATGAGTACAATTTGTGAAAGTGCTATCCTTATCCCTAGCTGAGGGTGAAGAGAAGATTGGTAGAATAAATAATTGTAGGAACACATAAGGGAGAAAAATGTGAAGTGAATACAGGATACGTAATGGATGTTAAGATGGTTAAATAGTTAATGGATAAGGGGATAAATAAGGGGTTGAAATACAAATAAAGCATGAGACAAAAAGGAGCTGGTTAAAAAAGGGACTGAGGGGAGGAGTAAGATAAAGCCTCAATGTGAAGATAAAGAGTAAATATAAAGACAAAGGACAAGAGATATAAAACAAGTAGAGCGATGAATAACAGGCAGGTGATAAACGTGGGGTGACCTAGACCATGTGAAGATGTATGAGGTTTGTAGAGGATTTCTCCCCTACAAACGCTGTTTGTCGCTGAGTAGCCGATCCCGCGAATTCCCCAGTTTATGCCTCGTGGTCTAGGTCAACCAGCGCCGCCTTACATGACGGAGGTCATTTAGTAAGCCACGCCTACCTCCGCTATTTAAGACCTGACCTCGTGGTGACCTCTCTTCTTCTAGCTACAGCCGCAGCAAGCTACACCACCTCCTCCGCCGCTGCCAGGTGGTCCTCGCTCCCGCCGGCGAGCATGGCGACCCACAAGCTGTCCTCCTCTGAGCACCCTCACCAACCAGCTCTCTCTACATCACGCTTGTAACCATGCTGCCTTCCCAGCACCAAGCTGCATTGTACATCCAATACAACATGTATACAGAAAGCACATTGTGAGCTTCCTTTCTCCATCCCATCCTGAGTGTGAACCAAACAACCCCATACCCCACAGGTTCATAATACTTCGTGTGTTTATGTGACTATTGTGTGCAGTTTTTCAGGAATGATGTTTTGTACACCCATAATTACCATAAAGGATATATGCAGGGCTGCGATGAGATGTGCATGGCTTGAGAGGCATGTGAGAAAAGGAATTGGGAGAGATGTGTATGAAAGAGAGAGGAAGGAATGGGGTTTAGGTAAAGTGTGTGTGGGAGGGGGGAAGATAAGAAAGAATTTAGGGATAACGAGTTGATTTCGAGAAATATGGAGTTGTTGGGGTGGTAGACAAGGAGTCCAGTAAGGTGTCAAGTGGCTGAGAGGAGTGATTGATTGATTGATACGTTTATTGAGATACAAAAAAACATTAATACATCTCAAAGGGATGAAGTGACATAAGTCATCCTCACCCCAGTCCAAGGTGAGGCGGCCATAAAGTTGGGGTTAGATGAGGGGGGGGTGTGTGGGAGTGAGGACAGGTGTTTGTCGGGGTAATAGACATCGCGAGTAAGTGGAGGAAGGAGTATGGGTATCAGCGATATTTGTTATGGGATGAGGATAGGTGTGTTAAGATTGGAAGAAGCTCGTTTTGGGGAGTGGATAGTCGTTAGTAAAAAATATATGTATAACAAGTTCTGAAAGGTATAAAGAAGAGTTTTCATAATTATTCATGCGCACATATGTAATATATTCATACCCGTTGATGTATTATTTATAAACAAATATCAATACGTGTATCAGTGTCAAAATACTTTAAATAACGCACTTCTTAAGCCTCAAAATATTACTGTAATATCTTCATCACTTATTAATGTATATCCACATTATTATATAAATATAAACACGGCAATGCAAAGTTACTGGTATAATTTACTTGTAATGAGACTTCACGGTGCGAAACCGGATTTTAAATCTTTACCAAGTTACGTAACGTAGTGAGGAACTAGCCGCATGTCACCAGGCCCAGCTTGGCTTCGTCACATGTGTATTTATCCTCTTTATCACTTATTTGCTTAGTAATAGGTCTGGCTAATCCAGTGGTGGTACACGAGGAAACTCACGTACCCGGAGATATACTTGGGGCATTCGGTGGGGTTGTGGGGTATGGGGTTGTTTGGTTCTCTCTCAGGATGGGATGGAGAAAGGAAACTCACAATGTGCTCTCTGTATACATGTTGTATTGGATGTACAATGCAGCTTGGTGCTGGGAAGGCAGCATGGTTACAAGCGTGATGTAGAGAGAGCTGGTTGGTGAGGGTGCTCAGAGGACAGCTTGTGGGTCGCCATGCTCGCCGGCGGGAGCGAGGACCGCCAGGCAGGAGGAGGTGGTGTTGCTGGCTGGTTGGTGTAGGTAGAAAGAGAGAGATCACCACGAGGTCAGGTCTTAAATAGCGGGGGGTAGGCGTGGCTTAGTAGTTGACCTCCGTGATGTATGGCGGCGCTGGTTGACCTAGACCACGAGGCACACACTGGAGAATTCGTGGGGTCGGCTACTCACCGACAAACCGCGTTTGTAGGGGAGAAATCCACTACAGGGTCACATTGAACAACATTCTCACATCTAACCCAAGCGAGATTCGAACCCAGATCACAATGGTGTGAGAGGCTTGTGCGCTGCAACACCCGATATGCTGATATGTTTAATATTAATTATCGACTTAGTGGGAAATGAAGATAAGTAGCTTTGGAATGTATAACAACCTCCCTGAAAATATACACAACACCTTTTAATTTGAATACACGCTTTAGTTTGTTCCACCATATTGTGTCACTAAAACGGGGTTATCATCCAAAGCTCTGATACTAATACTTACAGTAACATATAACTGTCATCATTACACCTACACATATTTTTCATATTCGTAGTATGTATAACATCCATACATTAGTTGGATCTTCAAGGAATTTTGGAGAAAAGAAGAGGAAGTGAAGCAATTGCAAACTCCTCGGTGAAGTATTGCAGCCGCTCGAGTGTGCCAGGACAGAGGGAGCTGTGAGCCGCGTTTGGATCTATACGGTGAGTATTTATACGAATTTCTCGATTCTCTGTTGTTATCACGCCTCTATCTCATGCATGCGGATTAAATAAGTTGTGTAGATTTTAATACAATCAACAAATTAGTGCAATGCCTTTTGGTAGCATGAATTTAGAGAAGGATAGTGGCAAACATGTTTTTATAATTATTTTTATACGTTAGTCAGCTGATCGCCATGTGCGTCTGTTTACCTTTCCTCGTTAGTGCATTCTAATATTTATCGTATCATTTTTTACAGAATATGTAAATTAATTCGCATTTATGTACACTAAAATAACTGTTCTTCAATTTGGGTCTGGTGTGCCAAGAAAAGCTATTTATTCCTTAACGCGAAGCAGCATCTCGACGTGCTCTCTCGGGACTCACAGAAAACGAAAAAGCAGTAAAATTCACATGACTATATAGATAACTATTGTATTTCGAGTTTATCTTGTGCATGGAGTTCCATCTCAGACTTTTTTAATGTTGGACTCATGTATTAGTAATTTTGTTACGTACTTAAAGACCTCCGAACGAGAAATCTGAACATTGTTCTCTGGGAAAGTTCTGTGAAAATAAAAATACTTATTTTCACCTGTAAATACTATGGAGACGAGCAACATACATCATTACGAACTATTGAGTCACTACGCAACCAGGCTCATTTTGAAATCTGTTGTGCCTATATGTTCGAGAACTTTTCATAGTGTGTACATAATTGTACTCAAGTTTTATGATTCCTTTATAGATTAACATTATATTGCTTATCGTTTATCAGATTCAGAAACTTTCTTCGTTAATATATAAGTATACTTCAAGCCGTCATTTTTAACTCGAAAATGATTATACTGAATATTGGTTAATATTCCTGATTATTATTAGCCTCTGTGTTAGTATTCTTCTTTAGCTGTTCATTAGATCTTGCAAATTTATCATTGGCTGCAAACTTGCAAACCACTGATTGAAAATGAACTTGCGTTATGAAATGTGGAAGGGGGTAATAGTATGTGATCCAAGCCCCTTTTAAACTCATGATTAGTAAGGGATCCTTCCCACGAGTCCGGATTTTTGTCACACCTGATAGTAATTATTAAATGGGTCATTCGACTGTTTGCCTATGAACCCGCTCTTGTTTACTTCTGTACGTCTCTAGTCGGTCAGTCTACCTTCTCGCCTGTTGGTCGTGGCACACCCGTGGGCTTGAGATAATGACCCCAATGTATTGTTGATTCTTTATAGCCAGTGTTAATCAGTAACTT